GGGTTTCTGCGGATGCAAAAAATTTAACCCCTGGTGATAATATTTCATTTTATCTGGCCTTGATTGCCCACCTGCCCTGTTATTTTATATATATATATTTGTTGGCTCTCACACGTCCTTCTCAGATTTGTGGTAGCCTGGCTGGTTAAGCCCGGCCGGACCAGTGACGACTTCGTCTGGAATATTCCCAACGCGTACCTTGGAAGAGTCTGGTTGACTCCTGATTCGAACAGGGTCGGTCATCAGTCCAATACCTGAGTCTTTGTTCCCTTTAACAGGCCTGTGCTAACAGGAGCTGCACCCATCCGTCCCGCATCATGGCAGAGAGGCAGTACCTCAGTTGGAACCATCCAAGTCCGCTGTTGGAGGCTAGATTAGAGAAAAAGATGCGTCCCGGGTGCTATGGGTGTTTCACGAGTGCGTAACCCTAGCTCTAAAGGTCGTACAGCTTGAATGTGCGACTAATGAGGGTTGCCATCGTTCTTTAAGGATGGCCTGGGGTGCCAAAAGCGCCAATCGCCATACGAGGCAATCCATAAGCTTCTCGTTCGCCGTTTCAACTAAGCGCGAGTACTCCTCGCCAGCGTCAAAGGTGTCGAACTGAGCATTTCACATCCTTTGTTGACTCTCGAGACACTGTGTGCCATCGTCACGTAGAGCGGGCAGCCGCCGACTACGTTTGCATGAGGCCTTTTTAGCGCGACATATCCGCTGGACCAAGTACAGCTCAGAGCCAGGAAGTCGGAGATCATGTTTGCGCGTCATCTGGAACGATCTGTGTTGTTGGGCAGAGCCCATGGGTGCGGCCGTAACTGCCCTCCATCGTCAAACAAATATAGGGGACAGCAGTCAAAACTCAGACAGCACGAAGTACTTCTGCTCAGATCTCGAAAAGAAGCATGACAGCATGATTGTCAGCACCATTTAGGATCCACTTTTCTGGTTGCCCTGTTCAGGTATTCGGGTACAGGAGCACAAGTCCCTGCAAACGAACCATTCGTGAGGATTACACTAGATGTTTCAGAAGCCAGAGACCCAAAAGGTACACGGCTTAGGACCTGAGATAAGGTCAATTTCATAGGCCCAACCAGAATACACAAGGCTAGATGAGGCTAGATGAGGCATGAAAATGAATCCTGACTTGAGACTAGTTCAGGAAACTCGGACACCAACATTAGCCAATCCGTTGGTTTTCGATGGTTTTTCGTTTGGATCGTGCTTGCTGAGAGATCCAGCGCCAACCCAGACAGAGCCAAAGAGAAGAAAGACTGGCATGACTCAATGGCGAAGTGATGAGAGAGCCAATCATGAAGATGTGGGGGAAGAAGCTTTCCCACTGTATCGCACTAGTGTCTTGGGTACTTTCAAAGGTCTCAATTCTGTCGACGCCAGCAGGGACATGGGGCCAAAAGAGCTAGTCTAGTAACATGCACGGGGTTCAGGGGTACTCTGTAGAAAATAATGTGCCTCATCTGCAAGCCTGCAAGACAAGAAGGCAACTGTCTTGACTTTCATGATCTGCATGTGCTCCCTTTGCGGTTTGGCCTGGCTAGATGACAGCGACAGTCATGGCATCAACCACTTCACATATCGCGAACCTGCTGATAGGAGCATTTATGAATCGCCGGATCTAGTGTGCGCCTTGGTAGCCAAAGTCGCAATCACATAGAGAATTGGGCCTGGGGTTGGCGAATGCATGCTTTAAGGTCAAGGGTGGTAGGTATCAAGGATGTTGAGCAGTTGAAGGAAGGTGACGTGTGCGGAAAATCCTTCCCTATCGTACATCTGTGTCTCCTTGTATTGGCCAACGATAATCGTGATTCGCATTAGGGCCAGCCACGAGCTGGCGCGGCCAGTTATAATGATTGTGCTTGGTTGTTTGCTCAAACCAGGGTGCAAGGAAGACCAAAAAGATATTACGCTTTCACCACGTGTCTTCCCCAGATCCGGGCAGATTTAGCAAGCTGTCGCGCGATTCGGCGGATCAGACGAGATAAAGCTCATAATAACAGCCTTGATAGCGTTTGGGATAAGCTGCAGGATACGGCCCGTTAACTCAACGCTCTGCCGTGCAACGGAAAAAGAAAGGACAGGCAACAAGTCGTACTTCAACGCCATAGGTTCTCTCGTGTGTAGAGACAAGCTTGCCCTTGCGGTTGCAGCTTGAGAGAGGGAATTCGCCGTAGAGGAGAAATGACATTGGGTTACAGTTGGACTGCTACCACAAGGTAGCAGTCGCCCGAGGTCTTTTGTCGTGAAATATGGCCGATGTCAGGGGCTGGTTGTCAGGTTCCATCATTTGCCTTTGTGCCTCTCCGGCCACAGCTCAATTCTTCATCATTTTCCAAGACTTTATCCAGGCCGTAGACCATTTAGGGAGCATTCTGCTTCTTTGTCCAACAGGGTTTCCCGGAATATATCATAGGAAGGAAAAAGCGGTCCATGTTACATGAGGGCGTCGGCGGAATCGGCCATCCGAAAGAGGTGAGCACATCAATCACATCAGCAATCGGGTCTGAATCGAAATGGTGCTCGCCAGAGCCTGTAATGCGGACCTAACTGGACTGTGACGAGGTACTTGGAGGCTTGCAGAAAGTCCAACCCCGGCGGTGACGGCGGCAAGCTGGAGGAAGCTCGAAGCTGGGAGGATCGACGGGGACGGCGGTGGTGGGCGGTTAGCACCAAGCAGCTTTGGAGCCTTGGAGGCGGCTCCGCATTTGGGCCTTTTTTCTCCTTCGCAAGAATCCGATTGTGCAGCTTCCTGCGTACTCACCGATCACTCTCTTCAGGCGGAGACTGGACGATTGACATTCTCTCACACTGATTTTCACTTCCCTTCTTCGCTCTTGTCATATCTGTTTGTTGAACGCGACGTTGATCCTTACTGAAGCTGCCGGCAGACGCAATGAGCGTCCTACTGGAAACCTCCTTGGGTGACATTGTGATCGATCTCCTGGTCGATGAGTCCCCCAAAGCATGTGAGAAGTAAGTACCCTTGTACTCTCAAATTATTTCCTAGACATTGTCACCCACGTATTGTGTTTATTGGCTGAACAAGAAACTAAAGCTGTCTGTCTTCCATGACTCTAGCTTCGTGAAGCTCTGCAAAATCAAGTATTACAATTTCTCGCCCGTCTATAGTGTCCAAAAGAACTTTACCTTTCAATCCGGCGACCCAATCGGCCCCGATTCTTCAGACAGCGATGGCGGAACGTCGATTTGGGGGTTATTGGAGGGACCATCCAAGAAGGCCATCCCGCTCCAGCTTCCACCGAAACTCAAGCATGACGAAAGAGGCACTGTGAGCATGGCTGCAGTTCCTTCCCCGCACGATCCCGATCTTCGCCTTGTTACAAGCCAGTTCATCGTCACACTCGGGGACAATCTAGATTATTTGGATGGCAAAGCGGTTATTTTCGGTAAAGTCGTGGAGGGCTTTGATGTGCTGGAGAAGGTCAATGACGCATTCATCGATGACCGGGGACGACCACTGAAAGATATTCGTATCCGCCATACGGTCATACTCGACGACCCTTTCGACGATCCGCCCGGCTTGGTGGAACCACCAGAGAGCCCCTTGCCCACAAAGGCGCAGTTAGCGACGGTCAGGATAGCTGATGATGAAGATCTCGGTGACGATATGGATGAAGAGTCAATGGAGAGACTTCGTCGCGAGCGTGAGGCAAGAGCGCAAGCCTTGACCTTGGAGATGGTTGGGGATCTCCCTTTCGCAGAGGTCAAACCTCCGGAGAATGTCCTGTTCGTCTGCAAGCTGAACCCCGTGACTCAAGGTGCGATATATCAAGATGTCTTTCCCCTAAGAATATGCTGACAATGGTAGATGAGGATCTGGAGCTTATCTTCAGCCGGTTTGGGAAAATCCTGTCTTGCGAAGTCATCCGAGACAAACGGACTGGCGACAGTCTGCAATATGCGTTTATTGAGTTTGACAACCAGAAAGATTGCGAACAAGCCTATTTCAAGATGCAAGGAGTCTTGATAGACGATCACCGAATCCATGTAGATTTTTCTCAAAGCGTGAGTTCAATCTCTTACTCTATCTTACTTTCTTGTAATGCTAATCATTTACACAGGTGTCAAAGCTGTCCGACAGCTGGCGTAATGCCACTATTTCCAAGCGAAGTTCACAGAGGGGTGGCTTTGGTGGTGTGGCCGGTCTGGAGAAGAAGCGCCAGTACAGAGCGTCTGAAAATCCTCGTCAAAAAAGTGATTACAACATGGTTTTCGACAAAAAGGAGAGGGATAGACGATCAGCGCCTCCCGAGCGGTCAAATAGTCGAAGCCCACAACTAAATGCTCACCGGAATCGGAGAGACAGTCGAAGTCCTCGGCGAGACTCATATCGGCGCCACCGTCGAGATAGATCGTATAGCCGAAGCCCTGTGCGGAAAGACTCTTACCGCGACCGGGACAGGGGCAACGAGAACGATCACCGACGAGGTTACCGTGATGATGACAGATATAGGGACACCCGCCGGCGGTAGCGGGAGCTCAAGAAATTCAAATGCCGGGAATAGCCAGTTTATAATGAGGAACGAGCGCTGTAAATACAGTAATGACAATCAATGTACTCTTGCCAGCACAATAGCGAGCGTTTCAGTGCCAGGAACCCCTATCGTCAACAGGCACGCCTCATCCATTAAAGTGAGCACTACTTGGGAGGCGTCATTTCTATTTGTAGCTATGCTATTCCAGTAGTGGCGCTGCGGGATGTGTCGGTGAAACCAGCTCGATGGCGCTCGTTGCTGGCGCGCCCCGCCCTCGTCAATGCCCCGCGCAGATTGGCTGTTTAGAGGCAAGGCGAATGCAAAGATGGCCCGAATCGAAGGTGAACAAGGGCAAAGCCTGAATAATGGGGCTGCGTTCTCACTAAAAATAGGGAAATAAATAGTTTGGTTACCAGGAAATCGTCTTCTGAAGCTCATCCCAATCGAGGAGCTGCAAAGCCACCCCGCGTTCCTTCATTCAAGAACTCTCCTTTCCCTCTTCCTCCCTTTCGTTCCTGACATCTCCTCCCCCCTCTCTCCCCAGTGCTATACCTTGACCGACTTTCCTGTTTTCTTCCCTCAATTGCCTTCATTTCCTCAATTGCCTGGATCAACACCGCTTAGCATGGCTGCTGCTATTAAGAACCTTGTGGACAAATTCCAGGGCCACTCTGAACCCGCCCTTCGCGAACCTTCTGCCGAGGAGGTCCAGGAGCTAAAGCAGAAATATGAGCAATCAGGACAATCACAAGTTTTTGCGTTCTTTCACGACCTGAGCCAAACAGAGAAGGCTCAGCTTTTCCACCAACTGTCCAACTTTGACCCGACCCGTATCAACGAATTGGCCGACAAGGCTCTGAACCCTCCGAAGACCGAGGAGACCGCTGCCGTTTCCCTTGAACCTCTCCCCGAAGTCGCTACCGCCTCCATCCTAGATTCGGATCCGAAAGAAATACAAAGATTTTACGATGAGGGTCTTGATCTCGTATCAGAAAATCAAGTTGCGGTAGTCTTGCTTGCTGGTGGACAGGGAACACGACTGGGAAGCTCGCAGCCAAAGGGTTGTTTCGATATTGGGCTCCCCAGCCACAAGTCTTTGTTTCAGATACAGGGTGAGCGCATCGCCAAACTACAGCTTCTAGCAAAGAAGAAGTCCAACAAAGATGCCGTGATTCCTTGGTACGTAATGACGAGTGGGCCGACGCGAAAGCCCACGGAGGAGTACTTCCAGGAGAATAACTACTTTGGGTTGGACAAAAGCAACGTCACAATCTTCGAGCAAGGTGTCTTACCATGCATCTCGAACGAGGGCAAGATTCTGTTGGAGAGCAAATCAAAGGTGGGATCTCAACTTTTGTTTCCCTTCCCAGATCTAATTTCAATAGGTGGCCGTTGCTCCCGATGGCAATGGAGGAATCTACCAAGCTCTGCTCACATCTGGCGTAAGAGAGGACATGCGAAAGCGCGGAATCAAGCACATCCACGCTTACTGTGTCGACAACTGCCTGGTCAAGGTTGCGGACCCTGTTTTCATTGGATTTGCAGCCTCAAAGAACGTTGATATCGCTACAAAGGTGGTGCGGAAGCGCAACGCTACCGAGTCGGTGGGTCTGATTCTTCAGAAGAACGGCAAGCCAGATGTTGTTGAGTATTCCGAAATCGACAAAGAGACAGCAGAAGCCAAGGACCCCAAAAACCCAAGTTTGCTCAAGTTCCGCGCAGCCAACATTGTGAACCATTATTACTCTTTTGAGTTCTTCGACTCCATCGAGACTTGGGTTCACAAGATGCCGCACCACATCGCCCGGAAGAAGATTCCTTGTGTCAACACAGAGAGTGGCGAGATTGTCAAGCCTGAGAAGCCAAACGGTATCAAGCTTGAACAATTTGTCTTCGATGTTTTCCCCATGCTTTCGCTTGAAAAGTTTGCGTGCATTGAAGTCCGTCGCGAGGACGAGTTCTCGCCGCTCAAGAACGCACGGGGTACCGGAGAGGATGACCCCGACACCAGCAAGCGTGATATTATGAACCAAGGTCAGCGGTGGATTGAAAGTGCAGGCGGTGTTGTTGTCACAGAGGAGAATGCTGTTGGAGTCGAAGTCTCTCCATTGATCAGCTATGTAAGTTTCTCGTTGTTAACCACACCGAGCCCTGCTAATTACCATTGACATATAGGGCGGAGAAGGACTAGAGTTTCTGAAAGGTCGCGAGATCAAGGCACCTGCCGTCATTGAGAAGGAGGAATAAATTATACCGGGCTTCTCAAGAAAAGAGAGCTCTAACTTGCTAGAACATGAACAAAATATCATCGCTAGAGTAGGGAACTAGTGGTGCTTTTTACAGATATCCTCTGCTACTTCAATATACACATATCGTATAATCCGCTTGTGCAAGCTGATCCATCCAACCAATAATGAACCCTTTTGAAAGGAAAGCCCGTGCAGGAATCCGGGGTCTAAAGCACTTTACGCAATGCGGAAAAGCCCGGGAGCTAAAGTTTTTCCAGTGGCCGAATTTCTTTTTCCCTCTCATTCATCTTGGCTTTTGGTCGCTTCTGATACATTTAAGAACATTCAAAACTATCTGCTACTTTCGTTGGTAACAGAAGCTTGGAAACGACTGTTCGTGTATTCCGGAGGTTTGGTGAGTTGCAGAATGTGAGCCCATGCGTCTGTTGTTTTCAACAAATTGAGTCGCTGTTGTCTTTGTCAGCCTACTATTTTTTTCGAGTCTTGAGAGTGGGCTGTTTGAAGCGCTCACTCCTCCAAGGTTCCTGGGCTGACGATCAAACCAGCGCTGTCCGACACGGAGATTTGAAGCTCGTTAGTTTAAGGAAGGGTGAGTGAGCTCCCGGGGTACTCCTCGTGACGTTGTTGTTGTTGTCTTTCTTGCGGCCCTCGCCCGTGGAAGCTTGCGGACCTATTTCTCTGCGCAGTCCAAGCTTCACACATATTAAGCGATCTTCTCCCCTCCGACATGGCAATCGATTTCTGCCGACCATGTGTTTCGTCCTATACGTCGGACCATGAGTCGTCATCATGCCTTTATTTTATCATCGTCTCCGCCTCTGTTTTGACACCAATTTTCCCATGTCGATCCGCCTGCATGTCACGATATCCCAGCGCATATGGTTGGCCCGGCATTGCTGATTGAAAGGCCACCATATCGACATCTAGCTCTCTATATATCCCAAAATGTTGCTCTCTCGACGTGCTTGTTACAAGTGTGGCAACATTGGCCATTACGCTGGTTAGTTGCGGGGAAGGAATCCATGCAAAGAGAATCGGGATGTGCTAACGGACTGGTCAAGAGGTCTGCTCTTCCTCAGAGCGTCTCTGCTACAACTGTGGGTGACGCCATTTTAATTACTTTGAATTTATGAATTGGGCTGACACATGGAGGATATTCTAGGCAAACAACCTGGTAAGTCTCGTGTGCAATGATGCAACATGCACAGACCAGACATCTGATCGACTGGCAGGACACGAGTCCAGCAGCTGCCCGCGGCCGCGTACCACCGAGAGTAAGGGCTTCCAAGCCTTGTCACCACAAACCGCAACGGTACTGATACTGATATCTATAACTTTCCAGCCAAGCAATGCTACAACTGCCAAGGTCTAGGCCACGTTCAGGCCGATTGTCCCACATTGCGCCTTAACGGCGCGAACGGTCGTTGCTACAACTGCAGCCAGCCCGGTCACATTGCTGTATGTCCAGCGCTCCCATATCTCCAGTACATTCTCCGAGCGAGTCTAACCCCACCGCCATCCGTAGCGCAACTGCCCGGCTCCTGCTTCCGGTGCTCCCCGAGGCGCCGGTGCTCCTCGTGGCGGATTCAATGGAGGTTTCCGCGGTGGCTACGGTTACCCACGCGCTGCCACCTGCTACAAGTGCGGCGGCCCCAACCACTTTGCTCGTGACTGCCAGGCTCAGGCTATGAAGTGCTACGCCTGTGGGAAGCTCGTATGTGCAACTTGCGTGTGTTGTGTATCTTTTCTGAGGGCTAACGTGTCAATAGGGTCACATCTCCCGTGATTGTACCGCTCCCAACGGCGGCCCATTGAGCTCTGCGGGCAAGGTCTGCTACAAGTGCTCTCAAGCCGGTCATATCTCCAGAGACTGCCCTACCAATGATGCTACTCAATCCGCCGAGTCCGGTGTTCTTGCTGCCGCCCCCGTGGCGACTACTGGCGTTGTTGAGGCTTCGGAGGGCGTTCCTGTCGCCGCTGCTCCTACCACTGCTGTCGCTTAGAAGGAGACGGCGAAATGGACATCTTAGCCTGACACGCGTTTCTTAATCGTTATCGGCCGTCTCCCCTCTTTATCTTCCCCCCTTTGGTTTCTGTAAGGGCTCACCGATACAATCCGGGTATTTTTTTTTCCTGTGTTTTTTTCCCCTTGGCATATATCACGTCCCGATCGTCATGTTTCATTCTTCGGCGCGTCCTTTCATTCTTCCTCTCATGTATACGACGAACAAAAGTTTCACGAGCTTGAACCCTAACCATGATTAAGGGTCTTACGATTGGCGTCTTTTGAACACCCAGCTATCTTTCTCATTTATACTATAGGTGCGGCAAGAAGGAGATGAGGCGGGCGAAAGGTTGATCGAGGGCAAGCGAGATGTCGAGATGTTGGACTGTTCAGCACCATAACTGGCTTCGATACCAGTGCGAATGGGATGGCTATGCTGGAGATTGTGGACGAGCAAGAAAGGTACCTGGTGCGGTGGTTACCTGCTCATCTGTGCGTACGATGTCTCGAGTGTGAAGCAGAAAAAAAAGAAAAACCAATTCTCAAACTATTTCAAGTGCATGGTCTTTCGCGTTTTAGTGTGTTCCTGCCTGATATCTTAAGATGCCTTCGCTTGAAGTCCCAGAGTACTGCATTTTCCCAGGTTTGCTCCAACCTTTCAGGCCTCAAGTAACTTTATGCTAGGGAAGGACTGCATGGTAGGTGCTGAGTTGCCTAAACTATGCCTTTTGTTCCTATAACCTCAATTTGAACGGACCTGCCATTTTCCTTTTCCCTGGTTGAGGGAGACACCCTGGGGCGTGTGCTCTGTCAACTTCTTCCTCTCCTCTTCCAATCTTTGCTCTCCTCACCTTCACAGCTACGTACTCTTAATACCCTCCACAATCCATACACTCAGATATCTACTTGTACTATCTGTTCTTATTGGCGGGAGCCTCCACAATGCCCGCATCAGAGGCCAGCGATGACTTCGGTGACGATGTAAGCTCGGGCCCTTCCACTAACCTCACTTTGGCATGTTTTGACCATTGATGGTGTTGTTGCGTGACAGGACTTCATTGTCGACATTGACTCCATCCAAGCCCACGGTACTGTCTAGTACTTTCTCCGACGCGTTCGAATATTGACCATCGATAAGGAATTGGCGCCGCAGATATCACCAAACTTAAGGCGAACGGGTTCTACACTATTGCCGTACTCGACCCTAGCCTATTTCTCTTTTCCACCATTACTCACATGTGCTGTCACAGTCCATTCACGGAGCGACCAGAAAGACTCTGTTGAAGATCAAGGGTTTCAGTGAGATCAAGGTGGAAAAGGTCAAGGAGGCCGTCGCCAAATGCCTGGTAGGGAGGGATACACAAGTCTTCCAAATGATCTTCTTGGGCAGGCTAACCAAATTAGCCCTCTGCTTCTGGATTCATTACAGCAATGGAGTTGAGCCACCAGCGGAAAAGAGTTGTCCGTATCTCAACCGGCAGCAAGCAGTTCGACTCGATTCTCGGAGGGTATGTTTCAAGCCATTGCCTGATCACCGTACGCCGCTGACAGCATATTTTTTAGTGGCTTTCAGAGTATGAGCATAAGCGAAGTCTTCGGGGAGTTCCGCTGCGGCAAAACCCAGCTCTCGCATACCATGTCGGTTATTGCGCAACTTCCAAAAGAAATGGGTGGTGCTGAGGGTAAAGTTGCCTACATTGACACAGAGGGCACGTTTCGTCCGGAGCGTATCGGCCAGATCGCAGAACGATTTGGAGTCGACCCTGACTCTGCAAAAGAGAACATTGCCTACGCCCGTGCTCTGAACAGCGAGCACCAACTGGAGCTGCTCAACACTCTCAGCAAGGAATTCGTGGGAGGAGAATACAGGCTGTTGATTATTGACAGTATCATGAACTGCTTCCGTGTCGATTTCTGTGGGCGTGGTGAGCTGGCGGACCGGCAGCAGAAACTAAATCAGTTTCTGATGAAGCTCGCTCATATGGCCGAAGGTGTGTTTGTTTCCTGTTGGATGAGATGCAGCTAACATTGTACAGAGTTCAACGTGTGCGTCCTTATGGTAAGCGCTGCGATCTTTGAGGAATTATTCCATCGTACCATTCAAGATACAGTGTTAGTCTGCTTGGGGCGAAGCTGACATTGGCAATCAGACAAATCAAGTCCAAAGCGATCCTGGTGCAAGTGCCCTCTTTGCTGGGGCTGACGGCCGTAAGCCTGTTGGTGGGCACGTCCTAGCTCACGCTTCTACGACTCGCGTTTTGCTCCGGAAGGGTCGTGGCGAGGAGCGTGTTGCAAAGATACAGGACTCCCCTGGTTTGTTCTACCATAACGTTTAGTAGTACAGATCCTAATGTTGTCTCCAGACTGTCCTGAGAGGGAGGCGACGTATGTGATCACCAATGGGGGAATCAACGATCCAGAGAAGGTGTAAGCGCGAGGCAACTTCATACTAGAACGGCGACTAAAACCCTCAAATCTTTCCCTATGTCAGTGTCAACGATAATGTCCGCAATATGTTGATCTTTATGTTGTTGAATGTTCTCCACAGCTAGGTACTAGTAGTACCTAAGCACTGGGCGTTGATAACGATAACAATCCAGGGCACCTACCGCCCGCGCCAATCAATTTCCTTCCCTGTAAAATTTCCGCAAAACCTCCGCAGACAAAATTGCAAGTCTCAACAATCAACTTCCTCCATCTCACAAATCGATCCAGGAAAGCCGGAGAAGGAAGCAAAATGAAAAAAGACCTCGAGATATCAGGCTACACAGTCCTGCCCCTTCAACTCCCGACTACGCCCTCTTTCTCAACACCAGCAACGCACTATCTCTACCTCCGACCCCATGAGCCGCGCATTCCAGACCTCGACACTCCCCGATCGCTCTTCCTCGTCAATCTCCCCATAGACACAACAGAAACACACCTCCGCCACCTCTTCAGCACACAGCTCTCATCCGGTCGCATCGAACACATCGAATTTGAGTCCGCTCGGACAGGGAAGAAGAGCGGCGCGGCACAGATTGCCCTTTTGCAAGGGACAAATGTTGCCAAGGGCAACAACAAGAAGCGCAAGCGCGTGACCGCTGACGAACTCGAGAACCGACTGGACGACGTTTCTCTCCCCTCAACATGGGACGGGCAGCTGCAGCGGAGCGGGTCGCACGCGGTTGTGGTCTTTGTCGACAAGGCGAGCATGGAGGCGAGTCTAAAAGCCGCTCGCAAGGCCGCACGGAAGTCCAGTAGCAGCGCTATTACCTGGGCGGAGGGGCTAGACAAGTCCAAAATCCCTGCACTGGGTCTTCAGCGGTATATCACGCACCAGCGGGCCTGTTACCCGCCTCGTGCGGATCTGCTGCGCAGGGTCAACGAGTATATGAATGTGTTTACGGAGGTTGCGGAGGCTAGAAAGAGGGAAGCTGCGCGACGGGCGGCGGAGCCGGACGAGGATGGATTTGTTACTGTTACGAGTGGGCCGAAGCTTACTTCTGCGGCTGGTGAGGAGGAGGCCAAGCGGTTGATCGAGAAGCAGAAGAAGAAGCAGGAAGGGTTCGGCGACTTTTACCGGTTCCAGTCTAGGGAAAAGAGGAAGGAGAGGCAGATTGAGCTGCTGAAGAAGTTTGATGAGGATAAGAAGAAGCTAGAGGAGATGAAGTTGCGCAAAGGCAAGATTAGGGTGCGTGTTCCCTCGTTCGGTTATCTTACTTTTGCTAACTGGGTTCTAGCCGGAGTGATCATTTGGTCTGGTCTGCTTCGTGTGGATTTAGCATGGCGTTTACAGGTTATAAAAGTTTTGGCACACTTTCACCATGTCATGATGCTTGTACGATGGACGCAAGGCAATGTGAGTATGCGCTCTATTCCATTCCACTGTCTTGATCTTATGATGAATCCGCTGGGGCCAGAGTAGCAAGACTCGTTTATTGATGTCATGCACTGCCTTCAAAAACCAGCATTATAACAATCTTCTCACCTTTCTGAGCAATCTTTCTACGTTCTGTTATATGGATCTCGATATGCCACAATTTGAACGAGTGCTAACTTGATAACTCCAGACTCATCAAAGGTTGCATGGACACGTATATCAAAGGCGTTCATTACAGATTGTACCATACATAGAATCAGAAAGTACTGGGCCTAAAATCTATCAAGACGTCTAATGAAGCTCTTCAGACTTCTCCTCAGGAGTATACAACCGTCCTCACTCATTGGTCCCCACACACCCACCAAAAAGGCTTGGCATGACATCTCCATTCAGCTGCGTAAAAGCTTCAGGTACCTTATCGATTGCGAAATAAGCTCAACCCATTGACTTGCAATTCTATATCTTGAATCTGCAGTCCAATTCTCAAAAGACAGGTTATGCCCCCTATTCCGTACACTAGTACATTTATTACTGCTTAAGTAATGGTTATATAAACTCCAGCCTCAAGTCTCATTCCATACCCCTCCATTCACCCCGCAACGCTCGATTAGAGCCACCTGCTATTTGCTGCTCAACAAAATGACCTCGACTACGATGGCTTCAAGCGGAGGCGGTGGATTCATGCCATCTTCAGTCTTGTCACCGGCTCCGTCAACATCAACAGTGACGCCATCCCAACTCCCGAAGCAGAGATCGCACCCGCTCCGTGCTGGGTCCCAAAAGGAAGCTACGGTGATCAATCACGTTGATAAGAGCATTCTCGCGATCAATCGGCGGCATGCGAAAAAGTTCAGCAGTGCATTCGAGCAGCCACCATCTGGAGCGCAATCTGGTGGTCTGCCTCACGGGAGCGATGGACGAAGAGAAGCAGATCTCGAGACAGAAAAGGAACGAGGCTACGAGAACTTCAAGGAGGTCGCCCGGGACGTCGAGAGTCTTGTCGACGTTCTCTGGGTTAGCGGAACTCGTGCGTTTATCTCTTTTTTTTTTTTTTTTTTTTTTTTTTTTTTTTTTTTTTTTTTTTTGATAGTTTATCTTACTCAGCTACGAGAACATACTGACCAGTGTATAGCCTCCCTCCAAATCCCCTATCTGATCTCGCTCTCCGTCCTCGTAAACACCTACCTCCCGGACTACCCATTCGTCGCAAAGCCGACATTCCGGCTCCTCCGGAAACTAGACTCGTTCTTTGCCTCGCTGATTCTCGGCGAGGATAGCGAGTCCGGTCAGCCGCTCTCTGGCTTTGAGGGACGGAACAACATCGTCTCGATGACGGAGAAGGTGCGGGTCAAGAGTATTGCGGAGACGGCGAGGGTTATTGTGGTTGAGGCCGGGGAAGGGAGGGACCCGGAGGTGGATGACGAGATGAATGGCGAGAGTGATGAGGACGATATGGATATTGAGGGGTTTGGGCTGGGGGAGGCGCCGTCGAAGTGGGAGATGGAGACGGCGAGGGTGTATGAGAAGACGATTCAGTTGCTTGGGGATGAGTTAGGGAAGGCAGGAGAGTTTTGTGATGAGAACATGGCTCGTGGTGAGGAGGGGGATGAGGGAAATGATGTGTTATGAGTCCGTGAGGGCGTTACTGCTTTGGATATATCCGCTAGTCTATATCAACAAGATTATAAAACCAAAGCTACGAAGACAGTGCCAGGTGGTCAACTAATCTTACCAGACGCAGTTTGAGAACGTCCTGCCGACAATCTCGAGCACGGATAGATTCCAGATTCACCGGATTTCTAAGCCACGCTTGCACTTAACGCAAACTGAAAACCGTTGAGAGCACGAACCACCGTCAGAGGGCAAAGAATTCGGCAATGTGGGTGGGCTGAGGTGCTGGACCCATGGTTCTGTGGCTCCTCCTTGGGTTCCTCAGACTACTTCTTTATGAGCGCTGGTCCAGGAGAGCCAGCGTCACCGATATAGAGCTTGAGGACTTCAAATACTTGTCCGCGACTGTGCGTATGACGTTGGGTGGTTGTCTGGTTGAGTTAGCTGTTAGGGGTGCAGCAAGGGACGGCCTAAATGGAACTAAGCCCTGCAGCTCGCCCTGTGGTATCCGTAAGTGCGAGCATTCAATATTTAGGAAGCTGCTCCCGTCTCATTGAGGCCCAAGACTGAGTAGTAAGGGAGCACTTGAGGTCAAGTACATGCATCTGCAGCATGCGAAGCTAGAAAGCTGTGTTGAGGCAGGGTAAGCTTATTACTCAATCTCACCATCAGGACTCGGGTCAAAGGGGCTGACCCCTTGCTCTTACAAGGTTGAAGGTTCCTATGCATGATTGAGCATCTCGCATGATTGGGAGAACAAGTTTGTGCCGCCTGGCAAGACCCTAGCGGAGCTGATCGCGTCGCGCGGACGCGTGTTCCATCCATTACTACTCCAGAACCGGGCTAGGCGAGGATTAGTGCTGTGAGGCTGCCAGGTTCTTGGGCCCCGTTTGAGTAAGGCTCTCCGTTGGTGGGATCCTGAAAGCTCGGACCTGCGCTGGTGTGAGATGAGATTCAGGCAGAAGAGTCAAGGCGACTGGGGGCGGGAGTGATGGTGGAGTGACTGTGAGCTCTCTTTAAGAGCTCGTGGGATTGTCTCTAAGGTCATGATTTGGACTAGTAAGAAGATGTACCTACTGTACGTCGCGAGCTGCAAGTACAATTCCCACCGGCTTTCTGCGATGAGGTAGTCCAACCAATGAGGGATTTCAGGACTGAACCCGAGAGTCAAAGACCATGGTTTTTGCTTCTGGATTGTGGAATTGTGGAGGACCGGGTCAGCTTCATGCTCTTTCTTAACGTTTCTTTTTCTGTGGTGAGCTGAATTTCTCCATGTCCTGTACGCCGTAATGTGATGTAATTACATGGAGTTTACTCGGCTGATGCAGGCATTCATGATTACTAGTATGGGGAAGTCTGAGAGCCCTCCTCCGGGTCTCTTCAATGCTACTCCAGAGGGTGTTTGGTGCGGCTTTACAAAACTCAAGCTGGGATATGGTACTCACTTATACGGTCTTTCTCCAACCGATGATGTCTCGGTTTCGGTCTCGACTCGATGCACGCACAAGTGCAGTCAAGGGCACACACGACCAATTGCTCCAGGATCCAAGGTTTCGGGGCTCATCGGTGGGGGCAATTTTTCCACTTTTCAGCCCTTCCCTAAGTTCTCTTGGGCCTTTTTGGGCTTTCAAGTTTCAGCCCTCCCATTTTAGCAAGTAGCTAAACTGTAAAGGAATCGTGAATTTATGGCTGATGACTGGATCCAAGGAACAATGGATGCAAGCGGAGGCCGATCTACGAATAACTTGAGTGTTTAGAGCCGAGGCGGAGACACCATGACGAGAGGACCCATGAGCCATGGGACACATGAAGCGCAGTCGACGAGTCACAGTGCAGGATTGCTCACTGGAAAAGTCCTCATGCACTTGAGCCAGGTCCTTGCAGATTTCTGCATCTCATCATTATTAAGCTGGTCCTTGGATGTTCGCCCCTAGATTTGCCTGTCTCCTTACCTGGACCAGTTGAGACTTGAGAGAGCCAAGTTGAAAGTAAGGACAGATTTTCAGATACATAGACAGTCGGACAATCCAGAAGAATGAGGTATCGTCCAGCTGAGTATCATTATGGATTATTTGCCGTACTCGACAGAGTCGGTCGCCTGGATGTAGCCCACAGATCCAGCGCCCCGGATCGAACTTAAGCCAGGCACAGCTCGATATAGTTATCGAGGCCTTGACTCCAAAACTCAACGCCTGGCAAGTTTAGTTGCGCATGCTCAAATTAAGATCATGTCAGGACGCAAACCCGCAGGATGCGGCGGTCATCTGGCCAGCAGTGGTTGGCTGTTCTCAGATGCTCGTAGGTCGTATCAAATCCGTATATACCAGATTAGTACCGTACATGGTTGTATTTCTCGACTGACAAAGGTCCCCGGGCAATGGTGAACTCATCACTACTATCAAACAAGAAATGAACCAATACTCGTTGTACTAGTCGTGATTGCTGAGGTTCTCAGTGAAGCATGAAAAGCATCAGCTTGCTCATATAGGCCTATTAGGCAGTTGCAAACGAGGCGGCGAGCTCGTACAGGATGACTGGAACGAAGGAAAGGAAAATTCTTCGTCCCACCAGAGAAGCGCTTCGCCCCTCCTCCAGTCTCCTCGCAGCAGCAGCACTGGCAGCAGTTCTTGTGCGTGTGTATTAGAGCCAGATTTGATCGTTTGTTCGTGTGTTTTACCGATCCTCATTCTCTTTGCTGGAGTTCCCGTCTTTTTCTGGTCTGCCCTAGTCGTTAGTAAGGTAGTCCATCCATCGTTCCCTTCTTCGCTTCTTCCTTCTCTCCCTTCCCTCCCCTCCGTCTGAAGAATTATCATCATCTTCGCTCTACCCCTCCTCTTCTCTTTCTTCCCTCTTCGCTTTTCCTCCCCTGTTTCTTGTTCTTGTCGGAAAACACGGAGTCGGTTTGCGGATCAAGTTCTGTAACTCTCTACTTTGTGTCTTTTTTCTGCCTTTTTTTCTCTTCCTCTTATCTTCTTATTCTCCGCCTTCTGGGAGTTATCCTGCTATCTTACGTCCTGTTCTGCCCATACAATCGCGACGCTTTTCGTCTCGTCTCATAAATCCAAGTCTTTAAGGCTCAGTTGGTATTGCATTGTCTGGTAAGTCGTGATTCATTCTGTATCTTCTTCGGCTCCCTTTTGGCGCTCGACTGGACACGGCGTTCTTGCATACTTTTTCTTTGTTCTTGTATAATCCGGAGATATCTTCTCTTGTGGCCGGCAACCGATATGCCCTCCGACGCGATGCGCTCTACGCAACTGCTCAGCTCTGCCCTCATTTATTTCCTCGTGTCCTGTTGATTTATACCGGCCATCTTCCACACCTGCCTGTCTCCATGAGCTTCCGTCGAAAGTCGGTAGATGCAGCGAATCGATCTATCATAATCCATGTGTCCTGCCACTGGCTTTCACCCCTCGGCCAACTAGAATGCAAACCCTCGGAGAACAACCCGACCACAAGAAGTCACAAGTCGCATTGTATACCACCGCCAGATTATATACTGCTTGATTGCTGAAGGGCATGTTTGATGGTTCGAATTGGCGTCACCTTACCCTGGGGAGACGGTCGCAGTCGGAGAGGGAATGCCGGTGTCGGTGGCATTGACGGACGCGGCAATTCAATCCTCAACTCTGATCATCTCTCGCCCGTACCCTTTTGCGACAATTCACTTTTACTCTTATTTCGTGTGCCAAATCAACCCAGCGTCACGGCCGCTTTTGTCAAACTTTCAAAGTCTCAGTTTGGGTCCAACAATTTGAACTCTATCCTCGATTGATCGAAACTTCTCGACTGCAAACCAAACGACAAAATTTGCCTTTTGAGCGCGCGCCAGACGAGGATTGATCTAGCCAATATTTTGCTCTTCCACTTTGTTAACCCTTGACTCTCAATTTCCCCCATTCCCTCAGTCTAGTCCAGTCGCTTCCGTCTTTGAACTTCACTTTTGCATTACCTGGTTCCGTGCGCTCGATCGCTAATACAAGTCCTACTTTCAGAAGTCATATACCTCTTTCAATCTCTTCAAGTGCTCAGTGCTCAACGATCGTACGACACGCTCCTTGATGACCTATACGAATTCCCCAGCCATTAACGCGTTAGAAAAGTCTTTTTTTCTGGGGTTTCTCCTTCTCATCTGAAATCTGAAGGTATGCGGGGAAGCCTGGCTAAACCGTCCACAAGACGCGCGCGCGCGTGCGGCAATTGCGATTTGGCTAACACTCGGTTCTCAGGCAGTTCTATTGCTCATATTTTTACCATCATCTGATTCTCCGTCAAAATGTCCTTCCAAAACTTCGACTCGTTCCAGAACCAGCACCCAGCGGCTGATGCCGCCGCCGCTGCTCCTCCCGCGACCGCGGACGCCACCATGACCGGCCAGGCAGACCCTTCCACTGCTCCCTTCCAGGGCCCTGCCCCCGGTGAGGGCGCTCCTGCTGTTCCTCAGCAGGGAAACGAGGGAAAAACCACTCTTTGGTGTGTACTACAAACCCTGCGTGCGCGCATACTCTGCGCTGTGTTACCACTACAGGATGATTTCGTTCTAACATGTTTCGCATCTAGGATGGGTGAGCTTGAGCCCTGGATTGACGAGAACTTTGTCCGCAATCTCTGGTTCCAGATGGGCGAGCAAGTCAACGTCAAGATGATCCGCGATAAGTTTTCTGGGTGAGTAAAAAAGTATACCCAGATACCGAGGGCGACGATCCTAATGTTGGTAGTAGGAGCAATGCCGGCTACTGTTTCGTTGATTTCGCCTCTCCCGCCGCTGCAGGCAAGGCTCTGACACTGAATGGCACCCCCATGCCAAACACAAACCGCCTCTTCAAGCTGAACTGGGCTACCGGTGGCGGCCTCGCTGACCGCAGCCGCGATGACCGTGGCCCCGAGTTCTCCATCTTCGTCGGCGACCTTGGCCCCGAGGTCAACGAATACGTCCTCGTTTCCCTCTTCCAGAGCCGGTTCCCATCTTGCAAGTCTGCCAAGATCATGACTGATCCCATCAGCGGCATGTCGCGCGGCTACGGATTCGTCCGTTTCTCTGATGAGAACGATCAGCAGCGCGCCTTGAGCGAGATGCAAGGAGTTTACTGTGGAAACCGTCCCATGCGCATCTCCACTGCTACCCCCAAGAACAAGGGCCCCGGTGTCGTTCCTGGTGGCATGGGCATGCCTGCCGGCCCCGGCATGTACCCCCCAATGGGTGGCCCGCCCATGGGCTTCTACGGTGCTCCCCAGCCCATGAACCAGTTCACCGACCCCAACAACACCACAGTCTTCGTTGGCGGCCTTTCTGGATATGTTACCGAGGATGAACTCCGCTCCTTCTTCCAAGGATTCGGCGAGATCACCTATGTCAAAATCCCCCCTGGCAAGGGATGTGGTTTCGTTCAGTTCGTTCAGCGCCATGCTGCCGAAATGGCCATCAATCAGATGCAGGGGTACCCCATCGGTAACTCTCGTGTGCGTTTGAGCTGGGGTCGCTCGCAGAACAACTCTGGCCCTGCTGGCAGCCCGTATCGTCCTGCTCCCCCTCCCCCTCCCATGTACCTCCCCCCTCAGCACCAATATGGCGGTTTCGCACCTATGAAGGTAAGTTCTCCATGCTCTATAAATCTCAAGCATCATTCTAACAGGTAGCAATAGTAAATAAACTAGCGTTCCTTGTCTTGCAAAGGAGCTACAGGAGTTTTCCCTCGTCCTTTCAATGATGGGTCTTTTTTGAGTTATACCGTATCAACTTTCTATTTATCGTTGCGAAAGTCTTCTCTATAGTTCACGATGGGCCCACATCTTCTCCTGTGTCACGTACTTCATGTGTGAGCGCTTCTATTTTTAGCCATACCTGATTCCATTTCCACCATTTTCATCATGTTGAATCTTCTGCGATTTTCCCTTACCCATTTCCCCTCACAAGGTTGCCGCATGCTTCTCTTTCTTTTTCCCCTCGCAATCTTATCTTCTTAGATGCCCGAATGTCTTTCAATCTTTCACCCTATGTGTCACTTGCCATTACGTTCAGGTCATAGGTTCATTGTTCGTACGCCAGCAATCGGATGCGCATCTGTTCTCTGTACTCCATGGGCAGGCAATTTGCGAAAAGTTTCCTCTGCAGTCGTTTCCCTGAAGGTATCAATTGAATCATTCTCCCGCGTTTGAGATGCTGAATCATTCGTCCTGTTACTAGACTGCCTGTACAACATGATTTTGTTGGCCTCGTCTACTCTTGCTACTGCACATGGAAGACGCGCTTACTTCGTTGACCTGTAGCTTATTGGGTTTTACGAGAAGACTTTCTGCCTCGGAGTGCTTTTGGAGTTCTGGGTGAAAAAGGGTATTATGTGCGTTTCTCAGGAGATGGGGTGAGTGCCTCCACTGGACAGTCTTGTGTCGCGATTTCTTGAGCAGTGGGCGAATTCGTCGCTGCTAACGGATCAGGTTGGAACTTTGTTTGAGTGTCTTTTCTACTGGATGATTCCCCCCGTTCGTCATGAAGGCGCCGTCATTTGTGTTTGAGTCGAGACAGGAAGTCATTTGGGCTTCGTCACCACTTGTTTCTGGCGCATAGAGAGTGTTTAGGCAACCACCAGTTTCTTTCTCCGAAGAAGTGTGTTCGTTCATGATCCCAGTAAGGAAGGTTCGTGTGGAGGGAGGGAAGGCTTCTTGCGGCAGGAGCGTCCCAGAGCCATTTCAGCATCACAACCTTCATCTCTCCTGCTCTGTCCAACTATTCACCCCTCGAATGCCAACCACTGCAATTCTCGATTTACTATTTCGCTCTCGCACGCGGATGTAGCTGCGCTGTTGTTACTGCTGATATTTTCTAGTTTTGATTCCAGTCAAGCTCCAGTTCTTCGTTTCTCATTATATTACGAACAATCAGCAGCAGCGTCGCGCGAATCAGCCAGCCAAGATGCGCTACGAAAATTGGGACGTGCTCTTATTCCCTGCGAATTGCAAGGTGCCTGTCCAGGAGTTCAAGACTCAGTGTTTTGTCACTCGAGATCGAGGCGAGTACACCAACAGAGATATCTCATTTCTTCGCATTGCTGCTGACATCAAGCCCTCGTTTGCAGACTCTCCCTACCTACACAACCCTGCCTTCGCTGGGCCAGCTGCTTATTATCAGCCGCACGGCAACTTCAGCCAGTTGCCAGTCCTCACCACTTTCATTCCAAGTCTGCCTCTAAACAGCCCATTTCGAGTGTCCATTCATACCTGGGAGCAGCCTCGGTCGAGCCGCTTGATGGAGAGTCTTCTGCAGCCAGATGATACCGCGCTGTTTGAAGTCAGAATCTTTATCGACGGTTTATGCGTCGCGTAAGTCATCACTGATTTCGCAAGCACGGTAACTACCACGGGTCTTGTCTGATTGTCAATGTTCAGGGGGAGTGTCATTGGTCAAAGAACCAACTGGCCGCATGTAATCGGTGAGTATCCCCTGCTCCGCATCTCAAGCGTTGCAAAGCTAACGCCGTTCAAATCTTGGTTTAGACTTGAGCTCCCGTACGCCTCTCATCTCTCCCCCCTGTTTCTAACACTATGCCTAATACAATCTAAATAGACGTCGACAAGAGCGGCAATCAGGATACCCTACGCTTTCCGCCCTTCCACCAGGAAATTCTAGAGCAAAGGCATTGGGATGCAGGAGATCTTCATGGCAGGATTAGGATCGTGATCGCAGAAGGGTTCGCTCGACCACACCGCAATCCGCCATTTGAAAGAGTCAAGGAGATAATTGCATTTGCGTTCCAACACGCTCCACTAAGTGAGTTGTCCGAAGCATAATCACTCGCAATCTTGAGTATCTGCTCACCTTGAGAGACAGATGTTTTGGAGTACTCTAGCATTGCTTGGCCGAATGCCTCCATGTGGAGCAAAGAACCACGGCTCTTCAAGTACAATACAGGAAGCGGAGTGAGTGATCTGAAGGAAGCGGACGACGCACATGGCCATTCACCTAGTCGACCTGAAGCTCGTCCACCGGTAGCAACCGCTGGGCCAGTCGGCAACCCCACTACACTTAACCTATGGAGAGATAGGAACTATCAGGGTCCTGTGCCGCAGTGGCAGGGCAGCAACTACCGGGAACCTCGTTGGGCGCCTGCAGAGACAGTTTTCGCCGATCCATTCATTGATCCATATGTGCTGGATCCTGCCGCCCGTCACAGGGGCGCAAGGCCCTCTTGGGAGGACATATCCATGCCAGATTACGTCTCGAGCTCCAACACTAGTAGTCGAGCAATTTCGAGCATGACGGGTATCAGCTATGAGCATAGCAAACATCCCAGTCTTGTCGCTCCAATCGATGAAGAGTCCTATAGTCAGTTGATTCAGGCTCTTAGCCCTCCCAAGCCACTTTCCTGCATTTCCCAGCCCCAATCCAACACTCCTGCTGCTCTCGCTCTCCCCGTGAAAACAAAGCTCTCGGCTGCAGCAGAAGCCCGATCCGCCTCCTATGGCAAGAGTGGAAGTCGCGCCTCCGTCAGCATTCCCAAAGACGTGTCGTACTCGGGCAGTCGGGAAGCATCCGGGTCCAGCACGAAATCGAGCCCCATGCCGGCCGACGCTGCTGTTGAGCGCGGGACAGTGGGCAGGGTTCACCCTAGCCCTAGCGGACCTGTCAAGGGTCGGAAAGAAGGCCTGTCTCAGGAGAATAAGGAGAACGAAGCAGAAACTCCACGGAAGGAGTCGGACAAAGCCCCTCCAAAACTCATTGCGAGCCCTATCGAAGGCAAAAGGCGACGATCATTAGGCTCCAGCCGCGAAGATTGTCTCAACATTAATAGGAAAGAGCCGGCGGTACTCGTCTCACCCACTCAGGATTCGCCTCGGGTGGAGGATGTTGTTGACCACGCCGACTTTGACTGCTTCCTTGATTCTCAGCCAACACTTGTGGGTGCCACAGCTGATGCTGGTGAGACCGAGTAAAAAATGTCCATCTCCATGATCAGTGATTTGGCCATTATGACGATCCTCATAAATTTTCTTCTTTCTTTGCTTCCATACTTCTGCTGCCTTTCATTTTTCTTCTCAGTGTGAAAAAACTAGGGCAAGAACAATGTCCTTGTTGTATTATTCTTCTTACTAAGCTATAGAATCATTACTCCTGCTATTCACTTGGCCTTGAACTGTACAATCAGAATATGCGCTCTCAAAGAAATAGAGCGCACAGTTATCGGGTGAGAAACCAGCGCGACTGCCCTCCCCGTTTGCGCATGATTGCTCCATCTGGAAGGACCAACGCTCCTTCGCCACTTTTCCTTCTTCAAATTCTCCTCTCATGTTATCTTTCCTCTGTTAATTTGTTGATCTCTTTCTCTTAATTCACTACCATCAAGTGTTAGCTCATTCGCTTTGGTCCACTGCCCTCAAGTTTCGAATCCTGCAGAAACATGGAGCCCCCCACCTTCGGTGCACCTTCTTTCCCACATTCAACTACCAGTCCTCAAGGTCTGGGTTCAATGGCGGAAGGGTTTACCAACTGGGCATCTCAGCCCTCTCCATACCGCACGATTGCCCCATGGACTAGCTACAGGGAGCGTAACTCGAATAACACAACCACCACTACTAGTCACGAACTGAGCCCTGCATCGGCGCCCAGGAAGACGATATCATTTCCTCTAACGCCTTTTGGTCCTTCTGTTTCAAATATCCCGGGCCCGCGCCCTTCTCGTGCTGATCAGCTCCCAATGTTCGAGTCATTGGAAGATGAGAGGCCCATCAAGGCGGAACAAAACCAGGGAAACCGTACCCTGGCGGACAGTATTGCGCATGTTCAGCCAGTGGCTCGAGCAGGGAACACTAGAGCAAAGGCAAGTTCGACGATTTTCTCATATCTGCTGGCTTCCATAGGGTTTGCTATAAGATCTTCCTATAGTTTCCAGGACTAACAATCTTGTCAAATAGTCTTCACCAGCTCATGTGTCTCGTGCAAACCCCGTTTCCCTAGGCTCTCTAAACCTAGAAACACTCAGTGATTCAAGAATATTTTACTATTTCGGTGTACTGGCGATACAAACAGTGCTTCTGCCCCAATTCCACTTCACACGTGGCCGAAAACGAGATCGCTGGGGCGTCAAGATGACCATGTACGGAATGACATTGGTTCGTTCGCACGTGTACGCCTCCCGCAAAGACGCCAAAGTGGACGTATGTAAAGAGGCTCTGAAAAAGTTAAAGGTCGAGCATCCAGATTGGATTGTGCCAGAACGGCCAGGGGGTTCGCTCCCACCTGTCGATCGGGATTGGGTGAGAATCCTCCGCGGTAAGAGGGATATTCCTTCCCAAGTCCATTCCAGTACTAATCATGATTGGAAGAATATTGTGCGCAGCAGGGTCTGCGTGATCCAAGATATACAACGTATGAGCATCATCAAGGATACCGCCACGAGGTGGAGGTCGGTGGCGGTATGTACTTTGGCGTCTTGAGACACTATCCGGATGAGCATTCATCTAGGCAAGGAGCAGCACACCTGGCACTTTACGACATGCTAGTGCGGGGAGAAGATAGCCACCCTGAGCTCCAAGGTCTCTCCACGATGAATGCTCGTAAGGCAAGTCCATCGGCCCTGGTCTCTCGAGACCCTCCCCGCATGTCTTTTAAGCAACACATTCCAGCGAAAAGAAAGCGGGAGGACCACGAGAGGAGTAGGGCTGTCAGCCGGCGCGTTAGAGAAAGCAGATCCCCTGTAAACGTCCCGAGCGCTCAGGAATCAATGCCATCGAATGCAAACCTACAGCCGCTAAAGAACAGCCGGTTGGCAGCAATCGAGATTCAGCCTCCTGTAGCTGAAGAGAGGCGCTGGAAGGCAACTCCCTCGGAGTTATCGTACCAAATCAGGAATCTCGAATCGTGGACAATGAAACTAGAAAGTAACGTGGATCCCTTCCGCGCAGCCTCTTACCTGAAGTTCAGACTAACAATGACATGAACTCCCTCTCATCGCGAGAGGGGTCATTTCCTACGTGAAGGAATCTGCAATTTACTCGCGCTCGAACAGCCAGAAATCCGAATCGAGAGAACCGACGGACGGCTTATTGAGGAAGGAGGAGAATACACCGCCGGAGCATGGTTCACACTTGACCCGTTCCTTACCAGAGCAAGCCCCATCGGAAAAGTGCAGGACGTGCGAGGTACCAGGGATGCTGCACACGAGGCTTGTGCTCAGAGGGTTTCGGACTACTTGATCAGGCTGGTCGAAGAAGACAGCTGATATTTGGACCCATGCACAGAAATACTCTGGAACATTTGAGGAACGATGCATGCCCGGCTTAAAAATGGGAGCGCAGCTCGGGATACAGCGTGTATCCATCATATTGCTTCCTTGTTGAACTGCGTAATGTCCGTATATGGCCATGCCGGAACTGACGTTCCGCATGTCTCGTGTCAGGCACAGTGAGTTTTAGCCTTTCAATATACAGTACATGGCCAAGTGCAATGGAGAGTTTGTAAGATTACCAGAGCGAGATGAGGAGCAAGACATGATCAATGGATTTTTGCATGATTCAATAAGCCGCTAAGAGTCCCAAGTCAGTGTCGGGGGAGGTGATGGCGACCTAGATTAAGTCTCGAGTTTTAACGCCACAATAACGACCAACGAACCAAAGACACAGAGTGAACGGATGAATGGTAAGAAAAGGTCAAGAACATTCTAGTCACGCGATGAACCGTGTTACCGTATCATGGGCATGACCTGAGGCACAACGTATACCAAATTGAGGAACCCTCAAAAAACTTGATTAACCAGAACTGGCGGCTGAGGAAGGGGGGGAAATGGTAGTAGTAATATAATAATGAAAGAGAAAGAAGTAAAGTGGAGGGACTCGGCAAAAGCACAGATCATACCAGCTGCTCGCGAGTAAAAAAGTTGCGATAATTTCAGAACCAAGCGATACTCCTGGACGACAAACAGATAGAAAGGATATGCAAGAACAAGACTACACCAACGCCAGTCCCACGCGCACATATCCATATCCAAGATCATGTCTGAACATAGTTGGGGGGAAAAAGGGCAGGTTAGAAAAGAGAAATGGAGAGTAATGAGAGGTCGATAGCCCAAAGGCAAGATGTCGACGAAATGTACAAATCAAGGGTATATGGTGCTGGGGTGATTAAAGACACAGATTTCGTTCACAAGCCATTTTCGGCGCCGGTCTCAACGCCGTCGGTGTATGATATGCTTGGATCAAACCCGAAGCCAGCTGTGTCCGTGTCTGTGTTGAGGAACGTGTCAAAGTCGAAATTCTCGAGGATATCTGGGTTTTCGAGCGCACTGAAATCAAGACTGAAAGCAGATGGCTAAATTGGGTTAGTTTAGTGGGAGGCATAATGGTCATTCTAGAAAGAAGGCTCACATCAGGAATGCTAAGATCGTTGAATGACTGCTGAGCCTGGTCAGGAGGAGGCTGCACAAGAGTCTGTTGCATAGGAGCGGATGTTGGCTGCTGCGGTGCGCCAGTTGTGGCACCACCCTGCTTGCCAAACGATTGTTGATGTTGAGGAGTAATGGGTGTGGATGGTGTGGGAGTTGGCGGGTGCTCCGCCTCCGAGGACGGTGTAGCTGCCGTGTTAGCGGCTGCCGCTGCCGCTGCCGCTTGGTTCTTCTTGGTAGGTCGCTAGGTATTGTCAGGAATATGGGACATTTTGTTTCTCTTGAAGATAAAACGTACCTTTGCTCTATCCTTGGGCTCTTTCTTTTTCGGTGGAGGTTTGGTGCCCTGCTGCGGTGTCGGAGGAGCAGCTGCACCAGTCTGAGGAGATGGCGGTGGCTGGCGGTTATTGGTGGCAGTAGGCGGAGCTTGAGGAGGTGGCATCGAATTCGCGGCCTGGGGTGTTCCGGTTGTTGGAGGCTGAATAACGGGAGATTGCTGCGGCATCAAAGGCTGACCACCTTGCTGAGGTTGCTGCCAGGCTCCATTAGGCATGCGGTTCGCCGCACCAGCCGGTATCGGTTGACCCATCTGGGGTCCGGTGAACGCCGGGTTGGAGCTGGGAGGCCGCATGCCGTTGGGTCCTTGCATATTGTCCGGCATGCCCTTCATGAAGAACTGGGGTGCCATCTCGGGGGGCATTTGGCCAGTGAAGTTCATGGGGGATCCACGGCCCTGCATCATCGCATCAGGAGCGCTTGGAGATCCGGGGAGGCCTGATTGCGCAATCTTGGGGGTGCCGCGCTTCATCTGATCGTTGGGATTGGGTGATGCTCCTGTCCTACTGCCCTGAGGTGAGGTACCGGGGGGCATTTGCTGCCCAGGTTGTTGCTGGCCCTGCCCAGGCAGCGGCTGGCCATCGGGACCGCGCGCCATACTGTCCTGTTCTTGACGAGCCATCATGAGGCGGCGTTTGTTCTGCTGCTCGAGGAGCATGAGTTGCATTTGATAGTCCTGGAGAGCATGGTTACCATGCTGACCACCAGGAGTTTGGACCCCAGCCCTAACCTGCGCCATTTGGCCATTCGCGCCACCATAAAAGTCGCCATTCATCGGATACATACCCTGGCCATCTGGCATTGGTACCAGATCCGCCTGATTCGGCATGACGCCGGGGTTCATTAAACCATTAGGCATGCCCTGGTTATTCATTGCTGAGCGAGAGTGATGTAGAGCCAAGTTTTGAGCATATACCTGGATTGATTTCGGCTGTGCAGCCGGATTTGCCTGCTGAAAAGCACCAAATTGATTCGGATTCATCGGCCGTGGCGTAAGCCCATTCTGCATCAACATTGCCGGGTTCGGTTGACCAGGCATGGCCTGCCCTTGACCCCGTCCGTTGGGCACCAATTGTTGTCCATTCATAGGGCCACCCTCAAGACGAGGCCGCTTCGACGGGGACGGCGCATTTTCGGCGGATGATGGAGACTGCGGTCGGTGTCCGTTCATATCGATGTCGGAATGCTCTCGTTGCATTTGCATCATTTGCATCTGTTGGTTCTTCTGAAGTTGCGCCAACTGTTGCTGCGAGCTATAGAATGGATCAGTACATTGATTACCCAACCACGGCTACGCATGGGAGGGTATGATTTCACGAAAAATTGAAGGGAGGGGGAAGCGCATACAATCCACCAGTATTGTTCTGCATCGCCTTTTGCTGAAGGGTGGCCGGCATCATCCCATTTCCGCGCATGTTGTTCAGTCTCCCCATCTGGCCTGGAATCATCTGTTGCTGGTTTCGAAAGATCTGGTTTTGTTGCTGTTCTCTGAGGCGCATCATGTTCTGCAGCGCAGAGATGTTAGAGGTTTGGAAAAGGGGAAGTTGAAATAGAAAGAATCCCGCTCGTACCTGATTATGCTGGAGATATTGCCTCACATCGGCGCTATGTCCCTTCTTCCGTTGTGACCAGAAAAATTCCCAGAACAAGCTAAACCACTCGAGGAGGAAAGACGTGTGTTGACTTTCGCTAACGAGGCTGGGTCGAGGCAAGTCATCGGGAATTTTCAGCTTCTCACCATCTTTACCATCAGTCATCATCGCATCACCATCAACACCGTTCATATCGCCTTCCCTGCGTTGGCCTGGACTCGTTTTGATAGGAGGCTCAGTGTTGAGCTTGACCAACTCGTCTTTCACAAGCGCTCTCGCACAGTCGTGATAGCCACGTTTTAGGAAATAGTCGTATATATAAGTGTTAAGATTGTTGATCATTATGTCGGGGTTCATACTGCCATCGTTACGCGGTGCCATCGAGCCGTTATTGACCATGGGCACGCCTCCCACAGGACCCCCGACACCGGGATTCATCCCCGCAACGTTCATCTGATTCATGATGCCGCTTTAAGGACCCAATGACCTTTCAGTGCTTCGGTTGGTCCACGACGAAAGCGACCAGTTAAGTGGCTTCAACGCGCATCCACAGGCTTCAAGTGAGGGTACCCTCCGCTGTGGAAAAGGCGGGTTGCGCAAAGCGATGAAAAGGAGTAGTGAGTGAGAAGGGATACCAGAAGCGGTAACGTGATGCGGCAAGTGGGTGTTGGCGTTTGCACGCTCAGGAGCAAATGCTGATGGCAGCTTCTCCCCGGAACCGGGACGAATTGTACTCAGATATTCGTCTGGCAGTAGGTGTGAAAAGAAAAGGTTTCGAGTGGGAAAGAGCTGCTATAACATCTGTCAAAAGACCTCAGCCGGAGAGAGATCGAGGGCACGAAGCGGCTGTGGGTTGCAGGAGGCGATTAGCGACACGAACGGTGAGGAGCGAGGAAAAAGCGGCGTTTAGATGGAAAGGAAAATGGAGGACGAGTCGCGACAAAGTGCGGACAGGATAAATGGTAAAAAATAGGTGAGGATGAGATTTGACAGAAAGAGCTCCAATATAATACGAAAAGAGAAGTAAGAGAAGTGATGGAGCCGTCTGGCGGAGATCAGGCCAGAGAGAAGAGGGGGCGGTGGGTGGAGGAAAGAATAGAAGGCGACCGTCAAGATCAGGTGTAAAGGCGGTGGATCTGTGGGAAGCAGCGACAGGCAAAGAATAAGAGAGAGGGGCGCAACTTGGAAGATAAGTGGGAAGACGGAGTAGAGAAGCAGACGGATGGGACGTGGATATCAGTCCCGGTGCCTGGAAGGAAGAGGATTAAGTCAAGATCAGACCGACTTGGACTTTGGACTTTGGACTTGGGCTGGTCCCAATTCCCTCCTCTTCGCTGCTGGGGCGGGAATCGCTTGCTCGGCACGGATTAACCTGGCCGGAACAAGGCGGGAGGGCTGGGAGATGCAGCTGGCAAGCGTATATCTGAGCATACACGGCGGCGAAAGATGAAGCGACTGCAGAACACAAGCTGCTGGAAGGGTATTGAAAGAAAGGAAAGAGCTCTGGGCAATAAAATGAGCAACTTACTGTCGGCAAGCTAACAATGCTTATTAGCAATCTCGAGGGGTGCGAAGAGAAGAGATTTCGACTCGGGGAGGTTGGGGGAAAGGTGGTCAGGTAGGGCGGCCTCCGTATCTGTCGCCGCAGAACTGTTTCAATAAAGATGAAGGCGTACGGGCCCAATCTCCCTCAACCCAGCAGGTGTGAAACCACGGTCTAATGGATAAAGACGAGAAAGAGGGTATCAATGATGGGAATGTGGGAGACCTGGTCAGACGGCAAGGAAATGTCAAGAGAAACCGTCCGAATTGATGGACTGATCAAGAGTCGATGCATCAGTTGTTACACTCCGGGTCTCTTGACGGCGTAATTCCCAGCACAGCATGGGATGTCTACTCTCATTTTAGGCTTAGTGTATCACGTGGCCCTTTTCCTGGTCTTTGCTGCCAACTGACCATCCACGATTTCTCATCACATTACAATAAACTTGAAGCGTGTCTCAGGCTCTATGCCGCTCTCAAGGCACCCAGATAGCCATTGGTCTTTACTTAGTACATGAATGACTCGATATCTGTGGTGATTTCCCCGTGGGGATAGAAGGTGGGATAATCGGCTATAGTTCGCGAGGCCCATCTAGTTCAAGATGGACTGTCAGCGAACTCCCTGTCTGCACAATCACTTTTGCTTATCTCTCGGTCAAATCAGAGAGTCCGGATATTGATATTTGACTTGGACTAATTCTGAAATAAACACGTTTATCGCTCTCGCGATGGATTACACGGACGTTCTTGGACGCCGAGGTCGGCGCTCGCAGGTTTTATATATTAGCGACGAGCAAAACTGTTGACTATGATTTCGAGTATAGTTACCGAAAGCCATACCGAACCCGAAGCCCTTGAAATAGAGCGAAGTATCATGATCCATGAATAATCGCTAGATAAGGGAGATGGGATACATAATGTTCGACTGGGTTGGCTAGCACTAGTAGCAGAGAACACGGTGACGCCCTGAGAAACTTTAAGCATGATAGGTGCATAGCGCATAAGAACGGATGGTTCTGTGCGCGGCGCAGGGGCCAGGGGAATGATGGTTGGCCTTTAGGTGCAAACGCAGATTGGAAGCGCTTAAAATATCCACAACCTCAGGGCTTGATAAGAGTAGATTCCATTGTAATAAGGCTTCAGAAGCATAAAGAAGACATGTATCGCAGGATCTCAAAACACCGAACGCCATAAGGTTTCAGCAGAGGAATCAGTCATCCTCTGGTGGCATTTCATCCTCGATATATCTGACTAGCGATACCCGCATTTCTGTTGTGTCGTCACCCCGGAGCAAATCACTAATGAAATGAGCTTCAATCTGCATTTGCACCTAGAAGCTGGATTTTAGCAGGGAGACAACAGGCACGAACCAGTCAGCAACTCACCATCTCGAGCGCACCACGCAGAACACCACACAAAATATTGGAGAACCACAGCTCATCTTGTGCTCGTCCGTCGTCTGGTAGCTCAACGAAGTCCGCCAAAGGATTCTCGTCGAAAATGAGCGAGAATTGGTTGTTATCGCTAGTCCAATTCGTGACAGTTGGCGTGATATTGAGAAATATCTTGAATCCAACCTATCTTTTGTGAGCTTCGAGTTCAATTGATCTCCATGGTGGCCGGCATACCTTGGCGATCATATCTGCAGTCTCACGGAAGTTGACGCACCGGCCGGCATTCGACTTCGCCAAGAAGTCTTCAATGAGGCGCATCCCAATATTATAGCCCATCTTCTCCAACTGTTTGTTGACCTCCTGATAGTTCCCATCGTAGTCCTGGCATAGCTGTGCAACAATTGTTCCGTAGGTGAGAGTCACTAGCTCCGCATTGACTTTTTCTATCTTTGTTCTGGAGAGGTTGGATATGGATTAGTTGAGCGTTCGTCTGGGCGTGACTCGCGATGCATATAAACCGGGAATGAGCTTACTGACTTCCAGAGTCTAATAAAATGTGTTAGCAGGTTGTTTGGTGGGACTTCGGCATGCGAGCAACTCACTCTTCTCCGATTCTTGACACTTTCGTAGACATTCTGAGCCCTTCGCTTTAAAGGCTGAAGGATTATAGATAGAAGGCAGATCTTCAAAAAGAACGGAGTCAACGAATGCACGAATCCCCGCCAAACCTGGGGTCGAGAGGCGGAGCTGTGAGCGCTTGACCTACTTCCTTGGCGTTTGCCGCGGCTAGCGTTTCCAAAACCAAGACACCGCCCAAAAAAGACTGGAGTGCCTGGCGCAGCCGCGTTTTTTGCGATTGACATACATACCCTGTCTGACACCAGCAGTTTTATCTTCGATATCTTATTGATATCATATATACCTCATTCCATTCAATTCTCAATACTGTGCCACCCATTGAAAGATGTCCGGAGAGAAACGACCGGCTCAAGAGGCCTTTGGGTCGTCCAACCAGCTGGTTGTGAAGCGAAAGAAGTCTGATGGGTCCCTCAATGATAGCACAGCAGTCGTCAAAAGCTCATCACAGAATGGCACTCTCGTGCAAGCGGTATGTCTGTCCTAGTAGGGTCAATGATGAAGCTTCGAGGCACGTGTCTAACATTGACCGCAGGTTCCCCGCACGAGTGGATTGGATGCTCCGATTATGGAACTCACAGGTAAGATTGGGGATGCTGCTTACCTATATTATCAATGCTAATATATGGAGTTAGGCCACTCTGGCGAAGTTTTTAGTGTGCGATTTGACCCCACAGCACAGCACATTGCATCAGGTTCAATGGATCGTTCTATATGTACGTTGGAGTTATGGGTCGAGGGTAGAAATCTTTGGCGATATGGCTAACCCAGTGCAGTACTTTGGAACACGTATGGCCAATGTGAGAACTACGGGGCTCTATCCGGCCACAAAGGCGCGGTCCTTGACCTGCAATGGTCACGAGATTCCAAAACCCTCTTCTCCGCATCCGCCGATATGACACTCGCAAGCTGGGATCTAGAGTCTGGTCAGAGGATACGACGCTATCTTGGGCACGAAGAAGTCATAAATTGTCTCGAAATCAGCAAAAGGGGCCAAGAGTTGCTGGTCAGCGCGAGTGATGATGGTACAATAGGGATCTGGGACCCACGACAAAAAGAGGCCCTAGACTACTTGGCAACGGAGCTACCGATCACCGCCGTTGCGCTGTCAGAAGCTGGAAATGAGATATTTAGTGGCGGAATCAACAATACTATCCAAGTTTGGGATATTCGAAAGAAAGCCGTTGTTTACTCCATGGCTGGACACGCCGATACTATCACATCTTTGGAAATTTCGCCCGATTCGCAAACTCTTTTGTCCAACTCGTTCGACTCGACAGTGCGCACCTGGGATATCAGGCCTTTCGCGCCGACAAATCGGCACATCAACACCTACGACGGTGCTCCCGTTGGGCTGGAGAAGAATCTTATTCGTGCCAGCTGGAACCCGACTGGTGACAAGATTGCGGCCGGCAGCGGTGATAGAAGTGTCGTTGTTTGGGACTTTAAGACTGGAAAGATTCTGTACAAACTTCCGGGTCACAAGGGCACTGTGAACGATGTGCGATTCACACCAAACAACGAGCCTATCAGTAAGTTTGACTGCTAAGGTCACGGAGATTACCTGTGCTAATCGTCTCTCCTAGTTGTTTCAGCGTCATCGGACCGGACCCTTATGCTGGGAGAATTGGGAAAATAAAGATGCGTATCTGGAGACAGTCTTGCTTACGAGATTATCATGGATCAATTCATACCACGCAATTTGTGATGCTGATCTTGAGACAAAACCCGTAACTCAGCCGGATGCTTGGATATTGGTACCATGAGATCAACCCAGCGCGACCCCGGCGGGTTGTCCTTCTCAGGCGTATGCATGTCGACTAGGAGGGATACTACTAGCAGGATTTTTCTGCTTAAAGGGTAACATGGCAGCCCATACATTTACTAAAAGTTGGCCACATGGGGCCACCAATCTATTCAGGTCTGGGGTGTCAGAATAATGGATTTGGGCTCTATTCATCAACTTGTTCCATTACTGCAAGATTTTTGAGCTTTGTGTACTCACACACTCTATCCTTGATAGCATGGGCGGTTCCATCCCGGTACAATGATCGAGGCTCGATCTTATTTGGAGTTACACAAACCTATGATAAGTAAGCCCTGATGCCTTCTGTCTTCTTTAGCCTTCACCACCCAAGAATTCGTCGGGCATTTTACCTACACTATGGCAATAGTAGTCTATGGGTAAAGTGAGGATTAATTAGGTGTGAGGGCTTGTGAGCAAGCGACATAGATTTGTTGCTCCTCTAGCCGCATGCGAGAGCAATCCATTTGCCTCCAATATTATCTACAAATAATACTTAGGTATGCTGCCATTCAAATCCAGTCCATCAAACTTCTGTACAATTCTCGTGGCGGAAGCGGAAGTCCGACTATGAAGCCCTGCCTGACATTTGAATCTCCCAAGTACACATATACAAACGCCATGTCGGAGACGGGCAGCCTTTTGCCCATTACGGCTTGAAGCCTTTCAAGCACTTAGCTATTCAGTACGTAGTTGTATTCCTTGATCGAAATATTCAAGAACATTGGTGGTGACTGGAACGGCTTCCTTACCTATAGAGAGGCGCACCTTCTTCAAGAAAGAAGAAACTTCACTTACTACTAGTAACAGTACTGGAGCCTCTTGATATCACAGTCAAGCCAACACGGTGACCGACTCGAGATACAGGCCCTTCTTACTGAAATGCGTATCCAATTATTCTGACCTTACCCGGCACTACTCCCCACTGAATGACGGGGGCGGATCACTTCAATAGATCGTTGAAACCGACCAATTGGACCGATGTCGTCGCGCGACGCCTCTCAAAACCCAGTTCTACCTTCGATACGTGTGTTTCCCTACCCAGACGGAGCCTTTTCAGCGCCGAGATGCCGCTTGGAGGACAATGAACCCAGGCGGTATCGCCCTCCAGAAAACGGCGCACAAATCGAACAGTTAGAGGAACCGATCCGAACTCGGCCACGCTCTTGCGCTTTGATGATGAAAGACAGTGATATACAGTCGAGATTCTATCGGTTGGCTGTGTCGACTGTCCTTCTCCTTGCCAACTTCGCCATCTGTAAGGCGTTGCCAATATCATGCCTGGTCCGGATGTGCTGACCTGCTTAGATCTTTCGTTCGTGGTCATCCGTGTCTTTCGGGGTGCATGGATTTATATCGTGCTGATTGCAATACTTTTATGTCTTGGTGTCATATGGTGTCATGCTCTGATTCGGTTCATCATGGGAATCTATCATTTCCCGAATAATGGCGCGACCAACCGCACGCTTCTCCCACTAGACATGGCGAAAGCTGCTAGCTATGCTCAGCCAAACCAGCCTATTCACGTCATTATGGCGGGGGACGACTCGGAAGAGCGGCTCTCAGAAAATCACGGCGATATCGGTGCGCAAATTACAGTGCCGCCGCCAGCGTACGGTCTTTGGCAAAGCAGTGTAGTAAGTGAACAATACCACCTGCAGACTAGTGATTGCACTGCTAATCTGCATACAGAGGCTTAACCCTGACTTGCTTTTTTGGCAACGGGTCGACAATCCATCATCTGTTCGAAGTGCTGCGAGGGAGGTCGATGGTGTAGCGCCCAAGACCGAAGAAACCCTGCCACCGAACTACTTGTCCAACGAGGGTGTGAACAATGTAGGTGGAGCGAAACCGTGAAATAATGCCGGATATCCACGCGGTTAGTTGAGGTTCCATGGGCCTTCTGTGGCACTCTCTTTCAGCATATTGTTACCTTTGGAAGCATTTGAGAGTTGGCCAGAGTCAGCGAGGAAATAGATATTGTAAGCAGGGTACTATTGTTCCCCTCCGAAGCTGGACTCTGAATTGGACAAAATATTCTTTTTTTGCCGGTCCAGGTATGGAAATGTTGTACACCAGGGAGTTGATACGAGGTAAAGTGTTTTGAGATGAGGATTGAAGCGGGAGATCTGGCCTTGGTCCCTTGAACTCACGTGCGGGCTTTTGCTCCCAGCAACAAATCTTCGCCATTATTCCGTCTCGGGCTCCGATCTCGAGGGAATACCGGGCACAGAAAGCAGTGGCCATTGCAACGACCGGCCTTCTCTTCTTGTAGTCGTCGTCGCCGCACTCCCATGCCGTCTGTGGCCGATTCGCCTCTGCGGTAATGCGCTCAGGATGCGGGAGCTCCCAAATGTCCCTCCGTTCAGCATGGATAACGAGCTGCGTGTTGGTTCTGTCGCTATGGGTCACAGCAGCGCAGGGTATGAGGCACGATCAAATTAGGAGCCTAAGGTGAGTATCTTTGCTTTGACGTACGCTTGATTTCATTTCCATGCTATAAGTTTTGCTAGCTAACTTTATCGCCTTTCCCCCGAAATACTAGGATCGAGACGGAGCACATGTTCTACCATGGATTTGAAAACTACCTCGAACACGCCTTTCCCGAAGACGAACTACGCCCGCTCTCGTGCAGCCCGCTCCATCGCGATCGGAATAACCCTGGCCACGCTGAACTCAATGACGTTTTGGGGAACTATTCTCTGACGCTAATTGATAGTTTGTCAACTCTCGCCATTCTGTCATCAAGCCCTGATGATGGGCAAAGGGCGTGGGAATACTTTCAGGATGGGGTCAAGGACTTTGTGAGACTTTATGGGGATGGGTCCGATGGGCCGGGTGCGCAGGGCGAAAGGAGTCGCGGGTTCGATATGGATAGTAAGGTCCAGGTTTTTGAGACGGTTATTCGGGGACTAGGTGCGAGGATGCTCATGTGCTTTGATTGTGGAAACACGTTCTAATAAACCATCAGGTGGATTATTGAGCTCCCATCTCTTTGCCGTCGGCGACCTTCCCATCAGTCGCTATACTCCGTCCGCGGAGGAAGTGGCCTATGCAAAAGCCTGGGATAAGGCGCAGCTCGCTGGGACTAGACAAGGGATTGAATGGGACAACGGATTCATATATGATGGCCAGCTCCTCCGGCTCGCTGTTGATCTAGGTAATCGCATCTTGCCGGCTTTCTACACTGATACGGGTCTCCCCTATCCTCGAGTCAATCTTCGCCATGGAGTCCACCAACAACCTTTCTACGAAAACTCACCTTTGAATGCTGATTGGGTACCTCCATGCGATGGCAAAGACAAGAAGAGCTGCGTCTCTCCGACTCCAGAGATTACTGAGACTTGCAGCGCGGGCGCTGGCAGTTTGGTACTGGAATTCACTGTGCTAAGTAGGCTTACTGGAGACGGACGCTACGAGGAATTGGCAAAGAGAGCTTTTTGGGCTGTTTGGAATCGAAGAAGCGATCTCGGCTTGATTGGTGCCGGTATTGACGCAGAATCTGGAAAATGGGTTGCCCCATTTACCGGCGTATGTTTTCCCTGCGGGGCCTAGGTCTTTCTCCTGACTAACTACTTGATTAGATTGGCGCTGGTATTGATAGCTTCTATGAATATGCTTTCAAGTCCTACGTCCTGCTCTCCTCTGGGGAGCGCCCAGATCATGACCTCGCGAGTCCCTGGCGTGCCCTAGACGACTACTTCGACCCGCTGAGCGAGTATGAACATTCTGCGGAAGCGTTTCTGCAGGTTTGGAAAGAGTCGCACGCTTCTATTAAGCGCCATCTTTACCGAGGCGAAGGATATCAGCACCCGCACTTGATTCAAGGGGATATCTTTACTGGCGCCACCCGGGCGTTTTGGATCGACAGCCTAAGCGCTTTTTATCCCGGCCTTCTGACTTTAGCAGGAGAGCTGGACGAAGCTATAGGAATTCACTTGCTTACGACAGCGGTGTGGAATCGTTTCTCTGGGCTCCCTGAAAGATGGAATGTTGCCACGGGAAACGTCGAAGGCAACCTAGGCTGGTACGGCGGCCGTCCGGAATTTGTCGAGTCGACGTACTACCTCTACCAAGCCACCAAGGATCCTTGGTATTTGCACGTTGGTGAGATGGTGCTGCGAGATATCAAGCGACGTTGCTGGACCAAGTGCGGCTGGGCTGGGCTCCAGGACGTCCGAAATGGAGAATTGAGTGATCGCATGGAAAGTTTCTTTTTAGGGGAAACAGCCAAGTACATGTTTCTGCTCTACCATCCAGAGCACCCTCTGAACAGTCTGGATCAGCCATTCATCTTCACCACCGAGGGCCACCCACTTGTCATCCCTCAAAGCACTACTTCAACCTCGCGTAAGCGCATGACACGGGACTTGCACGAACACGATATGTTGAGCAGATCTGTTTGCCCGACGGCACCTATACCCCCGACCTTTGGCCTCTCCTCCACGGCCGCTCGCCCTGATGTTTTCCATGCTGCAAACCTAGCGCGACTCGACTTGATGCCGAATCGAGGGTCACCAGAAGGACCTTTGGAGGACTATGCAAAGAATCGCGCGGGGGTTACAGTCGCCGATCTCACTTCACCGAGCAACTACACTTTCTTCCCCTGGACGTTGCCACCAGAGCTGGTGCCATATAATGCAACGAGCTCACTTATGGCCGTTCGCCCTACTCTGGACATATCGTTCCCGGCTGTCCCTGGAATGACCCACGGATCTGGCTTCCTGGAGCGAGTCCGGGACGGCATTCTCGTTAAATCCATCGGCGGCCTACGAATGAGCATGATCCGGGACGCACCGCCGCGTGACGTAATGTTCAATCCAGAGGGGAGTGAATTTCGAGTGCAGGTGGTCAACGGCGTGCCATTGGGAAAGGATGAGAAGGTATACCTCCTACGGGAGATCACATTTGATGTCCTGGATCCCGGAGACCCTAATTTTACGCGGATCCGAGATTCCACAATGATTGACTTGGTCATTGACGTCCGTCCAGACAGCTTCAGCCGACGAAATGATTCTGATGATGATCAAGAATTTACTCCTGGAAATGGAGGACAACAGCGAGTTCTCCATGCTAGATCGTCCGCAGACGATAGCAAGGCCGCAGCACGAATAGATGCTTCCACCTCGAGCATGAGAGATGTATTGTCTTCTCTTGTGAGTTCTGTCTCGTCGTTACTGAGGGACGAGGTTCATCACCGGTACACACCGTCTCTTTCAGCGAAATCTAGCCCCCTGCGGATTCCCATTCCAGCAGCAGTCGCCACAGGACTGGGCTCAGCACCCCTTCCAGATGTGGACGACGTATCTGCAGTGTCTATGACGAATAACAAAACACAAAGGCGCCTGCCTTGGTCTACCATTTACATGGCTGGTGACCTCTGCGATCAGCGCATTCTGCGCGACATTGCACAGTCGCATCAAGTTCTCGTTATCAAGCGCGGAGGATGCAGTTTCTCCCAGAAACTCCGAAACATTGCCGCATTTCCACCGTCACGAAACGCCCTGAAACTCGTCATTGTCGTTTCTTACGAGGAGGAAAAATACTTTACGAATCAAGAACACTCGACGCCAGGCCTCGCAGCATCGCTTGCGGAACCATACCTGGCGCGCCCGCAACTAGACGAGACACAAATGACAGCAGGCGGAATCCCCCGACGGCATTTACTTAGCATGGTGCTTGTCGGCGGCGGCGAAGAGACGTACGAACTCCTGCGGCAGGCACGAGGGGTGGGCATCAAGCGGCGGTACTCGATGCGGTCGCAGGGAGTGCCAATAAGTAATTTATTTGTTGTTTAATAGACCGCTACTACATATACAATGATGCACATACATACGTATGATACAACAAATCTTTAGATGCTTCGTCCTGATAGAGTTTCGCTCAGATCGTGGTTTGGGCCCACTATTTGTATCAGAACCAAAGGATAAATGTGTTTATCCAGGTCCACGATTTCGCCATCTCATTCAAATTTACTCCACTTTCTCTCCACTTATACTCAGGAACATCTAGCTGAGTACTCCGTACGGTGTTCTTCACTTTTACCCCCTCTTTCTCTTCTACGACTTTCCACTCTGAATACCGAATATATAACGTCTTTTGCAATATACCAGCAAGAAGCAAAACAACAGAATCAAAGATGCGCCTTCAACAAGACCAACCTCAAGACCCCTCACTCCCACCCCTCCTTGCAGCAGCAGCAACGGCCACCGCAACAGACGTTAACCAAAATGACAAAGAGCCTGCCAATTCCCCACCCAAACACCTCTACTTCGCCTACGGCTCCAATCTCTCCCCCACACAAATGCGCATACGCTGCACGCACAACCCCACCCTCTCCGCACACCCGGTAGCCATCGCGGCACTAGATCACTGGCGCTGGCTCATCTGCCAATTCGGTTACGCGAATGTTGTCCCCCCCCCTGATCTCCGCGTTGGTCGGCAAATAAGCGAAGGGGATGCGGTGCCAGAGTCCACTTCGCCTAGTATTCCAGAAGGTGGGGTGTATGGGGTGTTGTATGAAATGGCTGCGGCGGATGAGGGGGTTTTGGATGGGTACGAGGGGGTTGATGAGTGTGCGCCGGATGCGCTGGAGGGGAAGAGGGTCCCCAGGGATGTGAGGCCTACGGAGCAGGGAGATGGATTGTACAATAAGTGGTATGTTGGGGCAAGGGTTGTGAAGTGGTTGGATGAGGGGTACCGGGAGCGGAATGGGTTTGCGGGGGTTGGGGTTGGTGGCGAGGTGAGGGTCTTGGTTTATATTGATGAGTCGAGGGTTCGAGTGGGGATCCCGAAGGATGAGTATATTCCGCGGATGAATAGGGCGATTAGGGAGGCTGTGGAGTTGGGGTTTCCGGAGGATTGGGCGGACGAGGTTATGAGGCCTTCTATTCCGTTGCAATAGGACCTCGTATGCCAAGTATGTTGTATTCTTTAGAGGCCAAGTCAGATTAGAAAGCTTTTTATGCTATACACAGTATGTTCGGTATTCAACCAGTCTATCATGATCAAAAACAGGAGCTCTCGATGGATCCTTGCGGTGATATATCACATCCTCCTGCAGGCCGCCAGCGGGTCGTGATTCGTCTAAGTATGCAGTCTATCCGTTGACGCGGTCCAATTCGCAACTGTAGGTCCACCCAGGATCAGACGGTCGAGTTTCAAATGTGGCAAGGTGGCGAGCCGAGCAAGACCAGAGCCGTATCGAATGCTTTTGGTTTGGAAGCCGTGGACTTCGTAAGGGAAGAAAAAAAATGAAAGATAAATCGAGTCAAGATCGTTGAGAATTCGAAATTTAGGCTTTCGCCTCCTGGCCGGAAAGAAGAGTGTAAACTGGAGCAGGCAGCTTGTCCCGTCCCTTGAGGAATTCAAGTTCAAGCATGAAAACGAAACCCATAAGACTTCCGCCCATTTTCTTGATAAGTTCTCCCGCTGCGTATGCCGAGCCGCCTAAGAGCTGTTAGAAATGTAGAGAAATATTTTAGAGAGAACAACGCACCAGTCGCAATGATATCGTCCACAACGATCACCTTCTGGCCGGGCTTGATAGAGTCGGACTGCATTTGGAAAAAGTCCTGACCGTACTCCTTGTCATAAGCCTGGGTTTCACATGGACCCGGCAGTTTGCCCTGCTTGCGGACCGGAACGAAGCTGGCGCCGAGTCTCAGAGCCAGACTGGGGCCGATAAGGAAGCCTCGGGCCTCGAGGCCGACGATAACATCGGGCTTTTCATTAGCGTGGATCTCAAGGACGTGGAGCTCCAGGCAGCGGATGAGGGCTTCGTGCAGAGTGTAGTCGGCGAAAATAGGAAGGATATCTTCGAACAGGATGCCTGGGGACGGGAAATCAGGAAACTGGCGCAGGGCAGCGCGCAGCTTTACCTTAAGACTGGCGAGTTCGGCGGTGCGGGAGGGATCGGAGGAGGGGTGTCCGGCGACTTGGGGGGAGTTGGAGGCATCGGGAGATGAAGACGAATGTTGTTGGGACATGATGAAGGAAAGGAGAAGAAGAAGAAGAAGAAGAAGAAGAAGAAGAAGAAGAAGAAAGTAGGGGTGAGGGGTGGGAAGATTTGCAAAGGTAGAAATAGTTTTAGTGATAAGCAAAATGTTGACACGGAGGGGAAGAAAAAAACCTGAAGATCTGAAATTGACGCTGTATGTTACGTGGTATGGGCGGTACCGCTGCTCTTGTTCACGTTTACTATGGATCTCTAGGGTATGATTTCGCTATATTTCGCATAAATGATCTATTTTGCAATCGATCATATTACAAGGTCGCCAAGATCAATCACATTAACTTTTACAATCTTCCAGTTCGTCGTTGTATACCCCTCCAAGCGTTTTATTCCTACACCGAGTCTAGAATCCTCCCATCAGCCCACCATCAGGTCTATCACTCCCCTCCACCCTCGACTCATGCTGCCGTGATAGTTACTCGGCGTTTATATCCCCTGGTTTGTCTTTCTGCCTCGAACCCTCGAGGGTTAGCGGTTAATTAACTTCCTTGGCCGTCCATATTACTATTCTCTGCAGATACCACCTCCGCCCACCTTCCGCCCGTGGTTCGATGACACCACCACCGATCGTCAATGCAAGGTGAAATGGTGCGAATCACTATCCGCTAGCGAGCAATTCTCCCTGTCGCCGCTCACGACTTGTCTCACCTTGTTTGTGCCGTTAAAAAGTCCCTTGGGGGTGCCTGCTGCAGCCTTGCGCCATGCTTCGAATCACACTCGATGCAAGATGCATTTGACTCGTCTAGAAGACCTTCCGCTTCCCCGTCTGGAGGGCGTTTTCGCGGCCCGCACTAATCAGTTAGTACGTGCTAAGACTGGGTTTTGGGGGTGCTATATCGTAATCTCCGTATTGGCCAGTACGTTATGGTCTTCAGTCCGACTGGGGATAGTTTCGAGATCATGGCTCGCTGAACCTACCCAGTAGGAAGCCCCTTTGTTTCTTAATTGGACCATTCATAGGATCGCCGTCCGCGCTCGGTCAACGACGTTTTCTTTGTGCGACGGTCTAGACTCGAAGCCCATGAGTCAAAACATAAGAACGAATGTTTCGCCGATTCGGCTTGCGGGGTCGAGGACCGCCGCAGACTCGCCGCAAACTTTCCCACGAGCATGCAAGGCTAAGATATGCAGGCCCAAGCGATCCAGACGTACGTCATTTGTTTAGAAATCTGGCATTCTTCGGATTTTCTGGACAGCTGAAGTGTCTGAGCACCATCGCTACATAAATATGCGGACCCCCGGTGTCTGAGCGCTGTGGTCCAGTTTGATAAAGAGCCTTGACAGCAGACAATCACATTCCATGCGCTTATTCTCCAAATCCATGTCTCACATTGTGCCACGGCCTTTCACCACCTTCATGCATACTCACATCGCGAGTGTTGAACCCGAAAGGATTATTGCGCGGCCTCTCCAGAGGCTCAGGCGGCTCGCCATGAACGTAGGTCGAGAGCGTCGAGCTGGCCGAGACTAAGCGTTTTTGATAAGCGGTCGATGCAGTTTCTATAAATGGATTCAGGTACAAAAACATTGAGCCGATCCACCTTCGTGCCAGGCGCTTACGGTATCCGACAGGACCCGATGAGCCAGTGCCACACCTATTTGCGCTTTGTACTGCAGAGCTCAACCCCAGTCATTATCAGCTAGCTTCACGACTGCGGATGTTCTGTCAGGACATCCTTGTCTAGCACATCATGTGGTTATTTGATGATTCTATGGTCCAAGATATAGCTCCTCGACCCGTTGAGCTAGTAATTATCGAACCTGGGTTCTGCACAACATCCCCCAAAATACAACTCGAACCCTGGAAGCGGGATCTTCTAGAAAGGTTATAAGATTCGCAGATCCTTGCACGTCCTGACGGTAAAAGAATCAACCTAGCACTTTATGGACGAGCTACTGTTTGTCCCTACAGACCATTGGACCCTGTAACTTTCTCGTCCTGTTATCTCGCCTCAAACTGAATAGTGAGCTAAGATATATCGATGGTATAGTAGCAAAGTCACGTGAGAGCACGGGCCACTCGCTTAGGAAGGAGACTAAGAAACCGCGTGACTATTTAAGGCAGCAAAAGCCAAATCGTTGCTTCTCTCTCCTCAACCCGTCGTACGACGGCTTACTTCATGATTCTTCCTTTGTGCTTCTGCTTCTGGCAGAAGTGCTTCCTGTCTTCAGCAGATGTCTCTTCTTCTGCCTCGTAACATCATTGCTTCTTCCACAACATGTCTCCAACTCCTCTTGCTGCTGATTTGCAGCCGGACCGACAGTTGAAAATCCTTGCCCGAGCTTTTGAAGCTCTGCTGCTAACTACACAACGACTTGCCCAGAAGGAACAATTTCTTCACCAACGGCTGCAATATGCTCACGATGAGGTAAACTCTTTCTCCTTTAGCTCCGTTGCACACTTCATCCTCCATGTCTCAAGTGATGAGAGAACTTGATTAGCTCTAGATCAGGAGTCTACGGACGGTGACGGACATATCATGTATTATCTGATGAGACATCTCACCCCTAATCGCTTGCGAGATCTGTTTGGCGAGTCTGCGCTGACCTCGTCGAAAGTATCTCAAACTAGCAGAACAACTTCCCGGAGGAATCGACTCGCATACCAAGATTGTCTCGGAGAAAATCCTCAGTCGCCGTCTTCAGTTTGACTGCCCGCGAAAACAAAGTCTAGATGCATTGGATGTAGTAAAAGATCTTGCAGAGTCTGGAAACGTAGGAGATTCGAGCCTTTCTGCCATAAATGACGGCGTGGGGTTATATAAACCCTTGCTCAACCGTGAAGCTGATGTTTCGTTAACCGGTATGGTCGCAACAAGAGCCGGGTCGCTAGAACGAGACTTCACTACCAAGGGCACGCGTGGAAGTTTGCGATGCCCTTTCACGAAGTCTCGCCATACGTCTGAGAATGGGGTCAACGGAATCGAGGCTGCGCTACCAGTCACGAATGGCGATACATGTGCTTACCAGCATTTAGATCCCATCAAAGAGGAGCAGCTGGAAAGGCGATCAAGCCAGGCTCCCTCTGGTCGCTCCTCGAGTGCTCGTTGCCCTGCTTCTCGATGTCCTATTAGGTTCCTAGACCAACATAGCCCGGAAGAGATTGCCGACTATGTTGAGCGGCACAAGCATGAAATTCCAAGGAGTCACGCTATATGTGTGAAGCGGTATTCAGGCAGTTCCCGACAAATGGATGCAAAGTATGGCGACCTGACCAACATGATTCGAGGGTTGTCAGAGAAGCATCAAGCATTCCTCCCTCCAGGCCAGCACGCACGCACTGCCAGTTCCTCAGTGGGACGCGTCGAGAAGTGGGCAGAAGAAGTCAACCAGAATTCGACGCCTCCCACTGTAGAAGATGAAACCTTAGCCTCCACCGAGCCAAATGACGAAGACCGAGCCAGCCATTTCGACCGTCCGATGCGAGAGGTTCGCGTTGGTGAGTCGCCGAGTCGCCCCTGGGGCATACATGTCCCTGTCTCTTCAGCGCCGGTTTTCGATTCTGCCATACAGTCATCGTCTGTTCCAGACAAGTCGACGGATTATCCTGCAAGAGATGAACCTAAGGCTGGCCCGCCGAAGGCTGGTCGCTGCCCGTTCGGACATGGTGGTGGTGCGCCTTCTCCAGATCACCCAGCGATAGACACCGAGACTGTACGTAACGACGAGCCTGACACACCAAATGAAGGCGATCAAGGCGATGAAAGGCAAGCGGACGCGCCGCCAAAGGCCTCGGCAGCGACCATTGTGTTCAATGGACCTGTGTTTTTTGGATTTTCACCTGAGCAGACTGCCACATTCATGCAACAGCTGGCGGCTATGGGAGGCAATAAGATATGACTCTCTTTTTGTTACGTCAACGCTGTCTCTTTATACCTTGTACTATGACCATAATTGAGGGCGCGAAGTCACTTCACGTTTTCAAAGCAGCAAGGAGTTTGGGCTACTTCATATAATATTTATCAGGCCATGCCATTGGCTCAGAATGCATTCGGTTTCACATGTGTTTAGACTTGCGAGCAGCGACCCCAGCTTCCCCTCATTCTCTAAGTACCCGTATGGTCTTTGGAATCCCCCAAGATATAGCGCCGATTTGAATGCACACAACCTTCCGGCGAGCAAAGTTGTATAATGAAACCCCCCAAAATCTTTCTTTTACTATCTAGCAAGTCAACAACTATGCACTGGAGCAAAGAATGTTCATTACAATAATCCAAAGTGATCCTCGACCATCGAAACCCCGCATGTGTTCTCTGCAGCCGAGAAACCTCGGGTTTGCCCGCTGGGAACCCGTGGTGCCGCTGGAATCCATCCACGAATCTGGGATGAGCAAATTGAGGAGGTGATGAAGCTACTATTGCTTCTTAGATAAATACAGGAAAGGTTCGTGTTCTGGGGCTTTTTTCCCCCTCGAACTCGGTGGCGACGTCTTGACCTCTTGTTTCGCGACTGTCGTATTGGTTGACCCTTGCTGTTTGTTGCATCGCATTCCCAGTACAACATCATTTTTACCTATCTACTAGGAACGGACGAATTATCTGTATACTATATTGTGCTGCTGTGCAGGACTAGAGAAGAAGCCCGACAAGATGGTAGTTTACCTCCCCGACAAGGATTATGACTTTCCCAACATTGATCTGTTGACGTTGCTCTTCGGTATGTATTGCCTTCGTGATTGATCTTGTGGGCAAAACTGTCTCTAACTTTGGTTCAAAAAGAGTCGCCCATTCCCGGAAGCGGCGAGAGCACAGTCCTCCATGCTGAAGCTGCAGACCCCTCGAATGCCATTACCAAAGCTCAGACGCGACTACTTACCCGCCAAATTGCCTATATCCTGCGCACCAATTTCGGTGTTGGCGCTCAAGGTGCAGGGAAAGATGTTGTCGTTGGGGTCTCGGGAGGACAAGTTCTCCTCCCCGCTGTCTTCTATGGTGTTGTGGGCGCTGGTGGTGTCTGGAGCGCAGCTTCGTCGACTGCTACACCCTCCGAGCTGGAGAGACAAATCCGTCAGGGAAGCAGTCGATTGATCATTTCGGGGCCCGAGTCAAAGGATGTCGTGTTGAAGGCCGCCAAGGGTGCTGGCATTCCCGAGAACCACGTGCTTATCCTGCGGAGTGCTGGCCACGAGCGTGTCCTTCAGAATGCCGCCACGGGCCAGAACTATCTCGACGGCTTGAAGCCATCCGAGGTGTTGGACTGGGAGCGCATCACGGATCCCAAGAAGTTGGAGGATTCACTGATCTGTTTGTTGTACAGTAGTGGAACCACGGGAGTGCCGAAAGGTGTCAACATCTCTCACACGAACATGGTCATAGAGGCTTTGATCCCTGTTTATTTCGACCAAGAGTACGTCGCTCAAAAGAGACAGACAGATCCCAATTTTGAATACCCTTACCGCACGCTTGCCCATCTGCCCACAGCCCATGTTGCTGGATGCCAGGGTTACTTCATCAACCCTACTGCTGCAGGCGGCACTGTCTTCTGGATGGAGAAGTTTGATTTCGCAAAGTTTCTCGAGTACAACAAGAAGTTGGAAATTACCTTCTTCTTCACCGTGCCCCCAATCTATCTGTTAATCTCGCTTAGCCCCCTTGTCACGGATCAGTTTAAGACACTTCGCCGTGCCTACTCTGGTGCTGCTCCCATGGGTGCAGACCTGCAGGCCAAGGCGCAAAAGAAGCTCGGGTGTTTGATTAACCAGACATGGGGTCTGAGTGAAACAACTGGTAGTACCACTGGTATGCACTGGGACATTGAAGACCTCACCGGCAGTGTCAGCCGCCTCCTTCCGAACATGCGTTTGCGAATCGTCGACGAAGATGGCAAGGATGTTGAGGAAGGCAAAGAAGGCGAGTTCCTCGTCAAGGGACCCGTCGTAACCAAGGGGTACTATGGAAACCCACAAGCGACCAAGGAAGCTTTCACCGAGGACGGCTGGTTCAAGTCGGGAGATATTGGTGTTCGCCGAGAGGGACTTTTCTATATCGTTGATCGAAAGAAGGTACTTTCCCACTCAACGCAGAGTTTCTGAAAATACGTTATCTAACAGAGAACAGGAGCTTATCAAATACAAGGGCCTCCAAGTGGCACCCGCCGAGCTCGAAGCTCACCTCATCTCGCACCCTCTCATCTTTGACGCAGCCGTTATTGGTGTCCCAGCACCTGATGGTTCGGGTAACGAGGTGCCCCGCGCATACATTGTGGCAGACAAGACGAAGATTAGCGAGAACCAGGTCAAGGACTTTGTCAAGGACCACCTGGCACACTACAAGCAGCTCCGCGGCGGAGTGGTGTACCTGCAGGCCATTCCCAAGAGCCCGAGTGGAAAGATTCTGCGTCGGGAGCTGCGTGATCTGGTCAAGAAGGAGGCCCAAGGGGCTGCTGCTAAACTGTAATTTGACTCGATTCGCTGTTAGCAAGTATCTGTATGTAGAATTAGAACAAATCGTTTTGTGTAGATTAGTGCTGTAGTTGAGTTGTGCGATCCGTTGTCGGAGGGAGAGAAGCAGAAGTGGGGGGGTGCTGCGCTCTCCATGACTTTCCCGCGGAATCCACTCCAACTACATGACTTCCACAAAGTACCACTATATATCTATGCTGAGAACCTCATCTCGCCTGATTTCTATCTCCCGTCCTCTTCTGTCATCCCCCATCCGCTCTCACCTTTACTATCGCATTCAATTGCCCGCCCATAAAGCCACAATGTCTGACCTCACCACCGTCTTCTCCGCTGAGGCCTGCCCTCGTACGTATACACTCTGAGAAACTCCAAGAAGCCCCTCAATCCAGACAAACAATCATCATCTTCCACATTACGGTATGATCCAGATTGAAAGCTAACCATTCCTGCCTATAGCTGTCGGCCCCTACGTACGTCCGAACCCATATATCTCACCCCTCTAACTCAATTTCTACCCCGCACACCACCCACCAAGCTCTTGCACAGCTTCGCAAACACTTGCGGCAGCATAACAACATCTAGCTTACTGGCAATTAAACACTAACATAAGACCACAGTCCCAAGCCGTCAAGGCTAACGGCCAGATCTTCCTCTCCGGCCAGATCCCCGCAGACAAGAACGGCAACCTCGTTGAAGGCGATATCAAGACCAAGACCCAGGCTTGCTGCGATAACATCAAGGCTATCCTCGATGCGGCTGGCTCTTCGGTTAGCAAGATAATCCGTGTCAATGTATGCTCGACTCCCCTTAATTATCGCCCTCTTGTTCAAAGTATTTGGTTTGGATGGCGTGGGCTAATGCTCGTCTTTCCACGAATAGGTCTTCCTCGATGACATGGCCAACTTCGCCGAGATGAACGAGCAGTATGAGAAGTTCTTCGTTCACAAGCCTGCTAGGTCCTGCGTTGCTGTCAAACAGCTTCCCAAGGGTGTTCCCGTTGAGATTGAGTGCACTGCCCTGGCGTAAGCTGTGACTTGAGACTGGCGGTATATATGAAGATTTCATAAACAGTCCATAGGAATAAAACCAGAGTGCCCAGGCCAGATATACTACGTTAATACGGTAGATGTAAATATTCTCATTAGGTATCATATACCCACCAAACCAAGCTTCGGATCATAAATAACAAACATTCGCAAATCATGAGTCGGTATCGATGCTATAGAGACAAGAAAAAGAAAGAAGCAAACATAAATCACAGCCAAATAGTCGAATAAGGCGGATTGCATCATCGGCGTCCCAAGGTACCGGCCATTCGCCCTCCAGCACCAGCCATGAGACTCTGCTTGACGATGGCGTCGGCGGCGGCCGCCGCAGCAAGTCGTTCCTTCTGGCGACTGCGATCGCGCAAATATCCAGCTGCTTCGGGTCGCATGCGCAGAATGCGCAGAATCATGTCGTCGTTCGGCTCAGCCTGCGCATCGCGCCACTTCTCTGCTTTCGCCCTCTTCATCGTGCCTAGGTTGCGTGAAAGCATGATACTCTTCGCCCGGCGTCCGCCTGGCACTCCGAGAACACTGGGAGCTCCTCCTAGACCCAACTGAGGTGGCGCGGAAGCACGGTTTCTGTTGGCTTGCTGCCGGGAAATGGTTGCCGATGCCATCCGCTCGGATGTGCGGATAAGGTTATCGGTAGGTTCAAAGTAAAAAAAGTTTAGACTCTGGATTTCGTGGTACTTGGGCGACTTCAAGATATCCATAGAGACGCCGTTAGCTTCACCCGTTTCCTCGTCCGGGGCGTGGAAGAAATTCAGGAGAAGCACGAGCCAGCGTGAGACAATCTCAACTTCCTGCATAGTTAGAGGTTTCTGATGCGATGGTTTATCCGATAAGGGAGGCACGAGCAAGCTCTCAATGGTAGCTAGCACCTCCTTCCACAGACGCGCCATGACCATCCTCATGGCTTCGGGTGTAAGAGTCTTGTCCATGATAGCAAAGTTGTCGTTGAAGTAATCAAACAACGGGGTCAGCGCGTTCTCAATATCCGCACCAGAAGGTGCAACTGCTGTTTGCTGGAGGCGGTTCCTGTTTAAGAAGTTGGATACGGTGGACATGCTTAGGCCTCGGGATAGCAGCGACTTCAACGTGCGTCGAGACAAACAATGGTTGATGTACGAGGTGAGCTACACGTTAGTTTAGTAAATCTATCAATCAATAGTAGTAGAGGGGTGAGCGTACCTTCTCTGTAATCTTTCGCGTCATGTCACGCTCCGTCCGCTTCAGTGTTCGGAATGCCTTGCCAAAGTAGAATTGGATATCGTCACGCTCACCCTCCATGCTCACACGAAGCAGGAGTCGGCCTTGTGTGTCCAAGTCAAGCCAATACTCCCTCGGAAGGAAATCACTAAAGTGGACAGGGTCGAGTTTGATCGAAGTACGACCGACATAGTCGTGATCGCCTACTGCATCCCAGTCCCAAATCGTGGCAATAATATTCAGCGGACCTTGTGTTGTGATGTCAACGGTATCATCCCACCGTGGATTGAGGTTGTTGTAGATGATGCGGGTCTTGGCAATCCGCTTCTGGTACTCGTCCGCCAGAACAACATATGGGTCACTGCCTCCGTTCATGTCGCAAGCCTTCAGGTCTTCCGCTTCCACAACCTTGATCGTAAAGACATATGTCGTAGACTTGCGGATCTTCTGAAGCTGTGGAGGGCTATGTCGGGCAATCACTTCGGCACAGCCGTCAACGTTGATTTCGCGCTCAAGTTTGTCAAGTTGACTAAGAGCATATTCGACGTTGTTCAGTTTCACTAGTGACTAGACATGAAGATTAGTTATGAAAGCATAACCCGCTCTAGATTTACTTACCCTGGGAAAGAACTGGAAAGGTTCAATCTTCTCTTTGCTGGCCCATGCCTCTTTCGCGAACTGCATCAGCTTTTCCTGCGTTGTCTGATTCAGAGCAGCTTCCTGATCGGGGGAGAGTCTGTCCATCTCTTTAGCGAACATCTGTTCAACAGCCTCGCAGTATCTCGCAACACCTCTGCCGATTGATTTCGACAACGCGGTCATAAATTTCGCGTACTGGAATTCATCAGCCCAGCTGAGCTCCATCATCTGCTCTATAACTTGGTTGAAAGAGCGGAAGATGTCTATCACAGATACACTGTGTCTGGCATCTTCAGAGGCCACTGCCGTGTCACCGTTATGGACCTCAAATTGGTCTTGCCTGAGCGCTTGCTCAACCCATTCCACCACCTTCTTCTCGGTGAGGTGTATCCACTTCCAGACGAACCCTTCTAGTACATCTTCGACGTGGAAGGGGAATTTCGCACTATAGCTGGTGATCAGCAGAGGAGTAGCTAAGGTTACAGTAAGGAACATACTAGGGGAGTGCATTCGCAAATATCTCGCGAACAGCAGTTAATTGCTTGTAGAGATGGAAGGCGTCTGGGATCTCGATCTCCTCTCCTCGCACCTTCTCCTGTTCAATGATTCGAAGTATCAACTGGTGGATATCTTCGGCGAAAATCTGAAGCGTATTTTCAACAAGGATTTTATGAGGGTTGACACTGAGTTCGTTAGTAACGCGAGAGTCTTTGAGTATATATAGGGCATACCCCATAATCTCTGGATTCTTCCGGTAGCGCTTGCGAATCTTCTCAGAGTGGTTTGTGATTCCGTCACAAAGTTGGATGACATGCTCCAGCTGCCAGTCCTCCGGCTCAATTGGAACTGTCTGGCTCAAGATGCTCTGATATTTCTCTGTCGCTTTCTGTGCTAGGCCGTCTTGAACGTACGAGCGGAAGCGCTCGATATCGCTGGTGTCCTCTGAATAGTCGGGGTCCATCTGGATATGGTTTTCCAAAATATACATCACCTCACCGATTGGACGAGGCTTAGCCTCGTAACAGTCCATCATAACGTCATATAATTCCCGCAAGATAGCTTCGTGAAGGGAAGAAAGTACCTGACGCATCAACAGTCTGTCGTGCACTGTCCACTTGTGTCTGTCAAACAGTGCTGACGACACAATGCTGTTGCGTTTTCTTCCCTCTGTCGACGGCATATCCTTGACAAATGTGAAAGCCGAATCTAGGGTGTTGAGATCGATTTCATTATCCTCGAATTTCGACCGTATCACGTCCAGGAAAAGAACAATCCGCGAATAAGGTGGGATTCTCCAGCGAAGGCAAATCTCATTCAACAGCTCCGTTGATTGTTTGGACAGTAGCTTAATAGATGGTACTTCCGATGTGGCTTGTGTAGCCTCAAGTTCGCGGTCTCTTAGATCATGACTCAAGGCTTGAGCTAGAATTGTGCCATACACCGACCTGGGCTCTGGAGGTATAAAAGTGTACGTATCAGACTCTTCCGCACCGTCATTGTTCAAAGATAGCGAGCTTATATCCACAGGCTGGTCAATCACATACGATATTGGTCGGCCGGTACTTGGATCATTGTGAAAATGGTCGCCAGCACTTGCATTGAACTGGGGAAGGGCGCCACCGGGCGTGCTCTTCGCAAGCTCAGGATTTGACTGCATGATTGCGAGCATCATCTGCGACAGGTCCGGCCCTTCGTTCTTTCTCCAGGCCTCGTATGCCTCTTCATCTTCGAAATCATGCGCAGATAGGGACTTCTCTGTTTTTAGACTCAAATGGGTTTGATAAGTCTTGAGGTCCTGGAGTGCTGCCCGTTCCGTCCATGTCCCTCGGTGACTATCAATGTCGGCTTGCACTTGCGAGAGCTCCACATGAAACACCCTTGCGACGTGCTGTACAAGGGGCATGTCCTTGACATCGTAGCTCAGGGGGGCCACAATTTCGACAGTCGAGGGACCGGTGGTTGGTACTAGATCTTGGTCTTGAGAGAGAAGCTTGGTTTCCAGGACCGCCAATCGGTTTGCGAGCTCCGGCCGCTCCCTTGCCCAGTCGTTGCTTTTCAGGATGAGTGCAAAGAGCCGAACAAAAAGCGCAACATGTCTATCGACCATGAGCCTCCAACTGTCATCATCTGGTTCTTTACCTTTGCTTAATTCCTTGGTCGCATTCGAGTAGAAGATGAGAACGAGGTCCTCCGCGCGCCGGTCCTTTTCCATCCGCTTTTTGAACGATTGGTCTTTCAAGGCATTAAGGAATGCAGCAAAGGTTCTGACGACGAGCGCATCTTGATATTCCTTTCTCCTTTCTTTTCCCATTAGAATTCCCGTCAACCTCTTTTCGAGCTCGGAAATGAACCCGTGAGGAAATCTGGAGCTTTTCGAGTCTCGAATCAAAGAGAAATCGCTCATCAGGTCCTGAAAGGAGGTCGATGCCCGCTTGGGCCGTTGCTGAGGAGCCGTGACATTCTGAACACGGCGTGCACGCGGGTGTAGAAGGTGGGTAAGGTAAGCTGTCCGGAGAGCGAAGGAGTAGGCAGCCGAGGAGCTCACTGTGCGTCGGCGGGACAACGAGAGGCTGCGCGAATGACGAGATTCGCTTTGTATACTGTTTATCCGTCGATTAACGCCTCGGGACTGGGACGCCGTAGACATGAGGGGTTATTGCTTTCAGGATCGGTCAACAGTCGAAAAGGCGAGGGGCGGCGGAGTGCGGGACCATGAGAGGAGTCGCGATACAAGCCACCAGCTTGCGCAGCCGGGCGGAAACCTGTTAGAATGTGGTTTTTCCTCCTAGCTCACTCTGGAAAGCAAAGAAGATTTGAATGTCGGCGAGAAAATCGTCCAGCGAGTTCGAGCGAGATGAGTGGAAGAAGAAAGGGGGCGTTGTTGTTGTTGCGGGAGATCATTCAAGGTTGTGTTGCAACGCCTGAAACAAAAAAGAGCTCCAGTCTTAAAATAGAGTTGACGTAGGTGCCACAAATGCAGATTGTTTAGATCTACTGTTTACAAACTCGAGGTTAGGCCACTAAAGATAATCAACAGACCCGTTATTCTCTAATGATAATTTAACATATATGAAACCCCTGAATCACATGGCGCGGCGGCTGATATGATTCCTCTTTTGTGCTATTGGGCACCCAGTAAACATTCAGACTTTGAGGGAAATCAGACGACCAGAGACTCTGTCCCGGTGTCCTTCCACTTGTCGGAAACATTTACCCTCGACAGAGGGACTCATGCTGTTCTGATAGAAGAATAAATTCTGATAGAGCGGTTGTGAACCGTAGAGAATTGCAGAGCCTTGACAAGGCTAGAAGAGCCAAACCCTCAATAGACGCCGGAATAAAATCGCATTGTATTTATTTACACATGGAAGAGTTGAAATTACCAGGAGTCTTCGCCAGTCTTGCGGGTCTAATATCAAAGTTAGTCAACGGAACACTTCCAAGTTAACATTAGGGGTTGACTCACCAGAAGGGCATTAGGGCCACCCAGCTCCTTGTCCAAGCCGTCTGGGAATGTTCTGGGAGCACTAGGCTTGTCGGGATAGAAAAAGCTGACTACACCGCAGAATCCGAGAAAAGTTACGACGAAAGCACCGAGCTGGAGCAGGCCCTTGCGGGCGGGCACATGGGTATATTGCTCGGGACTGAAAACGCCCAGAATTTCGTTCTCCTCATGGACGGGTTCGCCAAAGTTTCGCCTTTCTTGCTTGTCCCACCAGTCGCCGTACGGGTCTCTGAATGCACGCTTGACGCGGGGAGGGTTCTCGTAGCCACCGTTCTATATAGGGATGCATGTCAGCCAATTGAGACGGACGTTAGGGTAATCGACCCGAGGCGCATCATACCAGTCCAGGATCATTGTCTTCTGCGGCCTTGAGAGCTCGGACTTGTGAGAATGAAGCGCGGGGGGCGGCAGAACGAAGGGCGACCTGCGGCAGGCGCCGGGCCAAAATTCGTTGAGACAACATCTGCGAGCTTGAGTTAGAACAATAACTCCATAGAACTGATATCTGGAAGAGTCCAATATTGTACTAACTCCTATGCTGTCGTTAATCAGACGACGTTGCGTAGCCAGGAGGGGAGAGAAAGGCTCAAGCGGCCATGGGATGAAGTTCCAGTTGCACCGACTGATGACGGGATTCGGATTAACTGGGTTAGTGCCTTTATGCCTCAGGCATAGAACACATCCGCGCGCCTCCAGCTTACATACACGTCCCCGGAGTGCTCCTCGTCACAGGACGAAAAAAAAACCACCTCTTCACGCAATCCATCGAATCTATCTACATTTTTGCTCATCAACCACGCTACGCTGCCGATAACTATGCCAGACTTCTGGTGGCACCTCGAATCAGTTCCCGGTACCTGTTGATGCGATTTTTACCCCTTCCAACCGCGTCCTCGTTGGGAAAACTGGGGTCAGCTGTGAAGAGGGCCCCTGCTACAAGAGATGCAAAACGGCATAACAAATGCTACTTCGCGCCAAAATGAACGTGTGACCCCGGAATTCGACCCCGTGTCGTCCGACCTCCCTTTGAACGACCCTTCGTATGATTCCATCCCCCTCGATACGAACCCGTCCGAGCTCGAAGAAAACAAACCAGTGGATCACAGTGATGGACCGCCGTCAAAGAGGCGCAAAGTCGGGAGCTCCACGCCGTTGCGCCGGTCGATCTCCAGGCCAGCTTCTCCCCCATGGAAGAAGGCTGGCGCTGATGGCCCGACCTCCCTTCTCGTTGATGGCAAGCGTCGATCTACACGCGTGAGCAACGTGGGTCCATCAGAGCAGCCTCCATCCGACGCAAAGCCCGCGCGAAACGGCCAAAGGCACTATGTAAGTAAAGCTGTTGCTAGTCGAGGGGATCCATCAGCCGCCTCCTCGCCCTTGCCAATGTCTCCATCCCGTCACGGCGGGAACAGGAGGTCCCTAGGGGGCGGTGCCGCAGTGAATGGTTCACTAGTTACCACGACAAGGGGTGCAGCTGGCAGGAGGAGACGGGTCTCGCCTTCGCCTGGGCCCAAGCGTACATCGACGCGCACAAGGTCCGACAGTTCCGGTGCTTCGGGTTACCACAACCGGTCGTCCAACTCGGTCACCGGCCGCTCAACAACGGGCCGATCCACTCGATCCTCCTTACATACCTCTTCAGTCGCGATCGATGTCGAAGGTGACGCGGAGGGAAGACTGGAAGCCGTGGAACCAGATGAGCGCGATGAAAATGGACAGCAGATACCTCGGCTACGAATCAAGGTGAAAAAACCGGCTCTTACTATTCAACACCCGGCACATGTTATTCCCCCTCGAAAGTACGGTTCCTTCAAAGAATGGTTGGAGAATGATGGTTCGGGACAAAACGGCGAGGGTGTGCTCAGTTCGGCTAAGGCACTCGAGGAAGCGCACAAAAGGCAACAAGTAGCAGATGCCATGGAACCAGGCGGTCTTTTGAGCGCCGAAGTTTGCTCTGCATTCTTACCGGAGCAACAAGAAGAGCCACCTCGGCAGTACTCGCACCAAGATCACCTAGTGGCGCATGTATTAAACTTTAAAAAGCTTCTTGACATGGAACACAGGCGCCATCGCAATACCGCAAAGCTCGTCGCCCAATGGTGCGCAGATGCATGGAGGAAGCGCAATAAGGATCCAGAAGATCTTCTAAGGGAGCAGCAGGTGGAAATCCGGGGAAAGCGCAAGCAGTTGGCAAAAGACCTCAAGAAAATGTTTGACCTAGCTCGAGCAGAGATCGACCGAATACGTTTGGCACGCTGGGAGGAGGAGCAGAAAGCAAAGGATCAGCGAGCTCTAGACCGAGCCCTTAAGCAGTCTACCATGCTTTTCAAGAAGCGGCGGATGGAGATACTGGGTGAGACGGGGAGCGATGCTCAAGGGACCACTGATGATGATGATGACGATGATGATGAAGCTGAGACTGATGATTCCGATAAAGAATCTGATGAATCCGATGGTGAGAGCAACATGTCATCTACGGACAACGAAAGCGAAGAGGGCGATGGAGACTATGACGCCGACAAGCACCTTACTGAGGAACAACTACGCTTAAAATACGCAAATTTACCCGATACTCCCCTCGAGTCGAACCATTTATCTTCAGATTCCGACGCGGAGTCCGAGAATAGCGACAGCACGGATGTCGTCAATGACACTCCAGGGGACTCAGTACCTCCGTCAGCAGAGTACCCGCCTAGCCAAATAGATCTCGACGAGGTTGACCCAATGCTGATCGACGCTAGCGATGAGTCTACCGATATGGATGATGATATGGGCGACAGCGATGATGACGAGTCTAGTGAAGCTGATTCAGGGGAGGAGGAAGAGGAAGACAATGGGCCTGGGTTATTGGGATTTTTCTCCAAAAAAGACTTGAGTTCGAGCGAGCTACGTTCGACCGGCGGCGATGAAGATGATAACGACCCTGGTGTGGACCCTGGGAGTGGCGATGCGCAACTAGCATCATCTGACGAGGATGAGTTCGAGGGTGAATCTGAAGATCCAGATGAGGTTACTCTTGTTCCCAACGGACCAGCGAAGAAAGGGTCCGTCTCCCCTTCTGAAACGGAGACTCCTCTTGAGACGCCTATTGAAGGTATCACACCCGCCGAGGTTAAAACGCCTCTCTTTGAGGAAATCTCTTTGGATGCCGCTGTCGTGGAGAATGCCACTCTTCATGATGGCCCGGGGAATCCAAGCAAAGAGGCCGAAATGCCAGACGCCCCCCTGGTCGAAGCTCCAGTTCAACCCACTGAAGCACTTGCCTCCCCTCTCACAGTACAGGAAACCGCCGATGCCCCATCTGGCCACGGACAATGTCATCATAGTAGAGCTCCCTCAAGCGAGGCGTCCCCGGGCACGGTGGCCACCAAGCCCTCTGAGCCCGAGTCCATCTCATCCTACGAAGCTCCGGCAGAGAAAATAGCAGAGTCGAGTGAATCGCCCGCCCCTGGACTAAAAACACCCATACCACACCTTCTTCGGGGAACCCTGCGAGAATATCAACATTTTGGCTTGGATTGGTTAGCCGGTCTTTATACGAACAATATCAACGGTATCCTCGCAGACGAGATGGGATTAGGCAAGACTATTCAAACGATTGCTTTACTTGCCCACTTGGCCGTGGAGCATGAAGTATGGGGACCGCATCTTGTCGTTGTCCCTACAAGTGTGATCCTCAATTGGGAAATGGAGTTCAAAAAGTGGTGTCCCGGTTTCAAAATTATGACTTATTACGGAAACCAAGAAGAACGTCGACAAAAGCGCAGAGGCTGGACGGATGACAACAGTTGGAATGTGCTGATCACCTCGTACCAGCTGGTGCTACAGGATCAGCAAGTCCTCAAACGAAGGGCATGGCACTATATGATTCTCGACGAGGCGCATAATATTAAGAATTTCCGCTCCCAACGGTGGCAAGCGCTGCTCACCTTTCGGACACGCGCTCGGCTATTGCTTACCGGGACGCCTCTCCAGAACAATCTTACCGAGCTGTGGTCTCTTCTCTTCTTCCTGATGCCAACTGACGGTGAAGGGACTGGTATTGACGGCTTTGCTGACTTGAAGGAATTTTCCGAATGGTTCCGACGGCCTGTTGAGCAAATCTTGGAGCACGGCAGAGAGACAATGGATGACGATGCAAAGCAGGTGGTGACCAAACTGCATACCGTTCTTCGACCATATATCTTGCGCCGTCTAAAAGCGGATGTTGAGAAGCAAATGCCTGCGAAGTATGAGCATGTTGTTTACTGCAGACTCTCCAAGCGACAAAGATACCTGTATGACGGCTTCATGTCACGAGCGCAGACCAAGGAGACTCTTGCATCCGGGAACTATCTCTCAATCATCAATTGCTTGATGCAGTTGCGGAAAGTTTGCAATCATCCAGATCTTTTCGAGACTCGGCCTATCTCAACCTCGTTCGCGATGCCTCGTTCTGTTGTCACAGAGTTTGAAATCCAGGAAAATCTCGTTCGGCGACGGCTATTGTGGGAGCATCCTTTGGAAAAACTTGATTTCGATTTCCTCAATCTGGTTCCCATCTCAAGGGAGGACATATCGCGAAGGCTGGCAGATGATAGTGCTAAAATCATGGCCTATGCTCCTTTTAATGCGCTACGTGAGCGTCAGTACCACCGCACGAATTGGCAAATGAAGTTTGACGGTTCAACCATACGGTCGACATTGGACGCAATTGAAAATGATTGCAGGAAGAGGCGAATGGCAGAACTGGAAAGATCGCTCTACTTTGAGTCGAAGCGCCATGGTCGTCGTCCTGTGTACGGAAGCAGCCTTATTGAGTTTCTCACCGCAGATAGCAAACAACGGCCGACTGCCAATGGACCGTTACGGAAACGCTCATACGCCGAGTGGCTATCCAGTCAATCCTCGGTACTTGCGTCGATGATCATGTCTGTCGAGGAACGATCGCAAGTCATGGATGGGTATGTTCAGAGATTTGCCTGTGTTACGCCGGCAGCAATCGCTGCAGGTGTCACGGAAGCCGCTTTAACGCCTATCTCGACGCGCCAGCTCACGAGGAAGGAGAGATTTCCGGCATATGATCCGTTCCATGAAGCCCAGATGCGTTTGTCCATTGCCTTTCCAGACAAGAGGCTTCTACAGTACGACTGTGGAAAGCTACAAAGACTGGACAAATTGTTGCGAGACCTTAAAGCAGGCGGTCATCGCGCCCTGATCTTTACCCAAATGACCAAGATGTTGGACGTGCTAGAGCAATTCCTCAACATCCACGGCCACCGATACCTCCGCCTGGACGGTACAACCAAGGTTGAACAGCGACAGATTCTCACAGATCGGTTCAATAACGACAATCGTATCCTAGCATTCATCCTCTCTAGTCGGTCCGGTGGTTTGGGTATCAACTTGACAGGCGCCGACACAGTGATTTTCTACGACCTAGACTGGAACCCAGCAATGGACAAACAATGCCAGGACCGTTGCCACCGTATCGGCCAGACTCGCGACGTGCACATCTACCGCTTCGTCTCAGAGTACACCATTGAGTCCAACATCCTCCGCAAAGCCAACCAAAAGCGCATGCTCGACGACGTAGTCATCCAAGAGGGAGAGTTCACAACAGACTACTTTACAAAGCTCGACGTCCGCGATATGATAAACACTGACGAAGAGGAGCTGCTGACCGGCCAAGACGAAGCCAGTGCAGCCATGGATCGTGTCCTCGAGAATCGTGTCACTAACGCCTCGCGCGTCTTCGAGCAGGCTGAGGACAAAGAGGATATTGACGCCGCGAAGAACGCCCAAAAGGAGCTCGAGCATGCAGATGACGGCGACTTTGATGAGCGTGCCAATCCCGCCACCGCAGCTAGCCAGACCCCGACTCAGGCAGGCACACCCCTGCCTTCTGCATCTGATGAGACTCAGCCCCAGCCCCGGTCTACTGCGAGTGCGACTGCAAACGCAAACTCTGTGGCGTTGGATCTTGTAGAGACGGAGCCGTCGCTTGGTCATATCGACGACTACCTCATGCGGTTCATGGAGTGGAACATGAAGGACGAACCGCTTGTCTTACCCGTGGACAAGAGCACGAAGAAATCCAAGAAAGGCAAGGAGCATCGACTGAGGAAGAGACGACGTTAGTTTGGGCTTCGTTCTTTCCCCTTCTTGATTTCCCTTGCTATCTCCTCTTCTTAACACATGTATTTTTAATGTGATCTATTCACCCTATCTTTTTTGGGTGGGGGGCTACTATTTTCTGTTTCTATGCCGTTTTGTTGCCTAAAGGCGTCGTCGGTCGGTTTGTCTGTCTTTTTGTCAGGGCTAGATGTGCACCGAAGAGAAAGTGAAGAGAAAAAAGAACTCCACTTGAAATTCTCCATGTTTCCCTCTTCGTGATGTGTCATATTTTTCTTCCGCCTCTTACGCCTTCTATCTCCCTTCCGCTTCTATTTTCGTCTTTGGGTGAGTGGCTTTTTTGATTCTTTGTCCCTTGAAGCAAGCGACTTGGATGGGATTTTATCTATATAATGCATACATCTTAAATTGGTTGAGTCGATCCAGTCATGTGCCTTTTCTCTCCGAGATCGTAGTTGACCAAAATACGTATAGTACGGAGTATGCAGCCTAATTGCAAGATGCAGCGTGAAGTTGACCGGAAGCACGTTGTGCTCCATATCGACAAGCGTAGATCAGTGTCCACAGCCACGGTCCGCTATCAACGGGTTCAAATTACAAAATCATTCCAACAGTCGGCATATTGACCATAGCCCTCGGCAAACATGAGGCGTGCTGAGCTGCTTCTTTTCACCGCCACTCGAACCTCCTCCAAGTCCTCTTTCGAGCTTGCCGCTACGAGCCTGCGATGCAATCCTGCGGGTCTGCTGCGAGAGTCATTATACGTCTCGATGAGGGTAAACGACGTAAATCACGATGCAGATCCACAGCGGAGACGGAGAGATTGCGAAGGATGGACGATGTAAGTGCGCCGCATCCTTTCTTTCTTTGCCTCGTTCTCATCGTCAAACTCACTGAGGGAATAATTTATCGTTGTTATGACGGCCAACAAAATCCGAGTACGGCTTAGGAGCACTGAGTTTCACGGCTCAAAGAAAACCTGTTCGAGAACGCAACAGGCCCGAGGTAAATGTGGGGTGGTGAGCATTGGCAGGATCTGTGGCGCGTTGTGAGGACCTTCCCATCGCGATTTCGGCAATTCGAGATGTGATAAGTGGATTCGAGTTCTTTGCGTGCTCTCCAGCTTGACTTCATAGCGCTGTGACTATCAAACCCGACAGTCTGGTTGAAAGAGAGCAAAAGAGGCCCAACACCAACAGGCAGGTCGAGATCGCGAACGGACACTGAAGTCTCACTCAGACTGGCTGACTCGTTGAGCTACGTGACGCTCGGGACAAAATACCCTACTTTCTTTTCCTCGAGATAGAAGAAATACCTGGCTATCCAGTCGATCACACAAAACAACAGAATTTCAGACCGATTGCCACCTCCGAGCTGAAGCTGACACAAGGCAAAGATCGTGTGTTCAAGGGTATCAGCATTGTTGAGGATGCTGCTGCAGAGCTGCAGAGCTGCTTGTGCAACTTGGATTGAGCTGCTTGCTTCTTTCTCTCTCCATAGGGGTTTAACAGGCCGTGTTTCGACTTCTCCAGTCCATGTTCCTCACCAACCGTGGGATTGTGATGACCGAGTGCAAAAAGCAAAGAGGGCGTGATGACCGCTGCGTTCTATCACTTTGACTCCTGGCCTAACAGTAAACTTCAGCCGTCTTTGCTCGTTTTAACTCCGTCCGTCCAGTGCAAATTACTCCGTGTGGTGCTGGCGCTGTGCCATCTCCACTGATCAGCGTCGCCTTGGCGAGGGACAAAGCCGGAATGCCGGGGAACCTGGAGAAGGATCTCCGCCGGCCTCGGGGCGGCGGATGCGTACCATGAATGAACTTCATTCCCGCCGCTTTGACGTCTGTCAAGGAGCGGAGATGAGCCGTTGGCGTTATCTTTGACATGACTTCGCTCCATCGGAGCCCTAACGGATAATGGCAACTCGTGTGTCTGTTCGAGCTTGTCACTTACGAACCTGTTCTGGAAACTATGGACGGAATTCGCAGCCGTTTCCGATTAAGTTATCCTCGCCTAGAGCCCATGAAAGCGAACAGTCAGGAAACACGGTGGTTGTTTGTGCTGGTGCTGTGTGCCCTCGCCTGTGATTTCTCGATCGGATTTTGATTTGAAATAACTCCTCCTTCACAACAGCCTGATCGAGGTCCTGAGCGAGATGTCACAACGTTGAGGTAAGTTGAGATGGAACCTTAATCCTGGGGCCAACTAATCCGCGCCTAAGTGTCGCAAGAGCAATTCCCTCGAGACGAGGACCAGGGTGTTGAGCAGCGAGCAGGAAGTGCCGCAGCCAGACCAAAGGAAACTCTGAGATTCTTTGGAGTGGAAGAACTTTGTCAGTCTCTGCCATAGCATGGTGTCACAGCCAAACCTGATTTTCCTTACTTCGTCAGTGGCAAACGAGTTCTACCCTGGTTCTATCGAGATAAATTCAACACAATTTCGCGCTCAGATCCAAGCATATAGCGGCCGTGTCCAGAAACTGGCCGTTGTCGGAACACAAGAAGGTTGATAGAGTTCCAGGACTCAAGTCCTGATAGCCGATGGGATGGGAACGCGCAACGAAGGTCGTTGTAGTGAGAAGAGAAAAGTTTCAGCTGCGAGGGCCCGAGTAGATTGTATCCCATTTGATCCGTGGAGAAAGACCTGGATCAGGCGTCCTTCGGCGGATAATTGATCGCGTAAACAATGACCTTGTGGGCGATGATTTTCGATATGCGGGTGTTCTCTTCGAAGAACCGTTCTTGAGGCTGAGGCATTAACAACCTATCAGTTTCCCACGGCGAGGCAGTTGGGCCAGCATCATCGCACTAATAGTGCACCCAACAGGAGGAAAGCTCTCGATTTTCCTTTCGAGTACGTAACAGAAAAGCCCTCCAGCATCCAGGGGCAGTTCGATACCTGGCAGGTTGTGGCAGTAACTAGTCGTTTGTCTGTCGTCGAGTCTCTCCGCTGCGTCTGATGTGCGCTCTCTCAAGGAATGCATTTCATATCACTTTTCGCCTTGCAGAAGCGGCGACGATTTCTGCTGATTCTGCAGGACTCGACCGACGGGTCTCGGCTCTTTAGCCTCTATCCAGCCAGCCATTATAGCCGGGAGATTGAAGGGGATCATCCGTTTAATGTGTGGAACAATCCTCCTTGTTTCCACCTGTATAGATCCACCAGTTCTGCTTTATATTGATGCACGATCAAGTTCGGCGGACAAGACTTTCTGTAAACCAGCTCTCGTACATACCCGTCGTCCACGCGCTCGAAGTTCCCAATTAGGGCCCGTCCAGCTTGCAGAGAGGGTCTCGTGCAACTCGAAGCCTGCGCATGCGTTCGCAGCCCGCACGAGGCGGTCGATGTGATCGATCGTGCGTTTGTACGAGGTGTTTGGGACACAAGATCGACCGTATCGAGTTTGTGCTATTGAAAGATCTGGGTATGGAGTAGTGTGAACCCATGAGCATTGCTCCTGACCAGGGCCATGGGGACCATGCAGGTGGTTTGCGGCAAACAATGCATGAAGTTGATGCATCACAAAGAAAGCAATGTAACCTTATCAGCGCTGATTGCGCAAAGTATCTACTTCTCAACCAAAGACAGAGGCCAGAGGAAAGGACCAATTAGGCCTTTGTGTTGCACAAATGAATACACTCTCCTGGAGAATAGGGATGATTAGCTATGGCTCATTGTTCAGTCCACCTGATGATGTCGATCATTCCGAGTGTTGAATAGATCGCCATACTGTGAAACTGGATATGTGCGAATGAATCGTCAGGATGGTATCATTGCATTTTTACTGCTCTTCCATCGGTTGGTGCGGACTATGCCATTGTTGTCAGTTAATGCAGTAGGGAAATCCTGCGTCCTAACTATCGAGGCTCCGAAGACGATCGCTGGACTCTACGACCCACTGACAAAGCGAAGACTGTGGATGCAGATAACACACACAGTCCCAAGATCGAAACATGCTCGTCAGTGCCCACTGCTAGCGGCTGAAGGTTGAGGCGATGATTTGGATTTCCACGAATAGATTTTTGCACCCCACCCGGAAAAGAGAGCCGGCGTCGCGGGCGACGGATCCCTCTCGCTGGGTCGTGGTCGTCTTCGTCTTCGCCTCTAGGGTAGCTGAAGGTTTGGGAGTGGTACGTGCTTATTCTCTGCACGGTGCGTCCGACGGCCTCTCTACCTCCTGTCAGAGCTAGATGGCTGAGTCCAGACACTATTCGCTGAAGATATTGGGTGTGGCACTGTGGCGAACCGCTCGATCACGGCCCGGTGGGCGATGTCTCATCAGATGATGGTGATGGCGATGCCAGAAAGATTTGCCTCTATCGTTGATGATCAGTATAGTTGACAGCCGCAATGCCTAATGGTGGTTGAGATGAGCAAGAGCGGGCATTGCTTCTTCTTTCGAGAAGGATCAATGGTAACAGTGAGGGTATTCGGGCCCGTTGGGTTTTGATCTTCCGGTTTAAGCGCGGTCGAATCATGTGGCCAAGCATACTATTCTTGTCGGCTCTATGCTTGTCCATAAAGATCTGGCAGATGCAATTGTCCATGCCGATGACGAGATACCCATTGGCTTTTTCTTTTTCCGAGAAAAGAAAACGAACGAGGTCAAGAAGCACACAAGAGGAACGGGTCGTGCATTAGACTCCTCTGTGCAGAATGGCCCTTGGATCAGGGACCTGGAATATAGTCCCGAAGCAATGATCCTGGAGCCTAGCATTCATTCCGAAAGGATTAATCTGAGCAGATCAGTTCTTACCTGTCAGAAATGGCAGACTCGGCTAGGCAGGTGCAGCCCCACGGAAATACGCTGACCAGGGCAAACGATAGTGGCCCCAAGCCGTGGACGGAGCACCTCAGGCTGCAGGCCCAATCTTTTCGAAAATGACAGATTGATCACCGCGAAGACCCTGTGGAGATCCGAGATATGGCTGCAGGTCAACGTCAGGTACGGAAAACTTCGCTCTCGCACTCCATTGGAGTGCATTGCAGCAGCCATCAGGCTCCGAACCCTTTGCTCTCTGGTTCGTCGTTTGATCCTGCTCGTTGCCTCCAGGAATACTGCATCGTGCAGATTTACACTACCCAAGACCGCAGTCTAACAGCTGCGCCAAGTTTCCAACTGGGTTTAGCTGTGCTGAGATGATGGGGAACGGGAGATCAGTCTTAACTTTTCTTGGGCTAGCTCGATGGATGTCGTTGGTAGCCTACAAACTGCCTCCAGCCGATGATCGCCCGCCCTCTTGGTTTATTGGAATAATCATAATGCCTGTTTGGCGCAGAAAAATCGCGATCTTCTTATTCGGCGAGGTCAAGATTGATTGAGACAATTGATGTCTTATCAGTGTCATATTTCACCATCAGGATTCAGATGGAGATGGAATGGATCTGATTGGGACCAGAACAAGACAAGCAACAAGGCGAGCGGCTCTAGGTTCAATATATTGCCTTGCTGAGTGAAAGGACAGTGGGATAAGTCTGCCACTGTCTGCTGTACCGATCAGGCTAAAGAGACAAAGATACGGCACTACTGCTATAGGAACGTCAGAACAACCGAGCAACTAGCTGTTGGCTCCAGGTTCCAGGCTCAAGACCGACCTCTGAGCGGCGGCAAAATGGGCAATGCAGATGTGAAAGGCGACGGGAGGGGTTATGAGTCTGACATGAACAGGGGGAGCCAGAAATGTATAGGTCGAATCGTACTATTGACGGGAGAGATGCCCCCAGGCCAATGGGAATGGCCGCAGTGCAGGCGAAAGGGGGAAAAAGAGGGACCGGTAAAGGAAAGCAAAGAAACCGAGAAAAAGAAAACACAACCCGGCGTCATCCAAAGTTCAGCGAGCAGGGCCACAGGCACGGACAGTATACTCTCACCTGAAGCCCAACGATGCCGCTGCCATGCTCATCGATAATGATAATGGATCATCGGTTGCACTTCATCTCGAGATTGACGAGAAAGCTTACATACTTGGACCCAACCGTGCGGACGAGCAGGGACAGACCGTGGGAGAGCCAGCAGGGAACGGAGAACGATGACAGGACCCGAGACAATGGACGTGCTACCAGCGGCAAGCAGCTAAAAAAGTCCGTCAAGGTGCAGCCCCAATCACCGACCGCGGTTGCTCTTGGGCAGCTTCGTGCCAGTGCTGGCAGATCCTCGCCCGGTCTCTTCGATTCCCCCGAACTCGGGCTCTCTTTTTGATCGAACTTAAGCCAAGTATCTAGTGTGGGCCAGCCGAGCCATGGATGTGCTTCCTTTGATCACTGAACTCCTCCACCACTGCTCTAGATCTCCCGAGGTGGCTCTTTTCTCCAGCCATCAGAGCCTAGGGACTACTATCGCCAAAAACACATATATCTGGCGTGCTCGTCTTTCTCTCCGATCTGCATAATTTTTCTCTCTTCAAAAGCAACTACCCCAACCTGCATCCCTCTTGCACCCATACTATAGTATCGTTACCTTTCTTCCTTCTTCATCTTCTCCGTTATCTCTCCACTCCGCTTCATCGCCCCTCCGGTGACGGTGGGCTAGTCGACAAGCATGAAGAGCTCTGTTCCAATTCCGTCAGATGTGTGGGAGGAGAAGAAAGCCTTGATTGCGGCTCTATACAAGGACGAAGAATGGCCCCTCAAGCAAGTCATCAAGAAGATTCGTTCTGATAACTTTAATCCAAGGTGAGCCCCCACCATTCTTGAGCGACTATAGTATACTAAACACATACCAGCGAGACCCAGCTACGAAGCAGGCTTAAGAAGTGGCGTGTTACCAAGCCCTCTCGACAGACAAGAAAAAGATCTCACGAACCGGTTATCAAGGATACTATGCGCGAGACGAATTCACCCAAGGGTCACTCCAACAACAGCTCCCCAAAGCCGCAAACGCGCGTGCGCCCCTTGCCAACTACAGCCAGGGGCCCCGCTACAGAGTTGGAGTGGTATATGACCAACAGACAATACGAAGCGAACGGTTTGCCCACAACAATACCCCTTGGTGGACACGATATTCCCGATGTCTGGGCTCCTGCATCGACTCATCCCTCCTCACCTCTAAGCTCTCCAAGCAAGTCTCGCGTGAATTCTCATGCTTCTCTGGCAATTCTTACCTCGTCCTCGTACGAACCATCTCAAACGTCACCACTGGTGGATGGTGCGCTGCTCAATCCTACACCTGCAATGACTCCGACCTACGCGGATGGATCCTATTCTCTCACCACTGAGTCTTGCATGCAGACGCCCGTGTCTGCCGCAGCAGGCCCACCGGTCCAATGGGCCTTGCCTCAATGGTACACAATGCCCATGGAGGCGAGCACTCGGGCTTCATCAATACCATTCTACACCACGGGGCCTTTGACCCCACCAATCGACCCAATGATGCAAATGGTACCTCCACAATTTCCCCAGCATATACCAGAGTATCATGAGGACCTGAAGGCATGGAAACGCAGCATGTCTGCACCGTACGGCCCAGGGGTAGCTGCCCATATGAACCACAATGCGAGGCAGCGAAAACCTTTGGAGCGAAAAGTGTCTTTACCCTCCAAGATTATCACCGGCCAGCCACCGTCTGGAATGGTTACGCCAACTTCTCCTTACTTTCCCCACGGGCAACATCCTACCTTGTGTTCGCCAGGCTATACGTATCCTGGACCAGAATCACTGTCACACAGGTCCAGCATTGAATTCTGATTTTTTTTCTGTCTATCTTTTCCCACTCGTTTATTCCAGTTATTTGCCTTCTCAAGACAGCCCGCTGTCTTTTTTGTTTTTCTTGCACCATTTTGTCTCTCCTCTGTTGTCTTCTGTCTTGTAACTGCATCTACTTGCGGTTTTGGCAAAAGCCATCCCCTAAGCATGTGATGTTCTATATGGGTGGCCTTTCTGTTTTCTTGTTGTTTGATATCCAGGAGTTTTCAGGCGCATGTACAGTGACTCAAGCATTAATGTGGACGCATGGAGCAGGTTCACGGAACGAGGATAATGATTTGGAATTTTTTTCGGGCTCGCTTATCGTACATAGAGTTCTTCGGTGGTAAACAGTACATATATATTAAGCCTTGATACAGGTCAGATTCAAAGTCCGATAAAATTGAATACCTCCTCTCGGTGCTGACTTCCGGCCAAACGTGCATGCTAGTTCCTAAGACTACGTGGTGGAGGAAATAAGAAGCGAAAGAGGCTAATATCATCTTGTTATGTTGAATAAGTGATGTCAGCATCAATAATGCCTACCTGCCCAGTAGCTTACCTGGGCTTCTTTTCAGCTCAACTCAGGCCAGCCTCCAGAGGTTCAGCTGCTGTCGAGAGTGCCAAGGGTCCGGAGGAAATACTCCTACAGTATGTATATCCGACAACCTCGGCATCTTCCCGCGATTGGTTTTGCGGGGAGGTCATAACTTGCACCCACCGATCTGCTAGGCGAGCTCTTTTATTCTTCCACCTCCTCCTATCTATATATCCTCGCGAGCTCAGATTCTGGAACAAGCTTTCTGAGATAGTCTTTATTGCATTCATACATTTATACCTAGATTTCTGCCCCAAGCAAGATTGTTTCCCGTCATTCCTTGAAGGCCCCTTACACCGACATAATGCGCGCCATTCAGGTGAAGGAATACGTCAATGTGAGCTCCTTCTCTCTATCATCTTCCATCAGATCAAATACAGAGGCTAATAGGAATCAATAGGGTCCCCTCGACCTAACCGTCTCGACCCTCCCAACGCCCTCCCCCTCGCCAACCGCCTACCTAATTGAAATCCACTCAGCAGGAACAAACTTCTTCGACCTACTCCAAATCCAAGGAAAATACCAGCACCAGCCCCCGCTCCCTTGGGTCAGCGGCTCCGAGTTCGCAGGTACAATCGCCGCCCTGCCAACAAAAGGCTCCGGACCTTTCAAGTACAAAGTCGGCGACCGGGTCTTTGGAGCCACGCAGGGCGCGTATGCTACGCATGTGCTTGCGGCCGAACAGTCGCTGCTCCCTGTGCCTGAGGGGTGGACCTTTGAGGATGCGGCGGGGTTGTTCGTCACGGCGCCGACGTCCTACGGGGCTCTTGTGCATCGGGCGCACGTGAAGGCGGGCGAGTGGGTTCTTGTCCATGCGGCTGCTGGTGGTGTGGGACTTGCGGCGGTGCAGATTGCCAAGGCGATGGGTGCGACTGTCATTGCGACGGCGGGGACGGAGAGGAAGAGGGAGGTTGCGCGGCAGTTTGGGGCGGACCATGTGATTGATTATCGGGATAAGGCGTGGCCCGAGGCCGTCAAAGCGCTGTGCGCGAAACACAGGAGTGGGAATGGCAAAGCTGGTGTGGATGTTGTGTATGATCCCGTCGGCATGATCGATGCAAGCTTGAAGTGTGTTGCCTGGAATGCGAGGTTGCTCGTCATTGGGTTTGCTGCGGGGAGTATCGAAAAGGTTGCCTTGAACCGGGTACTGTTGAAGAACGTGAGCATTGTCGGTTTGCACTGGGGACAGTATGCCAAATTTGAGACGGAGACGGTTGGCACTGTGTGGAAGGGAATTTTCGATCTGGTTGCCCAGGGTAAGTTCAGAGGAACTGCTTTCAAGGATGAGAGCTTTGTTGGACTCGAAAGCGTCCCCAGAGCGCTGCAGGCTCTTGGGAGCAGGGAGACCTGGGGGAAGGTTGTGGTGCAGGTTATTGATGATAAGGCTAGCCGGCTGTGAGAATTTATGTGATACTGCGGTTTTATGAAGCACTTCCACGTGGTACATCGATGTATATAGTGTTGAGCGACCTATGTTCTTGCAGCAATCAACCCTATAGATCTTATGATGCGCTTGATGAATCCAGAAACATAATAGGGAAAAAAAGAACACAAGCGAAGAAGACGCCTGATCAAGTAAATTTGGTCTATAAGTGCATGCTTCCTATCCTAATATATTCTCAAAGAGAGAAAAAAAAAAAAGGGAAAGGAACATAAGACGGGAAGGAGAAATGGAATATGTAGAGAAGAGGAAAAGATTGGTTATAGAACCATTAGTTGGGGTGACAGCGGCCACGATTGAAATTGCAATTGCAATCGCAACTGCAAGCCCTGGAACACAGCGTCGCTATATCTACAGCATGAACGCAATAGCAGCCAATCCAGCGCCCATCACACCGGCACCCGAGAGCTTCGCAGCAGGAGCGGCAGCGCCGGTAAAAGTTGCCTCAGCAGGCGGTTGCGAAACAGTCGTGGTCGCAGTGGTAGACTCTTCACCAGATCCGCCGGTGTGCGAGGGAACGGGCTTGATGGTAGAGGCGCTGGTGACAATGACGGAGCTGCTAGGGCTGGGCGTGTAAATAGGCGTGTAGATAGGCGTGTGCGTAGGCGTCTTGATGATGGGAGTGCTCGTGGAAGTCGTAGTGGTAGTAGTGGTAGTAGTGGTGGTGGTAGAGGCAGAGGTAGGAGTTGGGGTTGGGGTCGTAGAGGAAACGAGCTTGATGGTGATGGTTGTAGTGCGAGTTGAGGTGATGGATTCGGTTTCGCCGGCATCGCCGTTTGCGACGGACGCAAGGGAGAGCGGAGCAAAGGCCGCGGTCGCGAGAAGAAGGGTCTTGAGGAGCTGCATTTTGGATTATCGGTCTGAAGATCGAATATTGAAGATCTCCGATGTGTGGTTTTGTAGGTTGACTATCGGTTGACTGTATAAAGGAAAGGATCGTCTCTGCGATTCGTCGCTTGATTTAGGATGCGCGCGATGTATGTGGTAGGCAAGGAGTGAATGAATGGAGCTGGAAAAGAGTGGCAGCCCTGGTTGAGGTAAAGAACGACGAGAAAGAGCGACGAAAGTGAGATTTGTTTGAGAAGTGTTGACTGGGCTGGAACGCAGAGGATATTGAATGAACGACAGGCGGCAGCGAGATGAAAAGGGGCTAGCGTCGACCAGGAGAGCATGCGCTGCCGTTGGCTGGACCACCTATGCAGCGTTGGCACGAGTTTTTTTAGCCCATACCAAGCGCCCAGCCTGTGCCCAGCATCAAGCTGGTTTCATGGCACCAACAGCGCCCTTTTGGTGATCTTTGTCGCGGACCATGGCTCGCGCAACGCGGCTCGGTTGACAAGCTCTGTCGGATCCAATCGTTGAGCGGTGTGTTGGACAATTAAAAGAGTCTAACATATTAGCGTCTGAGCATTACGTTACTTCAAATTTCCAAGGACCCATCAATCCAGATGCCCCTGTTTAACAATGAACTGATTTGAAGACAAATTTGCTCGCCCGAGAAGCTTAGAGGCTTGAATGGTGGCGGATCTGGCTTTGCGATGGGCTATTTCTGGTCATGCAGAGAGATACACAGCCATTGAACATTTTTGCTGTGTATCATATGGTTTCAATTATTGAAAATCGGCTCACATCAATCAAAATCAACTAGCTATGATTAATCTGCGCCATTCCGAGAGCAGCGGGAATATAAGATTGCTGTGGGACTGCCGGCTCCGGTGCTGACGACGAAAGACCACGAAACTCCAGTTCACCTTTGCAACGCTGATTATTGAAATGGCGTTCAACCTTAAGAACCTTAGTCTTTTGGCAACATCGAGGTAGTGATGCCCAACGAAGGGGTGACCTAACAAGACAACGAGGGAGGAACCCGCCTGAGGCTACATTCCGGCCCGTCTTGAAGACTTTGAGGTAAGTTTCATTAAGAATTACAGCGATCGATGTCTTGATAAACTATTCTATAGTACAAGTGCATGAACCATTTGATCCACACTAAAGCAATATCATCGACGACTCATCATCATCGGGACTCGTAAAGATAACAAAAAAAAATATTCCCAATTCAGAAAAATATTCCAAATCTGAATTGGGTATAAGCAAGCAAACCTCCTCCGGGAGAAGAGACAGACGGCAATCATAGAGCATAGACTGCACTTGCTGCTATGGCGGCCATGACCCAGTACCCGCTGGCTTGCCTCAAATTTAAGGTCGCGGCACCAGAGTCTGGGTCCACGGCTGTGGTTCCGTTTGGCAAAGTTCCGTTGATGGCTATCGTCTGAGTGCCATTGACAGTCGTGACCTTGACGATACTGGTATTCTTGGGCTGTGTCCCATCGAATAGCGACTCGTAGTATGTGCTGTTGTTGTTATCCTCGCATCCGCATGATGCGTACTGCTCGCACAAGCAAATAACCGGCAATGACTCGTTTCGGTTTGAGGTGTTGTTGACGTAATTGTAATGATGGTGGTAAGGGTAGATGTGCGCTCCCCATAGCCATAATCCGGGGAAGAAAGCCAGAGCTGCTACTGGCAGGAAGAACGGTGCGATGCCAAATGGTGACGGGCGGCCTGCTCGGTAGGGGGTAGTAGCTCCTCCAGCGTAAAACGCACCACCACGTCCATAAGCCGGTCGTGGCCCTGAGCCGCCGGGCGTACTCCCTCCGACATTGCTGTTGGGACGTGTTGAAGGTGGTCGGCTACTGCTGCTGCTGCTGCTGCTGCTGCCGCCTCCTCGGCCTCCACTGCCTCCTCCACTGCTTCCGCCGCCGCCTCGTCCACCACCTCCACCTCCACGGCGTTTCTCTAGATCGCGGGTCTCTAGATCTGGGGCTTCGACTGGTGAAATGATGTCACCATGGGGAACGGACAGGTCTGAAGTAGGAATATGGAGAGAGGTGACTGTGGATGAGAGGAGAAGTGTAATTGTGGTAGCGAATGCGAGCTTCATTGTGTGCTTTGCGCGTTTTTGAGTGTCTTCAGTGATGGTAAATGATCTTTTTTTGAGATGAACCTTCAACTGAGAGGAGCGGCGAAAAGGGGTGTTGCGTTTGATATAAGAAGTCGTGCTTTGCCCTGCAGAGAGAAAAAGGAAAGAGGGATCAACAGGGCTGCAGGGTCAGGCTGATTGTTGAATGTTGACGTTGCAGAAAATAAATAAGAAAAATAAGCCCAGCAGTGCCCAGAGGTTCAAGCCTCAATTTAACCTTCAGAGAACCACAAAGACTTGTGAAGGAGATCTGGCTCCCAACAGACTTTTGACACTGCCAAGCGAAGTACATAAACCTTAGTTTCCGAGGCTGAATTCGGATACGAGTCGGTCAAGGCGGATTCGATGGAGTCAGCTGTTGATTGTGAGATTCTGAATCCGGAAGATCAGTTCCTTCAATGATCTGTGTCCTTTTAAATTGACCAAGCACCACCCTTTCTGCCAGTTTGATGCCTCATGGTGACCTCACAAGGGTCCACGTGGGTCTGGGGCACAGGGGCACAGCCACGGACCCTGCTGGCATCATGCATAGTCCAACATCGCCACGACCGAATGTTCTTTGGGATCTCCTCTTTGGCTCGTCCAGCATGAGGTCCTTTACACTCTAGGTATGGTTTAATTAATCAGCGAGTAATCATTTGCTTCCGTGGCGTGAATTCATAAAATGCCCTTGTCATGTCTGTAGCGCATTATCATCCTGGTCCGGGAATCTGAGTTGACGGATCGTCGGGAGGCGTATCCGTATCCGTCACGTGAAAGCTCTCATGCTGACTAACAGGCTAAGCGAAAAGCAGCATCAACAGCGAAAATCTTGCTCGAAGGTTTCTTCAACGGTCCCGCAGACATGTCACAGTCACGACGACAATTCAATCAACACCCGTGCCTCGCAAGATATCGCTACATGTCATGGATACAGCGTTGAAATGATGCCCTCGACTAGTTGATCAATAACGTCGAATCAGATGAGCAACAAGCGAAATGTCCGGCACAGCGATCAGTGATCGACGGTCAACGGAAAAACAGCCACGGGGCAGGTCTCGTTATTTATGATGTAGCAGACGAGCCTCACGAGCTGTAGCAGCGCAACATCTGCCTTGGCGATTCACATCTTGTGGTGTCTTGTTGAGAACGAACATTAGAGCATGTTGACGAATACACGACATTTCCCTTTTTGACTGACATGTCATCGCAACTCACGCAGTTCAACTGTCCCAGTTTGCACACCATTGGTCCGTATCGGGCTCATGGAGCAGACACCACGAGGGACTCTTCTTAGAAGGACGGTCAACACATTTCACGTCTTGTGGCTGTGACTGAACGGAGTTGGATTGCTGGGCCGTTTTCGGTCCTGACAAGATCACAGTTGCTAGACGAATCTAGGGCCTTCATAGTCCGTGTTCTCCTACTCATACGGGTACTCTCACGAGAGCATGGCTCCTTGCGCACCTACATCATTTACCACCTTACGTATATAGCATGACAATGCAATCACTAATTGGATATTATCATTATCATATAACTGGCCGAGGCTATCGCATGCAGCAGGCTCAGTCGTTCAAACTCGTGGGGAAGGATTTGAGGGCGCGACCGAGCAGCACGAAGAAAGGCAACAGAATTAGGTAAATGCAAGCAGGTCACTCGATCAGCAAGGGTTGGAATATAAACGATTTCGGAGTCATAACGAACGTAGTCGGGGGTATCGTGCGCGTAAGATGATAACGAAACAATGCAGACCAAAATACTGGTTTGCAAGACCCATGGACAGAAAAGAAAATATATATGAAGGCGGAGCACGAACAACAACCATCAGCTAGCCGGTCAAGATACCGGATCAAGAACGCGAGCACGGATGGGGGGATTGCTTGAGAGAGAGAAAGGTTAAGGAATAGTAGGGGAATTTCAGCAACACCCCGATCCTTTCCTGTGACTTGATCCGTTGATGCGAAAGACGTCTTCCCACTCCCGCATTCCATTTCGCCAGTTGTTCCCGCCACCGCCTCGTCGTCTTGTGTTTCTGCGGTGAATCTGGACAGCACTTTCATCGAGCGTCATTTGGCTTCTGATGCTTGAAGCATCGCTTGTGCCGTGGCCATAGAGACCGCCATCTCCGTACTGGATACCGCTCTGCGGGTCATCTGGGTCAATTTCTCCAAGCTCAATCTTTGTCAGTATGATGCGTGCTAGACGCTGAAATAGCTCCTCAACACCTTCTCCTGTGAGGGCGGAGACTTCCATGACAGCAGGTATACTGGATTTGGCAGCCCAGCTCGAAGCTTCCTCGATGCCAACCTCCCGACCTTGCGACGCATGTGTCGCTGTCATTCCGGTACCCATGTGGCTCGTTGAACGAAACGAACCACCGCCGGAATCATACGGGAAGGACGACTGTCTACTCGACGTACTCGATGGGGTAGGGGGCGGTCGCATTGTATCCTCGGTGTAGTCACCGCTTGTAAAAGACTCATTCGTAAGATCCGCCTTGTTTCCAGCAAGAAGAACCGTAAGGTTCGGGGACGCAAGGGCACGAGCGTCCATCAGGAACGTCGGAAGGGAGGAAAAGGAAGCGTGAGAGGCGACATCGTAGATAAGGATTGCCCCGGCGGCGCCTCTGTAGTAAGATCGTGACACCGATCGGAATCTCTCTGTCCCTGCAGTATCCCAAAGCTGCAGCTTTATTCTTGTCCGCCGGGGGCCACTGCCCAGTTTGACGATCCTCGAAGAGAACTCGACTCCGATCGTTTGCGACGAGAGCACTCTCCCTACAAGCACATAGTATTAGCGGGCCATCTTCAGATGGGTAAAGCTTCTCCGATGAGGCTAGAAATTTCTTATAAAGGAGCAACTCGGCCGTACACTCGTTTTTCACAAAGCGATGAAGCACGCAAGACCTGCGCAGTGTGGAACAGTTCCGTCAGTAAGCAGTCTGGGAGATTGCGGGGAAGACCAACTCACTTTCCAGCACCACTCGGGCCAAGGAGAATCACCTTGGCCAAGTAATCATACATACTCTCCAGCTCCTACTCAGCATCAGGATACAGCGTCCGAACGAAGCGACAGTGACAGTCAGGTGGAAGGGCGGGATGCGGTCGAACCCCATAGCAGCTCGGGTCGGCGTACCTGATTTCCAGGGAGAGAGGATATTGACGAGGCATTGGAATGTCCTCGTTGACGTGCCATGGTGCGGGACACGGGCCATCAAGGGTTGTGAAGCGGGAAATGTGAGGAAAGAGCAAGGGAGGAAAGAGGGCGATTCAGAAAGGCAATAATGACGGTGAGTTGTCTCCCTTTATTATTATTCAGGCAAACTACTCGACGCCGGCCCGCCGAGTCCGATAGTCCAGCAGTTACTCCACCATGATCTTCAGGCGGCTATCACTGTCCGACTCCTCGATTGAGATGCACCCTTTGAGCAAGGGGAGACACCGCCCCTCTTCCCCGCCGCCAACAATTTGCTATGCTCTTGCGCTCGCAGTGCGGAGTTTAGATTCGCTCTGCGCGGCTGAACCGAGGCCAAGTGCAGGCCACATGCAGCTCCCTCACGAGAAGATAGTAGTAGTATTCGTTCCAAGTTTTGTCTAACATTACCCTATCCTCGTTTTGTTTATAAACAAGATTACCTGACATGAAAAAAGTCGCTAATAATAGATTGGCAAAGAGAAAAACAATCATGAGTTTCAGTGGTGTCTCTGACGCATCTGCACCACGGTAGTCCATCCCTGGCAGCATTGCTTGCTCATGTGGTGCTCGCACCAGCAACATTTCACAGGCCCCGATGGCACGTCTGCCGTCACGCGTGTGCGTACTGATCTCTGTTGTATATCAGCCTTGGGAGCCGGCTTGGTGGATGATTCACGCAAGGATCGCGTCCCTGCCACAGAGGTAGTCAGCCTATCAGAGAGAGAATTGCGTTCCCAGGCAGCGAGCTCTTCGTCTAGAGCAGCAGATAGAGGATCTGAGTTCGCCAGACTCGCGTATACCTCGGATGGCATGTCATGCCAGAACTTGCAGCGACAGCAAATGACGAAAAGCTTGGCAACAAGTTGGTCTCTCCCAGCTTGTTTCGTCCTTTTTACTTGTTTCTTTGACTCTGCTTTGAGGTTTGACGACACAATGGCCGTAGAGGCGCTGTCGAAGCCCGAAGGCACGCCTTTCTTGGGTATACTGCGCATTTTGGATGCTGTTGAGTTATGGTCGTCTGAGATTCTGGACACGATTGACGCCGCTTCGTCTGCAGTGTTGTAATCCGACTCGGAATCATACGATTGACCGGCCGATAGGCTACTGGGTGGTCGTAGTCTGCTGTCTGACACTCCTCTGAGCGACTCTGGTGATTGTGATATGCTGCGACTATTCCGCTTCGGACTCTTTGGCGGAACACTTGGGGAGGTGTCTCGTTGCTGCGCCATAGGAGGCAGTGTCACGGACATATTGGACCGGCCACTGGGAAGGCCTGTCTCTTTGTTTAGTGAGTTGTAGAAGCGCGGTTTTGTTAGCAGTGTTGATGGAGCTAACTGACTCAGCTTTGAAGCCGGTTTCCTGCTAAAAGAGCTCCGAGGGATTTTTGACTCTGTCGCCGATGGTTTGGCAAATGGTTTGGGCGACTGTGAAGATGTCATCTTATCTGGAATGTTACCGCTCGACGTTCGCAGTACGTTGGGTGGGTTGGTTTGGCTTGCTAGAGTTGTTGCTCCTTTTTGTGGGGCGGGCACATCATCACCATTCACTGTCTGCGACTCTGCAAGAGGTGAGGATTTGTACGTCTTTTGATGCCTCAGTGCAATGCCATCTGTAGTTACCCTTGCCAGCATGCTCACTGGCAGACCTGCGCGGGAGTTTACAGCAGAGCGTGGTCTCGAGTAAGTGTCAATTTGATCGATATCTGCTGCAGAATGGAGATCTGTCAAACTAGCTCCAGCCAACGTGGTTGAGGATTTAGTCGAAATTGCTGTCTTAAGAGAGTGCTCAGACGATGCGGTTTTCTTTCCAGAGTTGAGACTCGCGGTGAATAATGCCCGGTCCAGGTCTGCTTGTTGCCTTGCTTTGTTGGTTGCGGTCTCTGGCCGGACATATTCGTCTTTCTGTGCCGCGTGGCTTGATGATGGCTCGGCCAAATGAGTGACTGCATCGTCTTGCTTTTGAGTAATCAATTGCTTGGGTATACCATGGGTGCACTCTGATGTTGCCTGCTCGCTCTGCAACGAAGGTGTTGACTGCTCAGGCGGCGTGAGCAAGGCATTTTTCCTCGCAGCAAGCTCCTTGGATATGGCTGTGCTTAAACGCTCAGGTAATGTTGAAGGCAGTTTTGGCAAAGCGTTTGGGCTATCGCTTGACGGAGCGTCCTCGGATCCGAAGCGATTTTCGGCTGCGTCTATAGAGCTTGACCGAGATCGGGATCGGCGCCTCGAGCCCGAGAAAAAGGATGACAGACGCGATGATGGCCGAGATCGAGATTCGTCTGCGCTCACGCTTGACGATCTACTTGAACTTCCCAGCGGCTGCTTCTTGGTAAGCCTGCGGGACTCTCTTCTCAGGGCAGAAACGTCTCCCGTCCTTTCAGCCTCCTCGAGTTTGAACAGTCTCTTCTCCAACTCCAGTCTTTCTGCTTCCAAACGCTTTGTAGCCCGCCTATCTTTCTTCTGAACGACGTGACTCGCAGTGTCTTGCCTATGCAAGGGGCCATCAAGCGAATTTTTGGCCGGCTGTTGCGCATCCACACCGAAAGACTGGAGGGAAGAGGGTCGTGATTCCGATGTGTTCAATCCGGTAATTTTTGACCCCAAGGATGAGTGTGAAATGTGGCTCTGCTCGTTGGTGCTAATTCCGGAATGCCTGTACTTGGCATAATCTTGAGGGTCATTGTTCTCCACGGCCGGCTGTATATTTGATGGGAGAGTCGAAGTCGCAAATTTCCCTTTTGAGGAGTCGTCATAGCTCACACTTCTCCGTGACTTTGGACGGTTAACACCAAGTTCTTGATCCTTCTACATGCTTGTACAAGGAGAATTCTCTGGAAAGGCCAGAAAAAAAAAGTCACAGCTAATAAGCACTCACATCGTTCGTTTTGTCAAAGTTGAACATCCGCTGAAACTGCTGAGTGATGGAAGACCTCCGGGGCCTTCGATTATCGGTACCCGGTTCAATGAGCGCTGGCATTTTGGAGCGGCGCGATGCGATGGCAGAGATGATGGTCGGCGAATATTCAACACGACGGGAGGGTAGCGCAGTTCTCAGCGAAAACCTCCGAATCCCAAACCCATAGCCACGGACTCGCAGACGTTGAGCTGACGATGAAGAAATGCGAAAAGTAGTTCCTAAATCATGGTCAGGCAGAATAAATACTGTCACGTCAAGCAAGGCAAGTCAGGTCGCACACCCGTCAAGGCAAAACCCACCGCTGTCCGACCCTTGAGAATATTCTCACAGGAAAAGAAAGCCACCATTGCAGCAGTGCACAGAGTTTTTTTATTTTTATTCCCCTCCGTTGGTTGTTAATTACAGCTCAAGTGAAGGACGCACAGGTCACATGAGTGTGAGACCTCAAGACTTCGAGCTAGAAGCCAGAGACAACAAGCTGTGGAAAAGGAATCTGGCGCTATCGTATGAGCGCAGAGAGAACACATCAAGATTGCTTGGTTTGGTTAGGTGTTGTCTCACTGACCTGCATGAGGCTTACTAAAAATATATCTTTTCAGCCACTACTACGAACGCCCTCTGGTTCCAGGTCTTTGGGTTGGAAGGGGGGATAAGAGGGGGTACAAGGAACATCGAGGGGTTTTAAAAAAGGCGGTTTGTCGGTGGGGCGCCATTGAAGCTATAGAGCACAAACAAGCTGATGGTCTGTATATGAACCTGATGTCGAAAAGAGCCTGGACGGCGGCAAGGTTCATGGCACACACGAACCGATGACAGGGATCAATGGTTGGATTTAGACGTATCGACCTTCGGGCAGGTCCATAGACTGGTTTCCTCCTTGGGTTTAGTAGGCACCGTCCATGGTTCTTGCATCTGGGCATGTTGTTCCTGGCAGCGATTCCATGGACATTTTCTGAGCTTCCTTCCTTAAATTCACGTCAAAGTCTAGATTCCTTTGAGCAGATCATCAGACGTCGCACTTGCTCGCGGCACAGCCACACTTTCCTCGGCCAGAAACCAGGTACGTATAAATTCTACTCGTCGTCATTCGACCCCACATTTTATTCGCTAGCACATCAATATTCCCCGGAGATCTGCGCTATCAGAAGACACATCTAGCTATTTATACGCCACAAACAAACTTGTACTATTCCATTGTTGCTTGCTTCGCTCGCTGCGCCTTCGGCTTGCTCAATCCACTGCACAATGACGAGAAAGACCTACGCACCCCCGCCAGGCCCACCTCCAGGGTACTCCGATGCATCACGTCCAGGGAATGGGCCCTTTACAGAGCCCGACAACGCCAGTATAGGCCCGCTGCCCCCTTATCACAACTGGCAAGAGACCGTCCCAGATACAGCGACATTCCCTCCGCCCCCAGTGACAGCAAACTACATTTCCGCAACGGGCAACGCCTCTAGTGATGACGCCGAGCGCGCGCACGAGTGGTGCGATGCGTCTCCTCTCTGGAGACCCGTTTTTCCATCAGCCCATGTCTACCAGCAAGTCCAGAACTACCACATACAGCACCTCAGGTCCTCTGAGTTTAATGGGGATCTTTCAATGCACGACGATCGTTGGAGGGGATACACCAGAGACGGAAACAGCGACTGCATCCTGACAACGATGTTACCGCTGTACTTTGCATCGGCAGACTCGCCCTTCGTCACGGAGAGATACAAAACCATCTATTATGAAGTCAAGCTGCTTGGCCTTCGCGCGGGTCCCTCACCTCAGGATGCTAGCGGGCTGGCTATAGGGTACGTTGCGCAGCCGTATCCAAGTTGGAGATCGCCCGGCTGGGAGCGGGGCAGTATTGGTGTCTTCTCAGACGATGGTTGTCGCTTTGTGAATGACTCGTTCGGTGGAAGGGATTTTACGACTCCGTTTCGGGTCGGGGAGACGGTTGGATTGGGAATGACGTTTCAGCTTCCTACGGACGTTATTGATATTCGAGGAACCCTTAAACTTCGTACTCGCGTTTTTTTTACGCGGAACGGTCAACATGTAGGCGATTGGGACTTGCACGAAGAAAGAGATGCAGAGGCGGGGGGGATCGAGGGACTGGAGGGCGATGTCGATTTATATGCAGCGATTGGGCTCTTTGGCGGCGTTGATTTTGAGATATGTTATCATCCAAGAGGCTGGCTTTACTGCCCCGAGTGATGAAATTCTATTCTTATGATGGGTTATTGCGTGTGCCTCTTAAAAGGTGCCGCTAGTACAGCATTGCGAACACAATATGTGACCATGCTCTAGTAGGCTAGGTAGTATTGACAATAGTGACGACTGTATCCTGTTCGCAGTGTATACATAATGTTTAAATTCCCATAAAATCCGAGATAAAATCGTCCCACGCTTAGATATGCTCAAGTCCAAATCAGTCCATCTTTTACATGAGAGTGTGACTGACAACATCCATGTTTAGTAGTCCACCAAGGCCCAGACACTGCTAGCTCGTATAATATATTGTAGTATCATGCAGTGGGGTAAGCCGCCCCAGTCTAAGAAGCTCCTGGTGGTGTGGATAAAAACCCTGGGGTGAAAGAGTCTAGCACTACTGAGACAGGGGGATCAAAAATAATGGTGGTGGTGACGTGCGCAAGGCTTCCCGTCCTAGCCAAAATAAAAAGAGAAAGAACCACGACACGATCAGCTAGGATACTCCCTGTCGATCGTACCCTCCGTACCAGTAGCTGTACATTAGTGCTTCGGGGGGAAGCGTGAGGTACATATCCGGAGGTCCTTGGGACCGACGTGCATGGACAAGATGGTCGGATGGTTTCTCCTTGAGACTTGCACTAGCCACGGCGTACTCCATATGTACAACCTATGGCTCAGCGAGTCTTAAGACCCTTGACGTCATAGTCTAGCCTCGGAGATGACGAGGTTACTGAGGAGAGCTGGCCTATCTCCCTCATACCTAGTACTCTCGTTGTGTCCAGCTGAGGCGTATGCGATAGATAGCAGGGATCTGGGACTGGTAGGCTGTGCGTCAACTAGATAATAAGTTACAGAGTTATTTGATAGTAAAGGTGGCCGTTGCATGTGTTTTTTGACATGATGACATATGGGTAAATCTAGTCTACGACTGTAGACCGGGCACATGCCTGATCCTTCATGTTTTGCAGCACGCAAGCTCGACGGATCAGGTACCTGGTCTAGGGAGATCAGCAGCGACGGCTCTCTTCTCATTGTTTATCAAGATCTAGGTGATCGAGATGCTTTTTACCTGCATGATACATCGATGTATTATTAAGTCCCATTTCGGTCTTTTACCGCTTCTGCCAAACAGCCATGCTGTTCTGTCTTCGATTGGCCTAAAAGCGGCAATTTCAGCGTATTAAGGATAAAGATTCCACGATATGCATTGGGATGACCACCTGCCAGAGTTCTATTTATGCCGAGCAAGTACTTGGTACCTGCATACATTCCTCGCAGCATGGCCACAGGATACTTCCCGAAAACGGCCCGAGGCAGACGCAAGGGTTTAGCTCAGACATGAAGAAAAGTAAAATCAGTGTTGATGATGATTTGCTATCTATATTGTGCTCAGAACGTTCGAGTCATAGTAGCACTGCCGTGAGAGCTCGAAGGCACATCCCATCCAGGTTGGTTGTTTTCAAAGAAGAACCGTTGAATGATTGGCTTTTGGATTCGCCATTAGTTGGATTAGCGTTGCAGTAGGAAGTGGCACTACTCCAGAGTAAGAGACACTTGCGATATCGGAAAGAACATGAACCGCCAGGTGGCCAGGCCCGTTGAATCGCCAGCCTTTTATCCAGCCTATGGTAAGCCAACTTTGCAAACATAAATGGTCATGGACGTTGAAATTCTACTCCTTGACAAGATGGGGATCTCCGTTTCGCCCGGTGAAGTCGTGACACGACTCGGTCCTGAATTGCGATCAATCTGTGATTCTTCGGAGATTGCTGACATTGGGAAACCCCATCAAGCACGGAGTGCTATTGGAAACGGTATCTGGCTCCATAGCAAGGTAAGGAATATATGGATTCACGGGAATCACGCCTTCCTGCAAACGCAGTTCGTCAGTGACTGGACGTTATTTCGACTTTGCTGATCCGTTCGTCTTATGTGGCCCGATTTGCTGGCAATGGTTCCTTCGTCTACCGACGCGCAGGCGACCGAGCCCGCGGCAAAAATGGCACAAGTTGCCTTGCCACGAAGCATCAAGAGCAGCACTGATGGTGGGGATAACCTCCCGTAACCTCCCGCAGCCTCCCGGCCGTCAAGACACAAGAGTACTCTATCGAGAGGCTAGCACTCCGTCCTGCTCCCTCAATCGGTCAACTCCCGTCAACGCGGGTTCCACTCAGGGCTAGTACATAGTGGCATCACCGTTCAAACTCCGCCTCCACTGAGGGAAGATAATCCACCCCAGAACGCCAAGTTTCAAGTCTCAACCGCCAAATCGCCCGAGTCAGCGGCTGGCTCGATTGAATCGAGTCTGTTTCGGTGTTTCGCCGCTGGCTGACAAGGCCGTTGTTGCTCAGTACCCCGTAAGCTCAACGTGATCGAGCGCCCCATCCATAGGGGTACGCTGTACTCCTACGAAGCAGGCGCTAGACAGAATTTATAAAGTTCAAACTTCAATAGCACCGAAAAAGGTCAATGCGACGTTTGCTAAACTTTAGTGTCCGCTAATTGCCCCGGTCTTGGCCGTCCTGAACTTGGCAACAGGATATAGTATTGACAACGCTTCGCGAAGGGAAGAACAGAGTAATGAGTCTCATTTGTCGAGACGAGTGCAAATCGTGTTGACTGCCATCCATAATCCCAAAGCATAACTCATCTTCCATTTGATCTCAATGTATACGGTCAGGCGAGTGTGTGAATGATCCGATGATCGAAGATGGTATCGAGCGAATAGATCTCCCTGCCGTTGAGAGATTCATACCGCGGCGAAAAAAACGAAGGATGAACGCGACGCAGCCAGATTGATTGTTCGCAAAGAGTATGAGAGAGCGTTTCGAGAGTTGGGAGAAAGCCCTTCCCTAGACAGCCAGTCTGAGGGCAAAGAACTGTACATTCTCCGGATCAACCTGGCTCTTTTGAGAAACACGGAACGAAAAGAAAAGCGAGCATCTTGAGCTATCTTCGCTTTGCTCGTGCCCCAAAAAGCTGCCAGTAATAATAATAACAATAATACTGCCAAGCGAGTTTGCAGAGTGGTATCGCTGGAAAAGTTCGCTCCACATTATCCGGGCCCGCTGTGTGGAGTGTCAGACTTTAGAGTCCGTGCAGGCAAGATACGCGTCTGTTTCACTCGCTCATAACTGTCAGGCAAATCAACAATCACATCTTGATTCTTCACCATTTTTGAATGCAATGCTGGCTCGTTCTGGAAAGAGAGCAATGCGCGCAGAAAAGGCCCACGAAGGTGCGATTTCTGTGTGGAGGAGCGCCTCTGTGAAGTGCATCAGCTTCTATCCCGGCTGCTGTTCCGAGGACGAAAGGAGTCTGGAATTGAGAAATCAGTCACGCACCACGCGAGTCGGATTCGTAAGGAAAAGCTAATAACGGTATTTTCAGCGGCGGGAAGAAGGGCAGTTTGACTGTTGAGAAAGCTGTGGAAATTTCCGCCGGCCGAGTATGAGCGCTTGGAGAACTTAATTTCAGCCCCTCAACTCTCGTCCGAAGGCAGGTTATAGGTTGATCCTAACCCCGCCCAGTCTTTCCTCCGAAGGAGGCGTTAACGAAAGATATTCGAAGAATTGTATACAATTCTGCTGTCGTGTAGAAGTTGGTACTTTGTCCTGCCCAGTGCAATCTTCATAGGGTTGTGGGCCGTTACTCTCTTCCTGTTGCATAAGAACAAGGGTGATCAGACCAGGATATGGACGCGCGAGAAGTCTTGGTTGAAGCATGTCGCCATTTCTGGTGACTTGCAGGAGAAGGTGATTATCATCTGCAGCCACAGCCCCTCGTCGCCAGTCGACGGGTTCGCTGTGGACTCTGTGCGACCAGCCTTGCTCTTTCAGGCCATAGTAGCCCTGCTTGGCGCAAAGGCCTTGCTTTAGCTTACCTGCAAAACACATTTCAAAGTCAATCGTTTCGATTCAAGACTGGTGCTATAGCAATCTGGGCTTCTACCGGCCCGCGAGTAAGGAAATGCGTGTTATCATGGGCCCATCAAAGGAAGGAGGCTGGGGATCCGAGCGCGATGATACGGAGTAAAAGATGGATGGTCCCAAAACTTGCTTCTCGGAGTCGCAACAGAGACTCTGGATCCTCGTTGACCTTGTTCATCAAGAGGTGTATTATTGTTCCTTGAATGCCAGTATATCGAAATACTTGCTGTGGCTGAAACTGAAACGTCCAGGGCGAGACGTTGCCGCTGTGAACGGTTCGAGGGCGGAGAATGGGGCAGGCGGCAACAACGGGATGGATTTGATCCTGGGGGGAATGGTTCCTGTCGCTCTGTACCGCTTAAATTCCAAATAATAATTACGGAGTATCTCGTCAAGCATTTCCAAAATGACATGATGAATTCTTGGGGTGCGTATGCACGACACTGAATGCAGAACCATCCGACTTCAAGTGACCTCGACCATTGTCCTCGAGCCTCGTGGTCTGGACAATGTTGCACAATTTGACAAGAGACAGGTGTCTCAACTTTTTCAACGCCTTTGTCGCTTCCTGTTGCCGCGCTGCATCTTCAGGTCCATACGCGCCTCATACGATCTAGCCCCGAGAAATAGTCGATAATATTGAGAATGGTCTCAGCTTTGTATTGTTTTTGCTCACCCATGACACCATCGCAACTCTGACAGACCCCACCATACCTTGGAAAGGCAGCTAGGGATCGCAACCAAACGGAGACAGAGACGGTGGCTTCTCCGTGGAATGTTATTATACGGGGTTGGAGATCGCCGCTAGGATCACCACGACGACGAACGTCCTGGGCTGGTTAGGGATCTTGCCCATCTGCAGTCCGAGAGCAACACTGAACAAGTCAGGGCCATGCAAAAGTGACACCGCAAACCATCATCGATTCCTTACGCAACTGACAACAGGGCTGAACATTCTCCAATCTTGACAACGTAATGCAGCGTCCGTGATCTCAAAACCCCACCCTCCTTCAGGAGCGTCAAAAATAGCTCGGGACTCCGATTTGATCTTGTGCACTTGAACGTGGGAACCAGTACGACCGAGTAAGATAACACAAATCCTGAATCTTCGCGAGAGCGGCGGATTAGAGTTCCCCTTATTTTGCCGATGTTACTCTGGAAGGTTGAGATACACTCTTGTTACTGGCAAGCGTCGTCGCCGAACGGAGGGCAGCCGTGTCTGTTGCGACATCCTTGGGCTGGATTTTGACTCCGGATTAGACTGCCCAGGAGGCCCTAGGTGCTCGGCCCCCAGACGTCTGATGGACCTACGTATCAGCTAGTTGTGATTTGCGAATCGCTTCTATTCCACGCCGGATGGTTTCTTTTTTCCACATCCTTTGATCATCGTGCAGAGCAGAGCCTCTTGAACACTCAGCGAGTGACCTCACGCTGACTGTCGAATGTCTTGCTTGAATCGCCACCACAAGCTCATGTGCCATCCCCAGCAATTGTGATTGTGAATGCGAATTGCAAGATGTATCGCTAGTACCGACTAGGAATGATGGAATCATGAGGTCTAGACAGCTGATATTGACATTGCTATTTCACGTGAAACTTTCCGGAGATTTATTCTTACTCCAGCAGCGTTAATAAATTATGTTCTTATGCCGATCGGCGATGCTGGAGTCAAAAGGCAGAGGAGGCTGGAGAGGTAGCACAAGCCGGGGTCAGTGTCACCTTAATGCAAGCTGTGCCCATCTTGGAATCTGAAAAATTAAACAACCCTCGGTACGACTATCCCGACTCACGTCAGAATAATGATACTATACTAGTAGTACTATCAGTAGTCAAGCAGCACCAAAGGCTGACAAGACGCTGTTTTCTTATCGTCAAGTGGGTTGTTTCGTGGAGTTATCTCTGTCTCTGCCTCGCATTCCGTTTTCCCTGTATTTTGTCGCAGAAGGGCAAGTGATCAAGAAGCTTTCTCCACTGAAGTTAAAATAGCAGGAAGTCAACAATTGGCGCTGAGAGCTCGACACACGCTCGACTCCGTACTGCGATGGCTGATCGTCCGCGAACCGAACCCACCCCACTATACTCCGATTATGAAATATGGATTGAGAACGCTACTCGGCAAGTTCCTCTGTTCTTGTCAATTAATTTAATAGTATTATTTTTTGTCTGCCCTTGGAGTACTGCCCGTCGGTTCATCGGCGTCACTCGCGTATTAGGCCTAGACAATAAGCCATGGGCTGGGTTTAATCTACCTGTGGATCCTATTCCTCTCGTAATGCGGGCACAGCGGACAGCGGCCACAAAGTACTGGAAGGGTGAATAGTCGCTTGACAATAGTACTGCAGGTGGAAGAGTACCCCCGATCCTTACAGTAGTAGTTAACGGCCAACCTTGGACCATCGCACTACTCTTCCCGCCGATGGAGTCCGGCAACTCGTCCTCTGCTCACAGGCCCTCGAGAATCGTCGAAATCCACAGGGAGTCAACTCCTAGTCTAGCTCCTGCCAGAGGGCCTAGCGGCGTCTTGAAGGCTTCAAGTAGCGCCATTGTCATGCACACTTTCCACTCAGCTCTCCCCACCCCGCTAAGCCATATCACTGCATAGTTGCTGCATGGGCCGCCGCCAATCCCTTCTCCACTCGCGCTATCCTCCCTCAATTTCATCTAGATCCAGGGTCTGACGCACGAGGCAAAAATACACCTGCATGACACTCGAAATGACAAAGGAACTGGAGCCCTCGAGGAACTTTTTTTATTTCTTGTTTCAGGATTGGCTCAATTGCTCGCCTGGATACCAGTTGCGAACATGTGCCAGACCTGCCCTCGAGAGTCCAGCGCCTAATAAAAGTCTCCAATGCTGCCGTCAAAGACTCTCTTGACATTCGCCTCCTTCAAGAATCTTCGCTCTCGGACGTGACCGTGACTGACCCAGGAGGCGATTCCCCTTTCATCACCTGGTGGTCCACGAGTCTTCTTCGCCCAGACATTCGTTTGCCCTCACTTCACTTGCTTATCACATGGTCATTCCATTCTTTTCTTCGCTGCTGTGTGTGAACTCGGACAGCCTTTTCCTCCCTCTGCCGGTTGGCAATTGTTGACAATTGACTCAAGACGGATATTTCTGCACATTCAACGCTGCAGCTCAATGCGCGTCAACGTAGGTGGTTGAAAGACTATTCGCCCAAGGCAGATTGAATCAACATAGCAATATCTTGTTGCGGCGGAAAAGGGAGAACGTGGATAATCCTCTTCTTAAAACCTGATAATGCACGTAACGTATATGCGAGCGTTTATCGCTCTTTTGTCAGTATTCCTTGCTTCGCAGTTTCAACGCATCTTTGTGACTAACCCCTTCTCGTCCGAAATAGCCTCTACCGGTATTTTCGTCTGGTTGTGAATCTGATTTCATTCTGGACCTTCAAGCCTATACCTCCTCCCGAAAATCCAAAATTGACTGCGCAGGATGTGACAGTCATCCTTCCTACGCTGGACGGTTGTGGAGAGGAACTGGAGAGAACAATTGAAACTATTCTTACAAACCGTCCTTTTGAGCTCCTTCTCGTTACTATTGAAGCGAATAAACAAAAGGCCGAAGAGATGCTAGACCGAATGCCCGCTGCTAAATCAAGAATCCGCCTATTCACCGTCAAACACCCTAATAAGCGTCGACAAATGACTAGAGCCATCCCTGAGGTTCGAACAGCCATTACAGTTTTCTCCGACGACGATGTTATTTGGCCGCCAAAGGTGCTCACCTGGATGCTAGCCCCATTTGAAAAAGACGAGCGCTACGGAGGCGTAGTAACCTGCCAACGACTCCGCCGTGCTGTTTCCCCAACTCTGTCGCAACGTGTCTGGGGGTTCCTTGGAGCCCTTTACTTGGAACGAAGGAACTTTGACTGCGCCGCCTGTACCCACATCGACGGTGGACTCCCTTGTATGTCTGGGCGGACCGTCGCTTATAAAACCAGCATCCTGCAGGATGATGCGTTCACATATGCTTTCACCAATGAAGGGTGGTGGTTTGGCAAGTACCAGCTAAATGCTGATGATGACAACTTCATCACTCGTTGGATGGTGTCACATGGCTGGGAGACGTTTATGCAGTACCATCCCGAAGCCGAAGTCCAGACGACATTGGAAGATAACCCGGTATTCTTGAAGCAATGTGCACGATGGTCCCGGAGTAACTGGAGAAGCAATCTTACCAGCATGTTTGATGAAGGCCATATATGGCAGTAAGTCTCCATTGTCCTTTTACAGAAGCTCAAACTAACCTCTCTCGAGTCGCCAACTCTGGAGCGCATATGCTGTTCATATGACAACACTATCTCCCCCAGCTCTTCTTGGAGACTTGGGCCTTGTCTTCCTATGCTACAAAGCCACTGCGTCCTGGGATGAGTCTTCGCATCTGCTCGCCATGTCACTGCTTGGAGTCTGGATGTTTGTCAGCAAATTCATCAAACTCCTCGGACATTACATTCGCTTTCCCATCGACTGGGTCTTCCTTCCTGTGTCTATCCTCTTTGGTTATTTTCATGGAGGCATCAAGATGTATGCTGTGTTGACACTCAGTGTGGTATGTGGCCTTTCTTTTAGTTTCCTACCTTCTGCTGTTTAATCCCCTCAACTGGAGACCTTGCAACGCTATGCACTTGTCATGTTCATCTGGCTGACTGTCCTTTTTTTTTTACAAATCTAGACCACCTGGGGCAGCCGAGAGGGTGCTGACGACTTTGACGAAGAGCGGATGAAGAAGCGCACAGACGCCGACCCCTTGAAGAAACCTTACTATCCCAAGTTCAAAATCAACGGAAGCGAATTCCATCACCGATTAGTGCCCAGCGTAACCTCGGCCGATATACCCTAGCAAGCCAGCACGTGGAAACCCGGCACACGCAATCGCGGTGAACGCTCTGTGATCCTCTAAGGCTTTACGAGAAAATGGTTTTACGACACGGATGAGATTTACACAACGACTGAAGAATCTATATTTCGACCTACATACCTCAACCGACACAGTATGAATCGTCGCTCGAACAAAGACCGCTATCATCGGCCTGGCTTGTATTCGGACCAGCAAAGACCGTACAAGCAGCCTTTTTCTTTGGAATCTTTTTTTTTCCCAACTCCCCTTTGAAGATGGCAATGTTTTCGTGTAAATTATAAAAGCTCGGGCGGGTTCTCGTCGCTTCACTTCCTGATTTTGGAATTTGTTCTTTAAACCAAAATTGTTCTCTGTATTTTTTTTGTTGTCTTACACTTTCTTAGATCAACAACTGGGAGGCTCTCTGAGACCATTTTTTGTTATTCCCGTTCTGCCTCTTGCTTGATATCTCGTTCGTAAGGGTAATGTCTAATCAAACAAGTCCTTTCGCGCCGAGCACAGTGCTTCCGGTTTCTTGTAGTCTTGATTGTTCTGGGATAATTTGTAGACAGGGCTTGCTTGTGAGTCTCGCTGCCAGCACTGCACAAGAAGGAGGAAGCTATCATTATTAGACTTGGGTTGAGTATAGTTCGTGGAAAAAGGCAAGTGTGGCGTTTGTGGCGAGTGTCCGCCGTATCTCCGAAAATAATTCGAGAACTTGCCCAGTGAAACAACTCAACAGCAGTTCAAGGTTCGGTATTCCTGAGGCTCGAGCATATTTCCATCTGAATTTGTCTCTTTTCCATCACCCCGCATTTTTTTGGCCCGTCGCGTGTCTCCTTCAAAAATGCCTAGGAGTGTTGTCACTGCGCTTCTGCGAACCTCCGTGGGCTGGCCGCAGCAGACGCTGTCGACTGCTGTCCGGTGCAATGCCCCTCTATCACGCGCTCTTCATTCTTCACAGTACAAGGCGGCCGTTGCGCATCCTATCACCGCTCATGGTCCTCCACCCAAAGCTCCCTCGCCGATCCCTGACTTCAGCCAGCCGTCCGAACAGCAAACAGACAGCAAGGAAATTCGGCGGGAAGGAGAATCACGTCCGTCAATCAAGAAGCCCAAAGCGCTCAAGAAGCGCTTCTGGAAGGATGTGGATGTTCAGAAGAAGCAAGGTAGAAATCTTCCAATTATGCTAGGATTATATCCTTTTACTTCGCTAACAGATGCGCAGGAGGGGATTACCAAGTTCTACTAGACGCACGGCCAGTTCGGACCCCCGCGAAAAGCATTCTGTCTATACCGTCTTCGAAGCCACACCTTGCTCATGCGATTGCCCTCGAGTGGGATGTGATGAACACCGCTCAACAAGCGTTGAAGAACCACATGATTCCGTTGACGTCGCTCACCGCGCGCGCTGCCGATATAGTGCAAGAGGATTCCGAGGATGTAGCAACAGTGCGAAACCAAATAGTGAAAACCGCAATGGACTACCTGGAAACGGATACTTTACTGTGCTGGGTTCCCGAACAAACGGAATTTCCCGCGGATGATGTGGATGAAAATGGGCAAAAGCGCGAAACCCTCCGAGAGGCCCAGATGAGGGTTGCCAATGATATTATTGCGTTTCTAAGCACCAAGGTATGGCCCGGCATCGATATTGTGCCAGTGTTGGATGGAGATAGTATCTTTCCGGCTTCGCAGGCCCAGGCGACAAAGGAAATTATTGAGCATTGGATTCGAGGTCTCGAGGCTCATGATCTGGCCGCGCTCGAGAGAGGGATCCTGGCGTCCAAGAGCTTACTGGTTGCCGCAAGATTAGTGACGGAGTGGAGTGAGAACTTCCGCGCGCTCCAAAGCTCGGGGCAAAAGAAGTTTGGGATTGAGGAGGCTGCAGAGGCATCTAGTCTCGAAGTCCGGTGGCAGACGGACATGTGGGGTGAGGTCGAGGATACTCACGATGTCGACAAGGAAGATCTCAGGCGACAGCTCGGGAGTGTGATTCTTCTGGTAAGCGGCGAGACAAGGTGATGCGATTTGATCGATATAAAGGCTGTATGATAGATGGACTTGGCATGTATAGTGGCATAGCTAATCTGAATATGTATATAATACATACAGGTGAAGTTTTCTTAGCCATGTGATCTGATCGAATATTGTCCGTTCCGTATCCCATTTTTGAATACTCTTCGTACTTCACTGGACCAAATCCATTTATTCCACCCCGCACCTCAATTTGCCAGTGGTGAATTTACCTTTAGGTGATTAGACGGCTTTTTGTCGGATATGGCAGGCTCATCTGGCTGAGAAAAGTCGCCAAGGCGCCACGAGCGTCAGGAAGATCAACGCCCTCTTCATCGGTAGCTCGGCTACTCATCTCTCAACTATCTTGACGCAATATCTCACTCCAGAGTTCATTGCCTCTTCATCAAAACTGACTTTTCGTTTCATTCCCCTATGCATATTTAGTGTGAACAAAGATGACGGAAAAGGGCGAAGGGTAAGTCCTCCCATCTACCTGCTCTGGACAGCTTTCTTCTTGGTTCCGTGGATCGAGGTTTCGGACGTCATTTTCCCCCGGTGCTCGAGGCAGGAAGTCAAGGATCTACACAGGGCACCGCGTGCCGATGAGAAGGGACTGAATAATCTCGTTGCCTCCGTGTTTGACAGCTGCGGGCAAAAAGTTCCACAACGCCTTTTGAGGGGCTGTCCCTCGCTCAATCAGGGGAAAGAAAGTGACGACATCGCTAACGTACCCCGCCCTTATTGTACAGGCACAAACGCTCGAAAAGTGCTTTGGCACTGGCGATTCTGCATCGCGACAAGTCAAAGGATAACTTCGAGGACGCCGGTGGCCGTGATAGCGGCACGTCGCCTGACTCTCCCACCTCGTCCCCGGTCAACAACAGCAGTAACCTATCCATCTCCGCCATCTCGACGCACCGAAGCTCTAGTTTCCGAAGGTCACGCCAAGAGCTGAACCCACCACCATCCATGCCTACGGATAGTTCTTCGGACCCTGCAGGCTTAAGCCAGGGCGCCGACAATATCGAAAAAATGCCGTCCTTGTCCCAAACCGAGAGCGTGGCCATGTCACTCGATCAGTCTGTGCGGACGTTCCGACTCTTCGAGATCCTAAGAAGCGGCGATACAACCGCAATCTCCAAAGCTATTAAAGAGAGCAAGGATCCACAGGGGGCAAACGGGCTCACGGGGACAACGATGCTCCACTTGGCGATTCAATGTGCGGAGCCCCAGGTTGTGGAATACGTGCTATCAGCTGGCGATGATGGTCTTGACATTAATGCGCGTGATCGAGAGGGGAATACGCCCTTGCATCTTGCTGCTCAGTTAGGTCGCGGTCCCGTTGTCCGCGAGCTGCTGAACAGACCTTCGATCAACGACTCAATCGTGAATTACCAGGGCCAGACGGCCCTCGAAATTGCGCGTACGCCGGAGATTTTCCAGCAACTACAGCTTGCTCGCTCGCTTTTCATTGATAGCAAAACACAAGAGATCCAATCCCTGATCTCCCAGGGCGATTACGATAGGTTAGAGAGGCTGCTGGAAGAGCCCCGGGTAGAAGGCATTCTGGACGTCAATTCTCTGGATCTTGTTACAGACCCTGCGACTCTCCACTCCGGGGGCACACTCCTGCATGAGGGAGCTAGAAAGAAAGATACAAAGCTTATACAAATCCTTTTGATGCATGGAGCTGATCCTTTCCGCCGTGATAAAAAGGGTAAATTGCCACAAGATGTCACGAAAGATGACAGGACGCGGTCTATCGTCAAAAAGTCCCCCGCGGCTGTCATTGCCCAGCGCGGTATCCAGGAGAAGGCCATTCTCGGCACAAGTTCTGGCCAAGGGGTCTCAGGGCGGCCTGGGGCCGGTGAGGCCTCCTTTGGCGGCAAGGATTCGAGGGAGATGAGAGGTTATCTGAAGAAATGGACCAACTATACGAGTGGCTATAAACTCCGATGGTTTGTTCTCGAGGACGGGGTCCTTAGTTATTACAAGCATCAAGGTGGGTTTACGCCCTTTCCAGCAAAGGTTTCTGGTTCTTGTCTAACTGACGCAGATGATGCGGGCTCTGCCTGCCGTGGTGCTATTAACATGAAAATTGCCAGGCTTACCATGGACTCCCAGGACAAGACTCGCTTTGAGATCCTTGGAAAGTCGTCTGTCAAGTATCACCTCAAAGCAAACCACGTCGTAGAGGCCAAACGTTGGTTCTGGACCCTCAACAACGCCATCCAGTTCGCCAAGGACGAAGCCAAGGAAGAAGAACGGCGCCAAACAAAGCACGCCGAAGTACTGCGCCAGGCAAAGATTGATCAGATCGAGGGTCGACCGAGCGAGAATCCATCCGAATCTCCAAGCTACGGTGCGTCCAAGTCGAATGGAAAAGGGCTGGCCCCCATGTCTCTTGGTGTTCCTAGCAGTAGTGGCACAAAGCTCAGCACATATACTTCACGTACGACTCTTGATGGTGGCCCCCCGGACGACGACGGCTCGCTGTATGGCTCATTTGATCAAGGTCCTGCCAACGATATCAACAGAGTGGCTAGCCATGTTACCACGGCCCCTGATCTGGAAGGCGACGATGATGATTACGGTGATTATACCTCTAGTCGTGAGACCCCGCCCACTGATAAAGACGCACTGAATATTACCGCGCAGTCCGCAAAACTTCAATTAGATATACTCGCCAATGTCGCCTCTTCTTTGCAAGCGGAGCGGACAAATAACCCGGAAATCGCACTGTCAGACCCTACGGTTGATCAAGCCCTGACTGCTTATGAGGCAGCCGTAAGCAGCTTGAAAGACCTAGTGCAAAGTCTCTTAAAGATCTCCCGGGATCGCGACTCATACTGGCAATATCGGTTGAATCGAGAAGCGTACTTGCGGAAGATGTGGGAAGAGAGCATGGCACGGATTGCCCAAGAGCATGAAGAACTTCAATCTAAGATGGGCGAATCGGAGGAGAAGAGGCGGCGTACTAAGCGCGCCCTAAAGGAAGCCCTTGAGAGTTCAGCACCGAATATCAGTCGTGCTGCCGTCAAGGCCGCATCCAACGAAGCGGGAATTGAGGGTGAGGACGAGCTGAAATCCCAGGCGCCAGAAATCGTGGAGGACGTTTCTTCGCACCTTGGCGAGCAGGACGAACCTGGGCGCCCTTCACTGCGCCGCAAAAAATCCGCCCTGTCGAAGATCAGCAGTCTCTATGATTCGGACTCGGACGATGGCGAGGAAGAAGAATTCTTTGACGCCATTGATGCGGGAGAGATTGAAGTGGTGAACCGCACTGCCCCCGAAGTGCACGAAGAAGAGGAGGAGGCACCGGAAGAGACGACTAAACTTCGTGCTGTAAGGCGCACTGAGATCGTGCCCTCATTCCGCGGCTACGAAGAAGGTATTCGAGAGAGACTCAAGATGGACTATGACAACCGACCGAAGATCTCATTATGGGTAAGTTGCCAATTACTGAAACAAAACGCACGATCATGGATATTGATATTACCAGGGCATTTTGAAATCCATGATCGGCAAAGACATGACCAAAATGACCCTTCCGGTCTCCTTCAACGAGCCAACTTCACTCCTCCAACGTGTCGCCGAAGATCTCGAGTACACCGATCTTCTAGACGTGGCTGCGGACCAGACGGATTCGATGGAGCGCCTAGTGTATGTTGCGGCCTATGCTGCAAGTGAGTACGCCTCCACTATCGGCCGTGTCGCCAAACCATTCAATCCCCTGCTGGGTGAAACTTTCGAATACGTCAGGCCGGATAAAGGGTATCGATTCTTCGTCGAACAAGTCAGCCACCATCCCCCGATTGGTGTTGCTTTGGCCGAATCTCCAAAGTGGGACTACTGGGTAAGCCTCGCTCCTGAATAGTGAGGGGTTCTAGCTAACACACGCTTTTGCACAGGGAGAATCATCTCTCAAGTCCAAATTTTACGGTAAATCATTCGACATCAACCTTTTGGGGACATGGTTCTTGAAATTACGCCCTGCTTCTGGTGGAGAGGAACTTTACACGTGGAAAAAGGTCACATCCTCAGTTATTGGTATCATTACTGGTAACCCCACCGTCGATAATTATGGTCTGATGGAAATCAAGAACTGGACTACCGGCGAGGTATGCTACCTAGACTTCAAGCCTAGGGGCTGGAAAGCGTCGTCGGCGTACCAGGTGTCTGGCAAGGTTGTTGATCGGGACGGCTCGCCTAGATGGAGTATTGGCGGCCGTTGGAATGACAAACTCTATGCCCGCCATACGCCTGGATTTGAAGCCCCAGTATCTGGACAGGATCCGGAGTCGGCCAAGACGATTCTAGTCTGGCAGGCCCATCCTCGCCCGACTGGAATTCCCTTTAACCTTACGCCGTTCGTCATCACCCTCAACGCGCTGACTGACAGCCTGCGACCACATCTTCCGCCCACTGATACTCGCCTCCGACCTGATCAGCGCGCAATGGAAGAGGGCGAATACGACTTTGCCGCTACTGAGAAGCATCGCGTCGAGGAGAAGCAGCGTGCCAAGCGGAGGGAGAGAGAGGCCAAGGGCGAAGAGTACAAACCCAAGTGGTTCAGCAAGGATAAGTGTCCTATCACTGGGGAAGAGTACTGGGCGCACACCGGCGACTACTGGGGCTGCAGGGACAAGCAGGATTGGAGCAAGTGCGAAGACATCTTCTGATACCAGCAACGTGTGACCCAAATAGATTATGATTATGTGAAAATTATTATCCTTCTTTTCTATATTCAGTCACGTGTTTAGCACGCGGGACCCGTTTCGGAGAAAATAAGAGCGAAGCTGCTGCTCCTCATACGATTTGCATCCTCCGCATCCCCTTCCCCAACCAACGCAATGACCGGCGAATATACCTGCGGGCGCTGCCTGCAGGTCCTCCGGCGAGGGATCTCTTCTACCAGACCTGCGCTACGTGCGCCAAACGCCGTCAATTCCCGCCGGGCTTATGGGTCTTCTACTACGTTGACACGAAGACTTGGGTCTAGGGCTGTGTCGCTACCATCTACTAATCCCCTCTTGACGACAAAGCGAGTACCTTTACTACCGATTGTACAAAAAGCAAACTCCGCGACTAGGTCCTCCCGGGATCTCTTGAAACCAAACAACCTTTTCCACAAGTTTTCCGAATCCCCGGCCCCAGCAATCCGACAGCGTGCGTCGTTTATCAAGCAGAATGCATTCTGCCCTCATCCTAGCCACCAGCAGACCCGGATGCCGGTATCCCCGCATGACCCGGAGTCACGCAAAAGCGCCGTCTCTGGCTCCAGTGCTCCGCCCGCCCATTCGCACTTTGAATGTCCCGACTGTGGGATCCCGATTTACTGCTCCGAGGATCATTGGATGGATGATTATGAAGCGCACCTGGAAGTGTGTGATACACTCAGGCAGATCAATGAGGACGACCATGATCTACACTCTGGACGGTTCTTCCCGGAGTTCTCTTATCCGGGGCCGCAGGACGAGAACTTTGTGATTAACATGACGAATTGGGATACTTTGATGTATACACGGGAGTTTGAGGCCATCAATGATGATCGGAGCATGCGACAGGTTACGCGGATGCTAACTTACCCAATGACTATTGGGAGTGTCTTGCATGAGCTGAGTCCGTACAGTATTCGGAAGGACAGTCGGCTTACCACGGAGGGTCTCAAGAGTATAAGCGGTGAGTTTTTTGACCCTTGACGACAAGATATGTATTCTGACAGTGGCAGCCCTCCGCTATTCCCTCCATCCGCCGCGGACCGGAGAAGGAACTGACATCCAGGGCCTGCGCGTCAAGGCGCCGCCTGTCCGTATCTTCATTCTGGGTGCGCGTGCCGAATCGTCCCTACCTCGCGATGTCTGGCTCCAGCTCAGCCACATCTTTCCTCGATCCCTCATCAATCTCATCTTCATCGGCCCGGAGAGCATGGCCAACCGCGACGAAGAGTTCCCCCTCCCCGAACGCACCCCAGAGAACCCCTTCGGTGGAATCGTTGAAGACAGACTCGGCGGCCAGATGAAAATTACAACATACGTCGACTACTTCCACACCATGTACAAGGCGCAGTACTTCCAGCCCTTTGATCCCTACCTCGATTGCGTAGTGCTCTTCCACCCGGGTCTCGGCCACCCGGCTAGCTCCCACGAGTGGGAACAGACGCTCCCCTTACTCCTTGAGACGAAGGTCCCTATTATCACCACGGGCTACACGCAGTGGGATATGGAGCGCGACATCAACTGGGTGCGTGAGAAGTGTGCGGGCGAGTTCGATATCCTGCTTGAGCCCGGCGAGAATATCTTCCGGAGTCTCCGGTGGGATCTGAACGATCTAGATCCGCATGATGTCTCTTGCGGCAACTGGGGACTTTGGGCATTTAGGGGAAAGAGGTATGTTTTTCAAGAACTCGCAAAATGATTGGTGCTAACAAAAATTCTAGGTACGAGGCGATGTACAAGGACTCGTGATTCTGTCGCTAGGTTGAGACTCGGAGGCATCTGTATCCGTATACCATCTCCTTTTTTTTGTATAGTATAATTTACTTTGATATGCCTACGTTCATTCTCAAGAGGGTTACAGCACTTGGAGTTTTATCATTATCATTCGCTAAGACCACTGGAAGTAGGTCAAATCATAGTCTTGGTCATGCCATGTATCCCAGAATCCCACAGATCGATAAACTCAACCCCAACCACCTCGCTTTTTGCACACCCAACACCACCCACCCGAACCTTAACTGGCCCACCAAATCAAACGGAAACGTCCGGACCGGCGATAAGCGTCTTGATACCCTTTCCAGATTTGACGTCCTTGAAAGCCTGTTCAGCATCTTCAAACTTGACTGTGCCAGAAATCAACTCCTTCACATTGATCTGACCAGATGCCACGAGCTGAACGGCCAGTTTATAATCGCCACTGCCATAGCGGAAACTGCCCTTAAGGTTCAACTCTTTTGTGCAGGCTGCCATGATGGGGAAGTTCATCTCGCTCCGGCCCATTCCGCCCTGGACATAAGTGCCACCAGGTCGGAGGACGTGGATACCTGTGTGAACCGACGGCTCAACGCCTGAAGCATCAATGGCGACATCGGCACCTCGGCCTAGGTCGTTCTCTTCGATTATCCGGGCTGCGTTCTCTGTGGCTGCAACCTTAGAAGGCTCGAATATGGATGTCGCAGCAAACTTCTTTGCAAAGTCTAGTCTTGGCTTTTGGATATCGACAGCAATGATCTTTGTTGCCCCAAAGGCTTTGGCGACGGCACAGCAAAGGAGCCCGACGGGCCCAGCACCAAAGACAACGACTGTCTGGCCCGGGGTGACACTGGCCTGTCGCACGATGTGCACGGCGACACCAAGGGGTTCCATCAGTGCACCTTCCGGAAGGCTGATCGACTCTGGCAGCTTGTAGCAGAAATCTTCAGGCAGCACATAGTATTTGGCGAGGGTGCCGTCGTACGGCGGTGTGGCTGCAAACGCCATCTGCTCACAAAGATTGTACTTGCCGGCCTTGCAAGGCTCGCACCGGCGACAGGGGATGCCAGGCTCCATTGCAACGCGGTCACCAACTTTGAGATTGGTGACGGACGAGCCAACCTGGCTAACCACCCCTGAGGATTCGTGCCCCAAGACCATGGGCTCCTTTACCACGAATTGTCCAATCGCACCATGTTCCCAGTAGTGGACCTGGATATGTGAATCAATATCCATGGCTTATCCGGGACTGGTAAATACATACATCACTTCCACAGATACCAGTGTATTTGACGTTCACAATAACATCATGCTGGCTTTCAAGCTTCGGGACAGGGCGGTCCTCGTATGTGACCTTGTGGATTCCCTGGAGGACGAACGAGGGGTTCTGGAATGGTTTTTTTTAATTTTCGTCAGCCACGCATCCGGTTGAATTAAGCTGTAGACAGTACCTGAGCTGTTGTCGTCTGAGAGCTCATCGTGTCATATGCAATAAGGAAGTATGAGGAGGATAACGCTCGTGGAAAGACCACCAGCAGGAGACAAGGCGCGGGGTTTTATATGTATGTTGCAGAGGGGTGGGGAAGATACGTCTGGACAGAATTGAGACATCGGTCTGGCAGATTTACCAAATTTGCCAGACACTGAGCATCATGGGACCAAACCCCCATTGCTGGAGCTACTCTCATGGCGGGGTTCTGGAAACTGTGATTCGACGAGGGGCCCAGAGCTGCTGGAAATTAACCGGCGACCGTTGGCATTTATCCGGACCGGCAATCGACCGAGTCTGGCCGAGGTCTTGCGTGGCGGGCGGTGATAACTCCGAGCCTACAGTCTCCATCTCCGCTTTCCATTCTTGCTCCAGCAGCAAATCGCATTAACTACTGACGGCCATGGTGCGACCAACCACCTTGCGGCCTTTTCGGCCAGCACTACGTGCTCTTCAGCAGCCCAGAGCTCAGACGCCCCTGCTAGAGCAACGGCGAGCCTTTCAGCTCTCAAACCGCCGGTCTGCGGAGGAGAAACCGCAGCCGTTCAAGAACCAGCTATATGAGAGTACGCAGCAGCGTTTGAAGCGTGAGCGCGCGGAGCAGGAGCGATATGCGCAGTACCAGACCCAGTCGCAAGGCGGTCGCTATGCAGCCATGATGTTCGGTGAGTGCGCTTCGCTCCTCCAAATTCATCGCGTACGCTAAACAACTTGGCCAAGCTCTGGTCTTCTTCTCCACCGGAGCCTATTATCTAGGTTCCCTCAAACCCGCGAGTCTACCGACAACCTCGACCTCAAACGTGTACGATTTAGACTCGCCACAACATGACATCTCGCAGTCGAACCTGCAAGCTGCTTGGGCCGATTTCGTGGAGATAATCGGCAAAGAGAATGTTTCCACGGAGCATGCAGACCTTGTGGCGCATGCAGGGTCGGACTGGTCGTCCTATACGACGAAAGAGAATGAGAAGCCTTTTCTGGTCCTCTACCCTTCAACCACAGAGGAAGTCTCCCGCATCATGAAGGTGTGCCATCAGCGTCGCATTCCAGTGACACCATATTCTGGGGGAACGAGCCTAGAGGGTCATTTCGCTCCCACAAGGGGAGGAGTGTGTGTTGATTTCCGCCGCATGGATCGCATTTTGGAGCTACACAGGGGCGATCTGGATGTCGTGGTGCAACCGGCGCTCGGATGGGAGGAGTTGAACGAGCACCTTGCCGACGAGGGCCTCTTCTTCCCACCTGATCCCGGCCCTGGTGCCATGATTGGTGGTATGGTCGGCACTGGTTGCTCGGGAACAAACGCATACAGGTACGGGACAATGCGCGAGTGGGTTCTTTCTTTGACAGTGGTTCTCGCCGACGGCACAATTATCAAGACAAAACAGCGCCCACGCAAGTCAAGCGCCGGCTACGATTTGACGCGTCTCTTCATCGGTAGCGAAGGTACTCTCGGGCTTGTTACGGAAGCAACCTTGAAGTTGACCGTCAAGCCCAAGAGTCAGAGCGTTGCGGTCGCAAGCTTCCCCACTATCCACAGCGCAGCTCAATGCGTAACCCGTGTCGTGGAGGAGGGAATTCCCGTTGCCGGCGTTGAGATCCTAGACGACGTACAAATGAAATGCATTAACGCCAGTGGAACCACTGCACGTCAATGGCAGGAAGCGCCGACCATCTTCTTCAAGTTCACGGGCACCCCAAACGGCGTCAAAGAGCAAATCGGGATGGTCCAGAAGATCGCTTCGGCAACCAAATCAAAATCCTTTGAGTTTGCGCGTGGTGACGATGAGATGCGCTCACTTTGGAGCGCTCGCAAAGAGGCACTTTGGAGTGTTATGGCGATGCGACGAGGTCCTGAGGATCATGTATGGACGACGGATGTGGCTGTCCCTATGAGCAGGTTACCTGATATTATTGAAGCCACCAAGCAAGACATGACACAAAGCGGCTTATTGGCGGGTATTTGCGGCCATGTAGGAGACGGCAACTTTCATGGTAAGCCATACACTTCAGTACTTTCTATTTTTTTTCAGTTGCTTACATGAATATAGCAATCATCTTGTTCAATGAAGCAGAGAAGAAAACCGCCGAGGGCGTCGTTCATCGGATGGTGAAGCGAGCCGTGGAGATGGAAGGCACCGTAACCGGCGAACATGGCGTTGGTCTCATCAAGCGAGACTACCTTGAGCATGAAGTCGGCGAGGCAGCAGTGGACACTATGCGACGGGTAAGTTATTTGACGCCCACTGAGTCTCTCTCATGCAACTGCTAACATGGCCTTTGAAAGCTGAAACTCGCCCTGGACCCGCTCCGCTTGCTCAACTGTGACAAGGTTGTCCGCGTCGAGCCACCTAAGCCTGGAGAGATCAAGGAATGGTAATCGTAATGTGCTATGGACATATACTTTTTTCTTCACTATGGGATCTGCAATCTACCAAGCCTATATCCAGAGAGCGGCCGTCAATCTAGAACAGCAAACATGTCTTAATATCCATATCTCCTACTTTCATATTCATCCCTGGGCTCGTATTCGCGAGAGCCATAGTCTCCGCGGGAACGGTGCTCGTTGCGGGACCCGTAACCTCCAGAGCCATATGCACCACCATACCCTCCTTCTTGAGACTGACCATATCCTCTGCTTTCAGTTTCATCCCTGGGCTGATGATCACGAGAACCATAGTCCCCGCGAGAAGGGTACTCGTTGCGGGTCCCGTAACCCCCAGAGCTGTATTCACCTCCACCATATCCCGTCTGAGACTCTCCATACCCCGAGTTATAGTCCCTATGGATATGTTAGCCTCCACCGAGTGTTGGGCATTTTCCTTGGTTCACTTACTGTCTAGACCTGCTTTCCTGATGGTATTCCTGCTGTTCGTGGCGATACGACGACTGGTTTCCAGACTCGTAAGTTGACTGCGTGTATTCGCTTCTATATTCGCCGCGCTCGGGTCTATAAGACTCCTCTAATGTTTCTTGAACGTATCTGCGTCCCCCATCCTCATGCCTACCCTCGCGCTGGCTATACTCGTATCCGCGGTGTTTGTCCTCGTCGTCGGAGCCGCTGCTGCGTTCGTGTGAGCGCTCTCGGCTGCGATGTTTCTGGTGACGCCGTCTGTGTCGTTTCTCCTCGTCACCCGAAACTTCGCTATCATCCTTTGGTGAATGGTCTCGCTCCCGACTGTGGTGTTTCTGATGCTTGCGGTGTCGGCGCTTCTCCTTTTCTTCGTCACCAGAGTCTTCACTACGTCTGGTCGTGTATTGGTGCTGTTCATAATGCCGCTCATACTGAGGCTCTCGCGTCTCCTGCGTATAACTGTATTCTCTCTCCTCGGTGCGCCGCGATCCGCCTCCGGATTCGTTGAGCAACATGGAGCCAACACCACTCACCAGTCCGCCGACAAGGCCACCGAGTGCCCCACCACCAGCAGCTTCAGCGGCAATCTTCTCAATGCCACTTACATCAGGCTTGCGTCCTTGCCCATATGCTCCGCCATCCTTGTGTACCGTCAGTGGTTTTCCACATCCGTGTCCACAATCTTGCACCCCTTCCTTGTGGTTTTTACCTTCCTTAACACCATTGCGAGAAAGTTGTTCACGAAGGTAATCAATCTCAGAACGTGACTTGTCGCTCCACCACTGTTGGACAGTACCAAACATGATCGAACGGATTTCGCTTTCACCGCCGCGCCCGTATTCATACAATGCCGGGTGGTGGAAAACACCAAACACAATCCTATCCAAAGTAGCATCGATGTCCGCGTCTTCATCATCCCATAATTCCATCAGCTGAGGCACGGTCCACTTGACAATTTGAGAAGCTATCCGACCAGCCGGCTCGTTCAAGATGTTCGAAAAATGATCCTTGGAAAGCATTGAGTGCGTGGGGTTGGTGCAGTAGTCGTCATTGAAAACAATATGTTGCTGTTCCCTGCTGCTCTGGATGACTTCGGAAGATCCCGTCTGGAGCTCAAGCTTGACCTGCTGAAGAATTGGCAGGATGTAGGGTGCGAGGATCGAGAAAACGGCGACTGTTATCTGCTCCTGGACTTGTTCAATCAAGTCTGGCAGAACCGGTATTTTCTCGATAGCCTCATTGATCGACTTGAGTAACTCATCGTGCCATTCTAGGACGGGATAAATTTGCTTTTGGACGTCGTCCAGGTAGTTGGCCCACTCCTCCGGCTCACGAGGAGAGATCCCCTGGGTTCTCTCCTTTGCGTGCTCCGACTCGGCTTTGAGTTCATCCATCCTACCAACTTTCTCATCGCTGCTACCAATCAGCCCATCCGGGATCTTACTCAATAAATCCTGGAGAAAGCTGTCAGATGGCGAATCGCTCTGAGATTGGTTGATGACGCCTTCCAAGCCTTGAATTTCAGACTGAGTTGCCTTGTCCGATATTTCACCAAGTACCGAGTGGAAAAAGTCGACCCCGCCAAAAGTGCCTGTAACCAGGGGATAGACAGGTTCACGTAGCCCTTCAATTTCAACCCGGGTACTCCGCCCAACATGAGGGAATACGTCCGTTTCGCCCAGTTGAATAAGGGCTAGCTCGACATAGTTGGAGTGGGCAGCATAATCCTCCAAGCAATGCAATCCGGTTCCGAGAAGGCGGAGAGCTTCGTGCAAATCCTCCTGGTTTCGAGATCTCGCGTACCTTCGGCCAAGCTGAACTGAGCGCGTAAAGACTTGCCGCACAAGTCCAGCGGAGGTTGCAATGCCCACGTGCTCATTGGCAATATAGTTCTTAAGGCCTATAAGATCATCAACATCGCGATCGACCTTCTCACGATTGGAGATTTCGCGTACCTGTTCTAGGATCAATACCCAACTCGAGCTCCTCATCAACAGGGCCTCTGAGACGCCGGTCATAATTCCGGGCGTCTTCACCCTCGGCGTACCCAAGCGGATTGTCGATATGCTCAGTGGGCTGATAGCATCCTAGGCGCTCCGTGGTGACCTCAAATTCCTTGGTACCATAGCTAAAGGTGATCAGCAAAACAGGCGAGGGTCAAGTGCGATGATTCAAAATTATCGTACCCAAAGCTCAGGAAACCTAGAACCCAGAGCAGAATACGAATAGCTTCAGCGCTGACGTATTTCAGGGTGCCGACATCAACAGCTTGGCTGTAGTCTCTCAACCAGTTGCCAAAATAAACGCGCTGCACATCGAGTTTACTAAACTTTCGACCACCGGCAACGCGGGCCAAGGCCAGAGTTAAAAGAACATCCTCAATATCTCCGTGTCGCCAATTCTGGCCCTCAATTTTGGAAAGCGATGCAATATTTCCTGCGCCAAAGGCATGGACCTTTGAGGAGAAGCAGAAGAACACGAAGAGAAATAAGGGTAGGTTCGAGAAAGAAGGACCCATGGCTACGAGATTTTTAGATCGAGCCTGGGCGGTTCAGATGGCGTAGGATAAACAGCTCGATTGATCAGTAATTTTCTAAACCAAGGACGAGTCGCATAATCGTATTTCTTTTTCATGAATCTTGACGGGGGAAAGAAGAAAGAGAAACACAAAGAGGAAGAGGAAGAAGTGTTCGTTCAAGTTTGGGCCCCAAGACAGGAGGGGAGATTTCAGCTGCCCCGCCATCTGATGCACAACTCGCGCACAAGGATGGAAGTGATGAGCACTTCTGCTTGGGTGGGGTGATTCGTCTAGCACTGGTTGGCAACAGTACAGCTGACATCCATCTTCATGTCCGATTGGGTCTTCGTGGATGTTCACCTGGACAAGTCTGCGAGGTTTTGAGTCCTTTCGATGCAAGCAATGCATGCGTATCTAAGAGTCCAACTGGGATAATTGGCTGGGAAGAATGGCTGATAAGATCAGTCTCCCCCCGTACCGAAATCGGCGCTGCTATAGATTTCAGGCATGTTCAAAGCCTTAGGTTATCTCACCCATAACGCCCAAACAAATAACAGACTAGAAACGACTTCAACCACGACGTTGAAGCCGAAGTTTTGGCGGATCCTCGCGACTCGCGGAGATCCGAGAGGACTACGGAGTACTAACGGTAGTCGGTGCCATGTATCAGGCAAGGTCCGAGCCAGAATCATCTATCTCCAAGTTATGAGATCAGGAACAACACAACTGCCGATGCAACATTCGCCCAACTTTTCCGATTTCAGGATTCGGCGAGACTATTATGTACCAAGGGAGAGAGGCGCGTTGTGGCAGAAGTACGGGTGGAGTCCAGTATTAGTACATTAACTATTAGTGGTCAGTGGTCAGTGGTCACCGCCCCAAGCGCACTTGGAAAATGAGACTGCAAACAGCTCAATAGTCAACAGGAGAAACAGCCACGTGTAGAAGATCATGGATAGGAGGTCGAGAGCATTTGGAAGAGCCTGTCCTCCAGCAGCACTGCAAGGCAGAGGGTAGTCTACAAACCTAATGCATCTCTCCCCATGCAATGCATGGAAGGACGGACGTGCTTTGTGCCCTGGGCCTTGGATCGAAAGGTCCGGTTGGTCACCGACCGTGGATGTTTCTCCGCATTCGTCTGATAGCGCCAGTGCGTCGCGGTCCCAAGAGATTCTATGGAGCCCCCTCTCCCCTCAAGGTCCGCCCAGCTCCGGATCCTTCTTAATCTCACCGCCGTCTCCTCCTCCCCCAAGTCAGCCCACCTCTCCAGCCTCCCATTGAATGTGCTAGCAGACTTATCTTTGAGTACTTTATTGCCCATCTTGCCGTCCTCTTTTCTCAAGCGATCTTGCCTGAATCGCTCACAGGAATGCTTGCTTGTCTTGTTCTTTGATAAGCCACACGGTTTCCACGCGCTCCCGGCTGCTTAACGAGTTACAGACACCATCGCAATTCGACTTGAGGCGGCAGAAACGATGTATTTGAGGGCACGGCAATAGGTCATATCGCTTCTAGCAGTACGTGGAGCGATTAAGAGGTGTGGAGAGGGGGCGGAACGGGGTGACTCTGGGCTCTGCTAGTTCTATCTACGGCACGCGACTATCAAGGTGTCAACTCGTTGAACCGATAATCTAAGTGCGCAAGAGCTAAGATCAAGCTGCGCATGCCGAACATTTGAAGCACCTTGCATACTGATGGTGCTGTTGTCCACTGGATTCTCTTAGTCCTGTGAGCAGCCCATTTTACCCCAGAGTCGCAACAAGAGCCGGATTGTCGACTGATTTCCTCCGACCCGAAGTGCCCGCGCTACACAACTTGGAACCCCCGGCCATTACTCGTATTTCCAAAGTTTCACAGTGTTCCGGAAGTATTCGTTTCCGCCATATTCTTTCGCGAATCTCACCGGCGTGCAGGCGTTTAGTTCAGAAATGGCTTCTCCCAGGATTGACAGTCCGTCCAGGAAGCACATCACCAAGGTACAAATCAAGCCTTTGCTGAGGAGGGTCTCTCAGAATGGATCACCGTCGACATCAATTGACCTTTCGCGATCCTCATTTGAACAAGAAGGGTTAGGCATCTATACAAGCTACGAGAGGGACAGCGTCCAGAGTGACCTATACACGAACTTCCCGGCCAGGAGGAAGTTATCCGATTTTCATCGCCGATCCACAAGTGGCACTTCCCAGCTTTCCACAGCTAGCAGCTCTAGTATGGGCAAACCTGGGTCGCAGTATGTTCATCCAATGCGTCTTGCTCCACGCGAATATACTCCTCCTTTAGCGGCCCATTCTTGTCAAAACTCCTACTTTGAGAACGATGCTTCACCAAATACGGGGGTCCCAGAAGGGTATATTCTGAACCATTCTTACACAGAAATCAATGATCAGGCTGGTCGCGCCTCGTCCGGACCCAAACCCCGTCTGTCATTGCATATTCAAGATAGCTCCTTTACGCGACTACCTGGAGCCTCGCAGACCAACATAACTGGCCGGTCATCTTTTGGTTACTCAAGAGATAATGCCAGCACACTAGACACTACATCACCCACGTCGCGGTCATCTCTGGACTTCGTCTTCCGGTCAAGGACACGGACGAGCATGGACCCTGTATCCAGAGCAGCTACAGTTCAAGCAGCACGTCAAGCTTTTGAAGAGAAGGAAGCGGCCAAGACCCGAAAGTTTGAGCAGCAGCGAATGAAGGCTGAAGAGAGACAAATGAAACGAAGAGAGAAGCAAGACCATCGGACGTCGTTGCGAGAAGGAGACATTCAAGAAAAGGGATGGGAAGAAAATCAAGCAAAAAACGACACTACCCAACAGGGGGCACCTCGCCACTCACAATCCACGTCCCAGGCACCTGCAAACTCGGAGAATTGGAAGTCGCAATCGAAAAGCACATGGATGCTTTTCTTAACGTGGTTGAGGACAAGGGTCTTCAAATTTCGAAGAAGAGTTCGCAGGCTGAGCTGACCCGAAATTCTGTTTGAATTATCAATCTCTCTGTAAATAGACATACCATCTTAAATGCCATTTGCACTCAACCTTTGTATTCTTCCGATAGTGTTCTAGGAAGAAGTGGTTCCCTGAAGCTGAACATCAGCTAGTCACGTGCGAAACTGCGCAGGTGGCGTCACCACATCGCCTTGCTCTCGACTTGTACGGCGTGCGCGTTTTGCACTTATAGCAAGCGACTATTACGGTGGACAAGACCGACCTACATTACGCCTTGCGGGTAACTCCACTTATACCTCGCGTTTCAAGTACTTCTCTAATTCCCGTGAGAGCGAGTGTCTGGGTTGACTCTCAGAGCTCCCCTCCAGCTCGGAGGGAGCGCGTCTCGCCATGGTTTACGACTGGGATGGGAAACGCGAAATATGCTATCAAATGTATATTAGAGACAAAAAAGCGTTGGAGGAGATTATGGATTATATGAGGAACGTTTATCAATTTTCTCCAAGGTACGCCATTACAGCCCAGTCTCTTAGTACAGGCAACTGACCTGAAATGCCTCTGTAGTAAACGTGCATTTCAAACTCAATTCAAACGATGGGGATTTCCTTCGAAACAGAATCCAGCACACAAAAACGTCCAACTCGTCGCACGCGTTAAATCACTATGGGAAACAAACACAAGCCAGAGAGATATGCTCCGAATTCTCAATGAAGAGGGCTTTGAGATCAAAGAGCGTGAGTTGATGCGGGTTCGCGCAAAAAATCGTTGGTTACTTCGAGTTCCGAATGGGATGAAAGCACAGCAGGCCGCCCTAGGTCCTGCGCAACCCGCCGAAGACGACGGCCTCCTCGCGTTACAGCAAGAGGTTTACAAAAGTCCAAATCAGTACGAAGAGGCCGAAGCCCTTCCGCCCGACACAGTCGGTCAGCGTCCTTTGTCGCCAGGCTTGTCAGCTGATGTAGTCGCCAAACGCAAAGAGCGGCTCGAGAAATTGAAGGCAGAAAGCGCAGAACGCTGGGCGTCCAGGAAGCGTCGCAGGCGCACCAGGGGGTGGGCTGGGTTGCCGGCCGATCCGCCAGGCCCTCCACGTTTCCCTTCAGAGACAACTATTGACGAAAGCAAAAAGTATCTCAATCTCGACAATGCCGCATATCGTGAAGTCAGAGACCACTTCCAGAGGATTTGTGAAAAGGCAGGCTTCATCAAAAAGACTGTTGCCGGGCCTGAAAAATGGCAAGAGGCAAAAAATACGCTGATCCAAGAATCCGAGCATCTTCAGCGGGTATTTTGGGAGGACTCTAGCCAGCTGGAAGCCAAATCTCTTGCCCTTGATATCGTGTGCACGGACGTCACGAAACGTATGAGGACACTAGAAAGGCGCATGACCATCGCCGAGGCCAAGAATGCACTCGGAATCAACCCAGAAGAGAGTCGGCAGATACGCAACGCCTTCTATAATACGCTCAAGCAGGATCACTTCACGAGTAAGCTGGAAGCCGGCGATGAGCACTGGAAAGAGCTCAAGGAGCAATGGATTCAAGGATCGGACCTGCTTCAGCGCATTCTCGCTCCGGGTTCGGCGGATCCAGAGCACGCTACGAAGCTCAAGGCGCTAGAAGTTTTGTGCCGCGATGTAATGAAAAGACTTCGCGATGATCAAACCAAGAGAGATTCCTCTCGCAAGCGACAAGCTCCTTCTACTAACATCCACGTTCCCGACACAACAAACACCGACATTATAACCCCATACGACAACGGTATATCAAATGGCATCAGCACGCTCGCGTCTCAAGCTCTCGCAAGTGCGCCAATTTCCTCTGGTGACCTGGGGGATATGCAAATTGATCCATCGCTTTTGCAGGCTGCGAATGACACAACATTTGCCGCAGCTACACACCATCCAGAAACTACGTTTGAATATGTGGACCCAATGTTAGAGTCAAGTATCGTGCCTATCTCGGTCTATCTCCGTATCAGCCCAGAAAGCGCAGTGTATGCGGACTCCAAGGCATGGATTGCAAAGCTGTCAACCAGATCTCTTGCGGAGCTACGGCAGCTGGTTTCTGCCAAGTTTCCTGGCACCGTGGTTGGCAAAATTGAGGCCTGTGACGCGGATACGAATGGTAACAGCGTCACATTTGCTATTGACACCGATCACGAACTTTACGGGTATCTGAGCCATTTCCAGGGACGAAAGGCGACGTTTCTGTTTTGTTTGAGCCAATGATGAAGCCATTTAGTGATTTTTTGTGGGCCAAGTGAGATCAACTGTGCCCAATAAATAAGTTAATCATGTGGGGAATTCTATATGCCTGCAAAGTACGTGCGTGGATTATGACCACACCGTGTACGGAAATTGTCGAAGTACAAAGAGCCAAAACGCATGTACTAACACATCCAATTTCCAGAATCCTGAGGCACCTCACTCAAGCGACGCATCTCACTCGATCGATTCATTTGGTCTCGAATAGTGACGCTGTAACGCCGCGAAGTCATAAGAACTACCAACGATAACCGAGTCGAGGTCCATGCAAGTATTCAGTAGAGTAACCGGGGTTAAAGCAGACGCTGTAAAACATCCAGGACAAGTAATTTCAGGTCGGGGTTCTTGAGAAGCTGCTGCTGCAGAAGGACCTGATAACCATGGTCGCCAACCCAGTCGACCCCCCGGTAATGGCATCGTCCCATATCGCCGAGAAATTTGGTGCATGTCTCTGTAGTTCAATAGGTATGCCATGGGCATCTGCGATCACTCGTCGGGATATGCAAAAGGCGTATCAAAGGGTGATGAAGCGGTTATACTTGTTGCGCTTTGGCACGGTCTCTCTCAGACGGATTGTATCTAAATAGTGAATCCAAATTAGAGCTTCAGATTCGCAAAGATTCAGTAACATTGACTTACCGGAGAAGTTTTTCAATGAGATCAACATGTGTCATGATCATTCTGCGACAGCAATAGCGCTTGCAGCCAAGCTGATCCATAGCATCTCTAGACAATTCAGGGTCAGATACCTCGAGCCTCGACTCTTGATAAAGATGAAATTACCCATCCGGGATACCCTCGTCAAGAAGTTGCAGATATCGCTCCCAAAGGTCGCCAACAACCTAGTCAATATATCAATACTTGTCATTAAATATCGGGTCACCCGTAATCACTTTACCTTTCCGCAAGAGAAGCATCGAACTGGGATGATCATCACGGCAAATGTGAAAGTAATTCAGCAAAGTATATTTTACCGCCCGTTCAGCTCAAACAGCCAGATGATCAAAGAAAAAGAGAATCTGCTACGCTGCTCGCCAGGAGTGAGTTCGCTCGCAGGATGACTGTCAATGTGAGTGGCTTTGATCTGGAGGCGGTGGCTCTGGGAAAGTTTTATGCCAGGGCCCACTGAGCTGGACGCACTAACTATATCTATCCTAGGCACTAGTTCCACTGCCCAGTAAGAATTGAGCTGAGAAAGTCTTTCGGGGAACCTGAGTTTTTTTTTTTGAGCTCCAGACGAAGTGGTCGATATATCGACGCTTGCCGTGGTTACTCCTATCTACCGAACGGCACTCATCTTCGGCCTGTACCCTGACAGCCGTGTTGCATGCTCACTGCTTTTTCATGTCAGCAACAGGACTCCCAAGCCCGGCGCGGCTTACAAAGCGATCAAGGGCAAGCGATGCAGCACCCAGCAACATGACCAATACTAAGAAAGAAAGAGTGAAGCGCCGCCGAACCTCTACAGGCGAAGAAGGATTAGGAGAGGGCTCCAAACAAGGAAGTGCTCTGGTCTTATCGGAGAGTTTTCAACTTCACCATGCCCTTTCCCCGCGCAACGAACTCGCCCAACGTATCAGCGACAAGGGCGTGACCGCGTCGTCTAAGTCTTGGTCTTTATCGCGGGGGGTCGCGGGACAATTCTCCAGCTTAGATCCTATACTTACGCCTGACGAACAGTAGGTGCTTCGTTGTGTCCCTTCTCAAGTTGATAATTAACCGCCGTGGCCTCAGATATCTATTCCTCAGCCTCGAGACATGTATCCACGTTTATTCCGTTGCAACTTCGCGCCTTTTTCGCATTTTAGAGCCAAGCGCCTCCGAGACTATAATTAGTTTTCGCCTTTCTCCTACAAACCAGGAACGCCTTCACATAATCACTTCAGCCGGTTCCGTGAGTGAGTGGGACTGGTCAACCAACAAGCAGCTCGCGTCATGGAGTACGCAGCACAAGACCATCGCGGCACACGTCGTGTCTGAAAACACTGCGGACGAAGAAGGCTCGCGCATATTGCTCTTTTCGTTACGAGAGCGCAAGGATGGGAAGAGGGAGCTAGCAGTTACACCTTTAAATGGGGGGGAGCCCCAGAGCACCTCTGTGCTTGAGACGAACATTAGGGTTGAGGAATTTAGAGTCATCGGGAATGGCCGAATTGCAGTCGTATACGGCGGAACACACTTATTTGTCGGAAGCTCGTTCCATGCGCAGGGCTCGGAGCTCTCGAATTACGCTTGGAGAGAGGTCAAATTAGGCGTCAACATCTCATGCGTCGACGTCAAGCAGCACCGGACTCTCAAGCAAACTCACCGACGTGTTTCTGGGACTAATAGACTTCCTAATTTCGATCTAGCCGTGGGTTGCGCGGACGGTTCAATGCTTGTTTATCATGGTGCTCTAAACCTGCTCGGCAAATCGAGCAAACATGATGAAGATAAAAAACTGGCTCCTAGGCGCCTGCATTGGCATCGTGATTCGGTAACAGCTGTGCACTGGTCAAGAGACGGTAGCTACTCTCACTCTTTGCAACTTGAGGACAATGCTGACTACGAAAAAACAGGAAACTACCTCATCTCAGGCGGGCATGAGTCGGTCATGGTTTTGTGGCAATTGGATACAGGCAGAAAGCAATTTCTCCCCCATTTGTCCTCCCCGATTTGCAATATAGTTGTCTCTGAGAGCGGAAACTCGTATGCTGTCAAACTGGCCGATAACCGTGTCGTTGTGTTGTCAGCAAGAGAGTTGCAGCCCATGGCCACTATCATTGGTTTGCAGCTGTGTACCAAAGCACCGAAGACAGCGCTTCAGGCTCCCGCAAAGTCTTTTCAGCCATCGAGAGCGGTTGCAGCGGCTTTGCATCCCCAGCATCCGGAGCAACTGCTAATAACTGTCCCAGCCTCTCACCAAATCACACAAGATAGCATCGCACTCACAAGTGCCCCGGTCCTTCAAACTTATGACATTCGCTCCAACACCCACATATCACGACAAGCCCTCGCACGAACCAATGCAACGACACTAAACATCAGCCCTGACGGGAACCCCATACTCACCCCCGATATCAAGCACATGTCAATTTCGCAGGATGGAAAATGGATGGCCACTGTGGACAGTTGGAGTCCGTATCCTCAAGATATGGAAGCGCTTGACCTGAAATCGAGTGTTCGCTCCGAGTATGAGGAACGTTATATAAAGTTCTGGCGCTGGAGCGAGTCTTCTTCCCTTTGGGAGTTAGTTACTCGTATCGATAAGCCACATCTTTCTGACAAGGGCTCCGCGTCCGTTCTGAGTATGTCCTCCCGGCCGCATAGCCACGAATTTGCGACAATAGGATCGGACGCTCTACTGCGAATGTGGCGGCCCATTATCAGACAGCGGTACGGACGAAATAACGACAACTCAGAGCAGGTGCCGGAAACTTGGAAGTGCCGGAGTACAGTTGATTTGAGTGGTTACTTTGAGAGAACCAGCGCCCACCACCCGGCCTCTTTGAGCTCAGCCTCAGTCTGCTTCTCAGAGGATGGCTCAGTTCTCGCTATCTGTCTACAGTCGATATCCACGAACCCTGGGCTCGCGATTCTTCTCGATGTACAAAGTGGCGGTGTTAGGCACAGCAAGGCTGGCGTCTACTATGGAGATATTTGTGCAACATCCTTCCTAGGATGTCAACTCATTATCGCCACAAAGCGATCGGTTTTCGTCTGGGATACGGTTAACGACGTGGTAAAATCCACAGATTCGCCAGAGGTGCAATCACTTAATGGTGATAGTGGCCAACGCCTGCTTGCTGTGAATCATAGAACACACACCTTCGCCATTACATCCACAAAAATTGCTCAGAAGAAGGCTGGGACGAATAAATTTCGCAAGTCCGGGTACACAGTCCAGGTGTTTGACATGGGTTCTATGTCATTACTCTCTCGTACAAGATTGTCGAAGGAGCCCGTTGCGCTACTTTCGAGCTCCCACTCTGCTGAATATGTTGTTGTTGATGCAGGTGCCAGTATTCAACAACTCAGCTGCCTGGCTAAAGCATCCCAGCCTACTCACACTGATGGTTTGATCGAGTCTACTGATCTGGGATTGGAGGGCTTGTTTGGACGCCAATCCACAGGCGCGACTCAGAAGCCGTTGGCGCCAGTAGTATCCACCGGGAATACCCAGCCATCAGAACGAACTGGGCTGGCGAGTGTCTTTGGCGATACGCCTCCCTTTGTTCTTCCTCCTTCTCGCATAGTTTTCCGTGATCTCGTCAAAGCTCTCACAGCCTAGATACTCTCCAGCTGAAAATAGATTCGATCAAGTTCCCATGTTTTTTTGACCAGTAGCTATCAGACTTGGTTCCCAGTACATCAAGTATTCTGCTGCAATCTTGACCTCGATCATTCGCGCGCGCGCCATACCACCAACAATCATGTGCCTGCATAACAGAGCATCTTCGAACTCTTCGGCCAGAAACTACATTCAAGGTTCGTTTGAAAGTGTACCTGGCGGATAGTTGATTCCCAGATCGTCCCGGAGGAAGCGCTGGGCAATCATTTTCACCCTTCCAATTAGTCCACCAAACCTGATTGAGCAATATGTACCCCAGCAGCTTGCAGCCAAACTGCGCCGCAAGTTGATTTGGGCATTGCCATTCGCTGACCGCACGAGCTCGGCTTTCCGAAAGTGAACTGATGCCCCCAGCGCAGCAAATCATGTTGTGGCGTGTGTTCGCAGAAGACGCTAAGGAACTAGTCCTGGCTCCTCTCGCTCAAGAGTCGACAGCGGTCTGATCCCAGTCTCAATCTGCCGCGCGCTTCAGATGAGCGGGGAGTTGGCCCCATTTAAAGGATGAGCAGTTCGTTGTCTCAGCCCAAATGCCAACGACTTTTTTCGGCTCATACCTTGTCTCGCCATCGCCTCTCCGCCTCCGCCTCATGACGCTTGTTTACGCTTTCTCGGCTTGATTCCGCGCGTACCTGCGCTTTAAAGCAATGTCCTAGCTCTCTTACAACCACGACATGGTAGCCGCCGCCAACCAGTCAGTCAGACTGTCTTGTCTCTAGGCCTGGCATCGGTATCTCGAATCTCAGATCCTCCTATGGTCCTTCTTTGGGGCCCAACAGGATGTGAGCAATTGGCACTCTAGCCCACACGTAAAAGCCTAGATGTATGCTAACTACGCCCAGGTCCGTCGAAAATAGTCTTCCGGTAGCAACCGCAGATTTTCTCAATCCGCACCCATCTTTGGTCATATCGGCGGCGAATGGGACATCATACGAGCCCAGCAACAGCGAGGATGAATCCGAATCAGACTTCGTAGATACCCCAGCTCAAGCAGCACCACCAGCGCACCCTTCTCAACCGCAACTTACTGTATGTCTCGCTGGCTTGGCATGCTCAACCCGGTGCCGTATTATACGGAGGTTAACTGACACTCGATTTTGTTAGGTCCAAACCGTCAATCCAAATCCGGGCGGCCACGCGAGAACAAGATCCGATGATGACGAACTTCCCAAGTCTGTAATTCACGCGCCTGCTGGATTCAGTGAATTTGTGAGCTTTTCTTGGCTTCGCGCGGACTCGCAAGAAGCAGCGGCCGTGGCTAACCGATCTCTACCGGTTTCAGAAACGAGATGCCCAGAAATCGCCGGACGGTTCACCCGCGTCTGACGTAGATGCGCAGCTGTGGTCAGAGTCTTCCCATCCAAGTATCAGGCTTTTACCAGAAAGTGTAGAAGAACGACCATCAAAAGTACCAGCTTAATCCCCCAGTCAGTCAACGCAGCTTTACTGACTGGTTTTAGAAGTTTACCAACAGTCCAATATCCCCTCCTCCCATCACTACCAGCATTGAGCCGGCGCTAGATTGGTCTGAACGAGCAACTCCGCGGGCACAGACAAGGCAGGATTTTGACGAGCTTGACAGGAGATCACATTCGAGTAACCTCGAAGGCGAGTGGTTAACTCCTGGCCGTGCTGGCCTTGCAATTATTAATAGTCGATTAGACATACCAGAGGGCAACGACAACCCCAAAAGAGCCAGCGATGGAGCAAATTACAAAACAGATCAGCTTGGTTTGACGAATGAGTACTTTCCAGAGGGATGCGCCGAGATCAAGGCGCTCCAGGCCGCCCTCGTCGAATGCTGGTCCCTTTGCAACACATTGGCCACTCTAAGCTCTATTCATCGAGAGCGAACCAGTCTCGGTCTGGAGACCCAAGATGACGCCTGGAAATCTTGCTGGCGTTTGTGCCAGCAGTTATATGCCGGCCAAGTCGATGACAATGCATCACAGGTCAACCCAACACTGGACCTTTGCCGTGACTTCTGCCAAACTCTCTTTGAAGCCAGGACTCGCGACAATGAGATTTCGGATTCTGTTCTTCGCGTCAGCTTCGAGCTCAATAATCATCTATATAATACACACGACCGTAACCTTCCTGATGCCTTCAGGGAAAGGACCTTGGACTTTTATATTACACTGTGCCACCGCCTCATGAAACAAAGGACACGCGAGCCTGAAACCGATTCTCTATTGAGTGCCTGTTGGTCACTAGCCGAGATGTTGTTCAGTATCCGACAGAGCAAAAAGGAGGGGCGGCCACTGGACGAGGAATTGCTAGGCTCTGCGGTCCAGGCCTGTTGGGAACTTTGTGACATTTTTCGGGAGGGATGGACGCAAAGAAGTTTGCGAAACTCCGATCGTGGGACACCTCGACCAAGTCAAGCGACCTTTGCGCCAGTTGAAAAGCAGTCTAAGCAGTCTGACATGGCCCGTGCGGAGGATGCCATGTTTCGCCAGAGAAATCCCGAGACACCGACAACTATATTCGAAGACGTGGGCACTACTTCTCCTGAGGAAGGACCTGTGCAAAACATCTTCGTGCTTGGCCAGCGCCGGAATGTCACACACACAAACTGGCCCTCCAATGCATCCAGCGTCTCGCGGACGACCCAGTCTTCTGAGCGAACTTCCTCAACAAACACAGTTATAACCCTATCAAATGACGCCAATGTAGTAGGCCTCAGGATTCTGATTACAAAAGCTGCCATAAACAGCGGCTTTCAACGGAATGGATCGCAGAGCCTCTCATCGTTTGTTAAGTCACTCTCTTCCGATGCATTCGGATCTACTTCATGGCAGGTAGCTCTTCTCAAACATTACAAGAGCCTGGTGGCTTTCGAGCCAGCATTCCAGAGCGCTGGGCCCCCTAGCAGAGCAAGCGCTATAGACATTGCTAGGGCTGTCAAGCTTATGGCTCAAAGCGGGCAATATTTCTGGCTATATGACCTTTATCGCCTTGTCTTTGGGTTCCATGTTGAGGAAGTGGTGAACAGGGACGGGATCATGTTACAGGCTTAGGTCTTGTCTGGTTTCCAATGGGGTTCTCCTTCCAGCAGAGCTTGACATTCGAGGTCACCTGCTTTTTTTTTTGCAGATCTACAAATGTGCGGTTTTCCTACATAGAATAATACAACCCACGCTGACACTATTTACATGTGCTATTATAACCCATACTAGGGTGCTGATGATCCCTGCTAATATTTACTTGACTAACTAAAGCCCAGGGGTAGTTATAGGTAATAAACTTATTTCTCTCCAGGGCCATCTTGTGCACAGCCTAGGGGCATATGCCAGTAAGATACTCATGCGCACTAAATAGTGAAGCCTGAAACGGGGCCTAATGTCTTTAGAATCTTGCGCTCGCTTCGATTTACCAGTCATATTATAGATAATAGATATTTTCCATAATGGTCATGCCTTCGTGCGGCATGCTAGAACGACAGCAGCTCCCCCGGTCCCTTTCGCCGAGCTGTTTATAAACAGCAGTACGTACTGTTAGTAGCCTTTCAGGTAACGGTTTCCGTCAGGACTGTCCAATCAGTGGCACTGTCTGCGTGGTGGGCTTGTGTGGAGGCCATAGGTTGGGAGCGTCGAGGACAACAAGGTCTCCAAGCAGAAGGGATAGATGGCTTTACATTTTGCCGCGTATCAAAGCAGATTGATTCATGTCTATCTCTAAAAAATTGGTCTGCTGCGGGACGTGGACTGAAGCTACTGGGAATTGCACGTAGTTCAGTACCTCTTCTATGGCCTTCCCCAAATGGCAGGCAAGTCGCTGTAACATGCAAAACAAAGGGCTTTCCTAGACTACGGAGGCTCTAATTATCTGGATACTCATCTTCAATATTACTCACAAATCGCCGTGAAACGCTATCCCATCGCTTGAAGTATTTCCCTGCCACTGCGACAAGATTCGGCGGTAATTGTGAGATATCTGGTGTTATAATCTGCACGTTTTCCTCCGCCACATATCGGACGCTTTTGTCTTCGACACTGGAGGTGCTATTAGTATACTGGTCAACAAGAATGTGGTAGCTGGTAATAATGGTAACATACATAACATGGTAAAAACTTTGATGTCTCCCACTTTGAAGACGATCGACGCCCATCCTTCTCATCCATTGCTCGCCGGCCCCACACTCAGTATCCCACCCCGTAATTATGGCCACATAATTGTAGCGGCGATGCCTAAACACCTGCCCAACATGATAGCTAACACCTTTAAGCTGTGCTGTGCGTCTTTTCACCTGCTTTGGTATTTCGTCGACTGTTCGTATGACATGAAGGCTTTCCATGAGATGCTCAAACTCCATGGTGCCCCGGAAGATGGGGACAATGTATTGCTCGACAAGGTGAATGTCCGAGGAGAAATCAGTGGCGAGAAGCTCCAACAGCAAGAATAGATGATGCTCTAGCTCCGCTGGTCGGAGGGGGTTTGAAAACATTAGAGATGACCAAAGAGCAGCATATCTTGCGCAACCAGGATCAACCGGTACCAAATGTGCACCAGCAAAATGAGTAATGCGCTGCAACGAATTCAGGACGTTTTTACTGCACCGTGAGACAATTTCCGATGCCCTCGATTCTCCGAGAAATGCAGACTGTTCGACTGCGGATGCCCCTAAGAAACTCAACTGCGCTTTCAAGTCCGCTACAGGCGTCTCTTGGTCGGAACGAAAGGGGTCCATGTAGATGGGTTCACCTGTGCTACCATGGTGGAGCGCATTACCGTCAATGTCGAGACCTGGCCGTGGTATGACTATGACATGAACATGGAAAGGAAACCCACAGGGGCGGGCATTTAACCCTAACCTCTGTGCGATATGGCAGTAGATTACTGCCGACACCAAAGGCAGTGAGTTATGCCCAGGATCATCCAAGGCAAGCCCCAGAAAGTTATGCTCCAAGCAGTGATACTCACGCTCGGGCTCGATGCCAATTAGATTATGAGTTCTCAGAAATGAGGCAATGATGCTCGCCTGCTCACGACTGCTCAAATCTTGTATGTCCGGATACTCCGTACAAAGGCGGGAGAGAATTTCATCCAAGCTACCATTTATCTGCGTCAGTTGTGTTAGCACCTGCACTAATGTCCGTTGCCTTGGTTCGGATGGCCTACCTCGTCAAAATTCCCATACCTACTTTCAGGTATGAAAAGGTCAAAAGCACCGAGCGCATTCGCAAGCGGTATTTCACCACCATTCCTTAGGCTGGCCCATTCTGGAATAGCGATACTTCGATGAAGGCAGGTCAAAAGTGCCTTTGCGTAATACCTTGTGGGCCATTGATTAGACAGAAAGATGCTTCGAGCGGTAATTGGCAACAAACCTCCTAGCTAGGTGATCTTCTGCTTCCGAACTGATGGAGAGACTGCGCAAGAGGCTGTCTTTGGCATCATATCCGAAGTTGATAACCGATCTAAACTTCTCTATCCTCCCAGTCTGGCTGATAAGGATACTATCCAAAAGGCGAGTGGTGGCAACGTCGACGAGGTGTCTGGATCTGTATAGTGCTTTCCAATCCACGGTAAATACAGGACTCGACAGCTTGGTCGGCATATCATGCCACCGGGCCCAAAATCTGAAATGTGTCTGACAGTAGATCCTCCATAGTAGTTGCTCGTTGGTAGCGCCTCGAAATCGACGAGCGGTGCGTTCCAAAGCACAGGTGTCGGAAGGTCGACAAAACAACAGAATACTATGCAGTATCTCTTCAGGAAGATCGTTGAGAGACAAGACCATTCCGGGACATCAAGCACAGCAAAATCAGCTGGGAAGGGTAAGAGCTCTTCAGTTTCATGTCTGTAAGAGGGGAACTTGGTTCGACTTGCCAGTGGTTTTACACCGTACTAGTTAGCAAAAGAATGACGAACTCCAAGCCAAGCAATGCCGCTTCCGGCCCAGATTTTGTCGCTCGAACTTGGAAATTTAATCCAACCCACACAACTGAGCACGCCAGACATGGGCCAGGGCCACTCAACACCACAGTCGGGCTCTGGGGAGTCGGGTGGCACACTTGCTGAGAAGAAAGACTACTACGAACTTCTGGAACTGGAACAAAATGCCTCGCCAGAAGAGTGCGTGATTCTATAATTTTCGACTGGCAAAGCACACAAAGCTAATTAATTTCCTGCTATTTCTCTCTCACAGGATTAAAAAGGCTTATAGAAGGAAGGCTCTGGAGCTACATCCTGATCGAAACTACGGGAACGTTGAGGCTGCGACGAATCTCTTTGCAGAGATTCAAGCTGCCTACGAAGTGCTTTCTGATCCACAAGAACGATCGTGGTATGACACTCACCGTGATGCCTTCTTGGGCGGCGACGGGGGTGTCGATACTCCTGATTTCTCCTACAATGTTCGAATGACAACTTCAGCCGATATCCTAAAGTTATTCTCAAAATTCAGTCCCCGAATGGAGTTTACGGACTCACCCAATGGTTTTTACGGCGGCCTCCGAGAAACATTTGCACAAATCGCCTTGGAAGAAGAGATGGCTTGTCGCTGGGAAGATACGGATGTGATTGAGTATCCATCCTTCGGGTCTCGCGATGATGATTCTCAGGTGGTGCGTCGATTTTACGCTTTATGGGGCAGCTTCTCGACCAAGAAGTCTTTCTCTTGGAAAGACGCCTATCGTCTCTCAGAGGCTCCTGATCGCCGTGTACGCCGGCTAATGGAAAAAGAAAACAAACGTATGAGGGAAGCTGCCATTCGCGAATTCAACGACGCTGTAAGGTCACTTGTGGGTTTCGTGAAAAAGCGAGACCCACGTTACAAGTCCTATAAGAACAGTTTAACACTGCACCATGAATCTCTTCGCCAGTCTGCAGCTGCGCAGGCAACAAGGTCCCGAGCGGCGAACCAGGCAAAACTGGGCCACCATGTCCTTCAAGACTGGGCAAAATCCGAGGAGCTTGATGATGGCGTCTCGGAGAGCTCAGAAGGTGAGGCAGAACATTTTGAATGCATTGTTTGCCGCAAGACTTTTAAAAGCCAGAATCAGTTTCAGGCTCATGAGCGCAGTAAAAAACACACCAAAGCTGTCAAACAGCTGCGCTGGGAGATGAAGCTTCAGGACGAAGAACTTGACTTACGGGAGGTTTCAACAACGGATGTGGACCACACTCTTCCGTTCGCAAAAGGCTTCGTCGATGATGAACCAGTGGCCACCGCGCCCATTCATCCGGAGCTAACTCAAGGTCAATCACAAGATATCCCCAACGGCTCGAACGACAGCCCGTCAACGACCGGATCCATCCATGGTTCCGATGAAGATGATAAGCAAGCCGATCGCGTTGAAGAGTTGACTGGATCGGAATATGAGCAGGATTATGCCCCCAGGGATGTTTTCGAGGAGCGGCTAGACCGAAGAAGCTCTCTCAGTCAGCAAGAGCAGAATATAAGCTTGGATGACTTATCTCGAGGTCTGTCGGCATCGAGATTGACCGAAGCCCCCTCTGCGTCCAAGGCCAAAATAGGAAAAGCAAAGCAAAAGCGTGCGAAAAAGGCTCAGCTTGCTGAAACGAAATCAGACTCCACAGCTTGCTCTATATGCAATGCACCTTTTCCATCCAGGAATAAACTCTTCTCTCACATTAAACAAAATCACGGGCGACGCTAGCTTACACGCATTCAAACCTACGCTCTGTTTGAGTAGCGCTGTTCGTTTACACTTCCATGTTGACTGCTTGAGATAGAATGCATTGGTTCTGGTCTGTAATCTGAACGGTCCGACATTCTTGACAAAATAATATGCGGAACTCGTGATGGTTTGAATGTTGCCAGCTAGCATCTTCGGTCGGCCTCCGGCACGCTGCAGCTACAGTGCAGGATTGCCTATCCAAGGCCAGCTTTCGAGTTCTTCACTACATGCGAGACCGGGAGGAGAATGCCTTTGTTGTGAGTAGCACCAAGAGCAGTCCCTCTACTCCACCCCATCTTTTCCAGCATTGCTCTCCCTATATTCTCGGCCCCTATTTCGGGTGCCGACGCGCCGACAACATCCCCATCCATATATGAAACATTGCCCTGGCCAGCCTTGGCTTTGTTTGGGCGAGCGCCTGTTTTATCCCATGCCTTCAACGCACGGGGGCCAAACTTCTCCCGTGACAATACCCGGTCTAGCTGAGAGATAGTCTTCGGCGTGTACTTCGGGGTGCGCGTGGTTTTCGACAAGACGGGAAATCGCAGTGAACCCTTCCCTCGCGACTTCGAGGTCAAACGTAAGACATGGGCCATGTCATGAACTAGCATTCTCCGATGCTTGGTCATAGGAGGGAGGGACAGGCTGCAGATTAGACTAGTATTAGCCCAAATTTCGCTGGCACCACGGGGGAGGAAGCCATATACACACCTGTTTTTCGGTGACAGTATAAAGAGACGTATCTCGGATTTCAAGTCCTCAATACCAATACCATCAACATATTTGATCTTCAAGTCCGGGTCGTTCTTGCGTCGGCCAAGTAATCCTTGCGCTCGGAGCTGCTCCCGCTCCTTCTTCTTTGACTTTTTCTTGAGTCTATCGTGATTCCAGGCATTTAACATCTCCGCCTCCAACTCCTCGTCAACGTCAAAGTTGAAGTTATCAGAACCTTTCTTTGCCTTTTTCCGCAGGCTCGGTCGACTAAAATCCATGATATCGAAGCCATAGTAGGGATCCAGTTCCAGCGCATCAGCAAAGGCGGAGGCTTCGGCGAATCTGCTCTTCTTGTGGCCTGCCTTCGATCGACCAAAGGAAACAAATTCTGCCAAACTATCAAGATCCAGGTCTCCCGACATTTCAGGACCGTCAGAATGCAAACTCCCGCTGTCCGAATCGAGGACCATATCATGGGAACCTTTCACCGGAGCCTCGACTTTTGGATCCTCGTCTTGATCGCGGTCCTCGTTCGGTGAAGACGACGAATCGTCGCCGTCAGAGGTGTCATCCATGTTCGCAATATAATCGGCTAGTATCTGATCTTCATCGGACGTCTCAGAGTCCCTGTACATAGCATAGTCGTCGATCTGGATGTAATCAGGAGACTCATTGATGGAGGAAGCTATTCTAGGACCTGATACATCCGTTGAAGCGCCATGATCGGGCACATTGAGCGCAGGCTCACAAGGAGCGTCCTCTTGAGAGCCGGGGGTGGTGAGGATATTCTGCACAGGTTTGACCAGATATGACTCCTTTCTGTTACGTCGACCTCGAAAAACAACCTCGTCCTCACTGGAGTCTTCAGGTGTAGGTGACCTCTGTTGGACAGTGGGGCGCAATACCGTCGTGACCGCAGTGATGCTGTCTGTCATTGGTTTATTTTCAGTGTCAAGCTGAACTTCCGCGGTAGGTTCATGGTCGGGCTCTGGGCATTGGATTTGACCATCCTCAGAGGGTGTTGATGTTGAATCAAACTTCTGGGCCGGTTCTATGTTGCCTGCACTCACAAACTGGACGGCCCGGTGGCGGAGTTGCGTATCCGTGCGCCATAGACTTCGTCCTTCAGTATTCCGAGCCTCCTCCTGCATAGAGATATAGTTTGGTTTAATGCCTTTTCGTGGTTAGTGTGATCGTCAATCAGGCCGGATGGGATCAGAATGGCCGCACCTGCCTGACTGTTTTTGCTAGCAGTCTTCTTGCTGGCCTTTCTCAGTTTCCCCTTGTTGGAGCGAGCCATGATTATTATTCACGGCGGAGGTTCTGGCAATATATTCATTAAGTTTTTGAGATTTGGGTTAAGCGTTGTTCACTTCAGGTTGAAGGGTCTGTCAAAAGATTAAAGTGTTTGCCGCTGATTCACCGCCTGACTAGGTGGACAGTGTTAAATCCTCAGGCGCCCTGTTACCGGGGTAGCCTGAATTGCTAGGCCACCAAAGCCGCCAAGCTGGGGTGGCCACCAGAGAGTTCTCAGAGACACTAGAGGTGGCCTGTCACCCCTGAATCATAATACCCCTGAAGGATGCATAGTTATGATGTTAAGTAATTAATAGGGGATCTCCTATATATCTATACTTAACCCTTAACCTTATATTCTACATGGTTTAGTCTTATTCTAAATTAAATCTCTTAGTATAATAAGATATACTTAATTAATATTCTTTTAACTCTTATAATTTCTAAATCTTCAAGAAGTTCTTTAATTATATATAATCTTACTATACCTCCTAGTAGCCCTTTAACTTGAAATCCTAAATAGATTACTTAGGATTTTATAGAGAAATACTCTCTATCTCGTAGTAAAGCTACTTAAATAAATAAATAGAATAACTGTAAGACCCTCACCATATATATGTATAGGATAGTTAGAACTTCGTGGGCTAAGTCAGCTAGGGGCTAACTTAGTATATAGAAGGATATCCTCTCTTTATAAAGATAGAGATTTTATAACTTAGTTGTCAGAGAGCCGCGCTAAGCCACGGGATACTGTCAGCCAATGGATTTACCTTGTAAGATTACAGTTGACGTGCTATCATGTTGATAGGATAGAATAAGGTTAATCTAAGTAATATAGTAATATAGGAGTATTAATATATACTAAGAGTTACGCGATAATTATAACATAGTAAAAAAGATATGTTTAATATATCTACTAATAAAGTAGACATAGTAGGGACGCTATATTAGCTATATTAAAGAATAGTATTTAGGAACACTTATTTATATATATAATTAGTTTTAGTTACTATCTATTACTTTTAGAATTAAAGCTACCCTATCTTTTAGAAACCTAGTTTACCTTCTTAGTTTATTAAGAAGCAGTCTTCTCACATTAATATAAGAATATCTTAAGCCCTTCCAGGCCTTAAGCAGGATTGGTTGGACTTATCTGACATTAGTATTAATCTATAATACTAACCTAATTATTAATTTATATATTAATTATACCCCTTATACCTCTTATTATATATTTTTATACTCTTTTATACTTATTATACCCCTATTAGGTCTTAGGTCCTTATAATTTTAATACTTAAACTTTATAATTTATTTATTAAAGGTAAAGGATACTTATTACTATAAGATAATCTAAGTAAATACCTGTCATAGGACTCGGCCATTGTCAGCTAATGGATCCGTTGTGCCGCAGCTTAGCGCCGTGACACCTATGGAGAAATGATAGACCGCACTAAGCATAGCTAGGCTATGATACTAAGGCTTGGCTAGAGGCCATGAGCATAGATAAACTATAATACTAGGCTAGACTAGGGCTATGATTATAGGTAGGCTATAATAGGAACATAGCTATAACTATATATAGTATAGGCAAGCTATAATAGGGACTTAGTATTTAAGGATACTTATTAAATACTTATAATAGTTTTAATTATTATTTATTACTTTTAGAATTAAAGCTACTCTACCTTTTAAAAACCTAGTTTACCTTCTTAGTTTACTATAAAGTAGTCTTCTCTCTTAATATTAGAATACCTTAAGCCCCTCTAGGCCTTAAGCAGGATTAGTTAGACTTATCTAATAGTAATAGACTCTTATTTTAAAAGAGAATATCACATCTACTATCTACTATAAGTAATAATAAAGGTAAAATAGTTTAGGCTACTATCTCTACCTCTAAGGGAAACCTTTCTAAACCTTAGTTAATTAATATATAGAAAATTATCTAGCTTAAAGCTATAATTAATACTCTACTAGCTAAGACTTATTAGCTTAAAATATTTAAAGGTATTAAGGTAAATAAAGTAGAATCTTTTAATAGTAAGTACTCTACCCTAAGATAATATCTAACTTCTATAGATATATATATTTAAATTAATAACTTATCTAATATAAGTAAAAGTAATAAGATGCTTTTTACTAGAATCTATCTTACTAGAGCTACCTTTTAACTAGTTTAAGCTATTTATATAAGACTTTTAGGAATATCCTAACTATAAAGATAAGAAAGATAGCACTAATACTATCTTTAACTCTTATATAGGCTTTAAGAATCCTAATACTAAAAAAACTACTAAATAATATATATATACGCTGTGCTAAGGATTAAAAATAAGTATTAGAGAACTTATCTTAAAATTTTACTAAATTATATTAAACCTTAATTAGGAAGATAAGGTATACTACTCTTAGTATTATAATATCCTTAAACTAGAGATTAAAGACGCTATCATATACTAAAAGAAAGCTAAGATACTTAATAAAATAATTAATATTATATCTAGAATTAAGAGCTAACTAATTAAATATTATTATAAAACGAAATAATAAGACTAAGTAAGAGATAACTACTAAAGTTAATATAGAGGTTAAGGACCTAAGAAAGATAGAGATAAGAATATTAAGATAAATATAGCTATTATTACTAGAGGATAGAAGAATAGACTATAGAAAAAATAATACTTTAAAGAAAAGTATTATAGATATAGAAAAATTAGATATATTAAGAAAGATTATTAATTAAAGTATAAGAAGAATAGACTAGCTACTTATAACTCTTAAATTAATACTACCTTTATAATAACTAAACTAATTATTACTACCATAGATAATAAAGCGAATAAAATAGACTTTACTAAGAAAATTCTAGAAGAAGTATTCTAGTACCTACTAAATAATAGAAAAGTCTAGAGAACTAGAGAACTAGCCTAAGGGTTACTTAGTAATAACTTTAAATAACTTACCCTTACTATTACTAAAGAATTAAGACGGACTAAGGACATAGTTAATAATATAAATTAATTAAGAAAGTATAGGAAGTAAAGTAATACTTATAATACTTAAGAAAGAATAGCTATAGGAAAATAGAATACTAGCTCTAGATATTAGCCTAGAAGAAGTATCTAGTATATTACTTAGGTATATAATCTATCCTAATAATTAAGTTAATAAATAGATAACTAAGTATAATAAAGTATATAAAATCTAGAAAGAAGAGCCTAAAATTACAGGTCTTAGAAAAATTATTAAAGATATTAAGCTAAGTATAAGAAAGGACACTTTATAAGTTTTAATAGAAGATATAGCTTAGTATTAATATAGGAAAGCCCTCTCTTTATATACTAAAATTAGAGAGTAGTATAATTAATAAATAATTATAAGATTCTAGATTTAAAGAAGTTCTACTAAGATCCTATAATAATTTAAATTAGTAATAAAATAGTAATAAATTACTATAAGACTTATAAAACTTAGACTAAAACCCTACTTAAAAGTAATAATAAATTTAAGAAAGATAAACCCTATAGTTACCTACTAGCTTATATAATCTACTAGGAAGAATTAGGAAAAATATAATAAGATTATATCTTAAAATATAAGTAATATAGAGACTAGATATTCTTAGAATACCCTTAATATAGAAAAGTTAATATTAAGTTTACTAAAGAATATAAAAGAGTATTAAATAAATAAGGAACTAGTTTATATAGTAGGATTCTAGATTATATAAATTAATACTCTTACTAATACTATCCTTAGTTAAGTAAGAAAGTATACTAAGAAATCTATTAGGTAGAATACTATAATAGAGACTATACCTAATATTAAAATCTTAAGTATAAATAGTACTAGATATTATAGCTACTAAAAGTATTAGAAAGACCGAATTTTAGATATCTACTTAGAAAAAGTAACTATAATTATATAAAAGAAGAATAAGGATACCTAAACTACTTAAAACTTAGTATATATAATTATAAAGTTAAGTATTATATATTCTATTATAAAAAAGAGAAGTTTATGCTATAAAAATAGAGTAATATTATATAGTAATACTATAAATAGTATTAGAAGGAAGTAAACCTATTTTCTATAAAAAATAATAAATTAGTTATAATTATTATAAAACTAAATAGGGAGTATATAAGAATCTTACTAGATTTAGAATACCTAGAATAATTCTTAAGTAAAAGATTTATTAGTACTAATAATATACTAATATAACTAGCTAGGTATAATTAATAAATCTTTAGATTTAGAGGAAAACTACTATATAGCGCGCTAGTACTTATAATAAATAAAGTATAATTTAATAGTAGAGAATATATAGATAAATCTAAAATTTAAAGTAGTACCTATTATAGAGTAAGGATTCTATAATAGTATTATTAGGATAACCTAGCTATATATATAGAACCTAATAGTAGACTAGATAACTAGAAATATTTTAATTAGAGAATAATAGTTATGAACTAGAAAAGAATAATAATAAGTTATATAGATCTAAGTTACTATAGGAGTATTAGGGAAAGCTATACTAGAGATTAAAATAATAAAGCCTAAGGCCTTAGGGTCTAAGACCTATAGAGTAGAAATATAAGATAATATAACTATATAACTAAAGCAAAGAGAAATTTATAAAAAAGAACTTACTAAAGTCCTTATAAGACTACTAAAAAAGTATTATAAGTTTATTAAGCTATTTATTAAAAAGGAATATTAACTACTATAATATAATAAGTACTACAAAGCTAAGATACTACTAGTTAAGGGAGTAGAAAATAAGCTTAAATAATTATAATAGTTTAGAAAGTTACTAGAAGAGTTATAACTAGAATAAGAGTTTATTAAAGAATTCTTATAGGTAGAATATATTTATAAATCTAACTTATAATACTCTTTATAACTAATATTTATTCTTCAGAAGAATAAAAGGAAATAAATAAAAATTAATTTCTAATAATTAAATAACCTAATAATTAATAATACTAATTAGGTACTATA